TTAGCGGAGGAGCAGGAGATTTTGAGTAATGGACGCATAGTACGGAAAAGAAGGGATCAGAGGCTCTGTGATACAGTTGAAATAATGTTCCTCAATATATATACAGCTAGGACTGATGGCACTGTCCAAGCGATATTATCCAGTTGTTCACGTTTAAAGAAACTGCGAGGCTGCAATATTACAGTGTCAGAGATTGTCAAGGGCACAGAATGGGTTTGCATTGAGATGACTGAAATGTCAGTCATTCTTGAGGTTGATGTTGATATGGAGAGTCTAGAAAGCATGCAGAAGCAGCGTGTTGTGTTTAAGCAACTTGGCAGGCTGACTCGACTAGAACATCTTTATTTAACAGGGGGGGTTCCGCAAGCTAAGGGGTTTCGGACACTGGACTTGAGATTAAGAGCAGGTCTGGATGAACTAGTCAATCTGAAGCATTTACGTTGGCTATCATTCATACATGATAAGCACCAGCAGATTCAATCTGAGGATGCGACATGGATTGTAACCAATTGGCCGAGCATCGAATACTGTGAGGGCGTTGTGAATCGGGATCCTGAAACACAGAGTTTAGTGACTGACATTCTCAAATCGCACAATGTTGATACACCAGAATTTGATCTGTGGGAATAATATTTATTTTATCTCACTTCATAGTCTGATGGCTCTTAAACGAGCGCACTCTGACGAGTAACTACTTCAGTGACAACAACGTTGTGATTTTAATGTCCATCAAGGAAAGGCAATGGTAGTCTTTATAGTTTAAATGGTGCATAGTTGTACGGAATGCGAGCGCTTTGGATGATTTCTTAGGGTCTCTTATAGGCCTTCAGTAATATAAAGAGCAGTCATCCATACTGTTGCTGTGAAGACGGAGTGGACAAAATATCATTTAAGCTTGAGATCCAGCTATAATAGAGAGTGGGAGAGTGGAGGTAGTAAAGTGTTCGGTTTTACCCAGAAGTTTTAAGTTCTACCTACAACTCATCTTGCTGTTCACCTTTATTTTTCCCCTTTTCACAACAGGCCTTTGACTTCCGGTAACTCAGTTTGTGAGCTCACCTATAAAGCTCCCACCTTCCCTTTTGGCATCTTATGGCGCTGTTTGTCGTCAAGGTTATTTGCCTTGTTATTCTTGTCAACACTCTTTGTCCTGTCACCATCCTGATTTTGTGCTTATCTTCTTGCCCCTTAAACAGAAATATACAACACGCCTTTCTTTTATTAGTGACCGCGGTTTCACGTGCCTACAATGTCGCGTCGTATATAAAGTTAATAAAGTTGTGATTAACCTTTCTTCATTCAACCATTCCACCTGTCCAAGCTTCAGAAGCTCTTACCTATTGCCTTGTTACCTGATACCTGATACCTGATACCCGATACCCCCCTTTATAATTATGAGCTTTCCCAACTTACCCGGTACGCAAGAACAGAAGAACGCAAAGATGACACCACTTCGAAATATTCATATGACAAGAGCATATCTTCAAGGCAAGCAATGGCTGCAACAACAGCAAAAACATAAAGAAGAGCCCTCCATCTTTTATGATCCAACTCCACACATCAATAAAAACAATGCTACCAAGTCACATTCTAATCCACAGGTTGTTGCACCAATGCTGCCAGTTGCTACATCAGCGCCACCAAATGCTACATCAGCGCCACCAGTTGCTACATCAGTTTCACCGGTTCTGCAAGACCTAATCACCAATGAGCAGCAAGCTAGGCCCGAGTCACCTTTTATTCCTCTCTCAGAACGCAAGCAGCAGCTTGAAAAGAGTGTACTCATGAGCCAAAAAAAGGTAATTGCTTAACTGGTTGTGGAGTCTTCAGTCGAGAGCTTATTTTATTTTACACTATTTTACTTTACTTTATTTTATTTTATTTTATTTTATTTGTTTTGTTTTATATTTTATTGTTGTTGTTGCTGTTGTTGTTGCTGTTGTTGTTGCTGTTGTTGTTGCTGTTGTTGTTGCTGTTGTTGTTGCTGTTGTTGCTGCTGTTGTTGTTGCTGTTGTTGTTGCTGTTGTTGCTGCTGTTGTTGTTGCTGTTGTTGTTGCTGTTGTTGTTGCTGTTGTTGTTGAGTTCAGAAATATGTGTATTATATATTTTATGTATAAATGTGTGTCTGTAAAGAATCGTTGTAACAGAATTATTATTTTCTCTAATATACAATACACGTGCATAGGTCCTCCAAAGTTCAGGAACCTCGAGTGTACCTAAAATGGAGAAAACACGACTGACAGCCCCCAAATCCCCTGTGGTCACCAAGAGACGACATGATCCTCTTGGTGTACGCCCAAAGCCGACAGCACGACCTCAACGGCCAAAAACAGAGGCAACGCTGGTACCGCCATCACCATCGCCACCAAAGGCACAGGCGTTGGTGAAAACCAGACTGGCGGCTCCAAAGTCGCCAGTTATCGCCAAGAGGCGATACGATCCTCTGGCATCTCGGCCACTCGCGCTCAAACCAACAAAGCGCGCATCAACGCCGATGCCCACGCCGAGGCCGATGCCCAGGTCCACAGGGACAATCCCTAAACCCTTCCAGTTTGAGACTGAAGGTAGGAGCAAACGATACTGGGCACGGCTTCAGCAGCGGGAGGAGGAAGAGAGGCTGTTGGAGGAAGAGGGGAGGAGGAAGATACCAAAGGCGGTGGTTCTTCCTCCTAAGCAATCTATACCCAGGAAGGAGGTGAGGCCTCTGACTCAACCTAGGCCATTCATTTTGCGAACCCAACAAAGAGCTGTCCGTGCAGAGATTGAAGCTCAAAGACAAAGAGAAGAGCTTCATCGACTGGAGCAGCAAGCACGACAGCAATCATCACAATCGCAACGACAACGACAAGAGGCTAAGGTGAAGGATAGAGGTAAGGAGAGGGATAGGGGTAAGAAGAAGAACGAGGCTAAGGCTAAGGAGGAGGAGAAGACCATGGACGAGGAAGCGAATAAGGATGAGGAAGAGGAAGGAGACGAAGAAGAAAGAAGACGTAAACAAGAAAGAGAAGAAATAGTAAGTTTATACAAGGAGTTTGCTCAACGTCGATATCCTACCCCTGATCCCAATATGGATGCACAAACTTGGAGAAGGATGAATGATATTTGAAGAGGGGAAAAAAAAGAAAAAAACTTATTGTTTTTTTGTGAAGTAGAAACATTTGAAAAAAAAAAAAAAAAAAAAAAAAAAAAAAAGAAAAAGGAAAAGAAAAGAAAAAAAAAAACTTTATTGTTTTTTTGTAAGTAGAAACATTTGAAAGAAAAAAAAAAAAAAAAAAAAAAAAAAACTTATATTGTTTTTTTGTAAGTAGAAACATTTGAAAAAGAAAAAGAAAAAAAAAACAAACAAATTTTATTGTAATAATTAGCTGAATAAAATACGAAATCGTAACTTCACTCAATGCTTTAGGATATGAGATGCAATTTTAAATGAGATGGATGCGAAATAAAAAAAAAAAAAATATGCATAAATGAAAATGCTCTAAATACAAAGAAAAAGTGTTTTTTTTAAACGCGATCAACCACTTTTTCTGCGACGGCTTCTTGTTCTCTCCATGTTTTAGCCTTCACCAAAAGGACAACCAAGCCAATGGAACCCAACAAGGTCATGAGGGCCCAGAATGTGTAGAGCCATCCACTGCCCATGGCCCCCAACAGGGGGAGGGCTGTAAATCCTCCAATGGCACCGGTGACGCCTCGAGCAAGACTGTTGCAGGCCACTGCAGAGGTAGCCATGTTGTTCTGAGAGTTTGCATCCACGAGCGCTGTGGTCGTGCTAGAGTAAACCATCATCATCCCAAATCCTACAAAGAAGATCCCGACGACCGCTGAACCAAGTGCAAGTCGATTCTGAATTGACCAACCAAAAAGCATGAGACCAAGTGGTAACAAGAAAACACCTAACCATACACTAGAAAAAAATAAAAAAATAAAATAAAAATAAATATATAAAGTCAGTCAACTATTCTGGTTGAAGATGAGAAAAAAAAAAAAAAAAAAAAAAAATCCAATTCCTAACCTGCGAAGACGGATTTCCGGTGGAGCGCGCATGGTCACATCAATGACAACATCCTTTTCAGTAATCTCCTTGACAGGCGTAGAGCCGTTACTGCTGCTTGGGCGAGATCCATGTCCAGCTCCAAACATCGCCTCACGATCCCTCAACTCCCTCTGTCGCCTCAGCTCATGTTTGACCAACCAGCGACGCATCACATAATCCGAGTATCTGCCACCAACGATGGATCCAACGATGGATCCGAATCCTCCTGCGCAGAAAACAAGTCCAATGGTAGTCTCTGACATACCGTACACTTCGTGGAACGAGATCGGCATGGTGTTGTTCATACAAAACTGAGCTGCCAGGGATAATCCGTTGAAGGTGACCAAGAGGGCATTGGTAGGCGAACGAAGGCATAACAATGGTCGTAAAGGATTAAAGGCACATTGCAACATTGCCTTCCATATCTCTCGTTACTGAACATCCGTAAAGCCTAAGGTCAGTAATTGTGGAGTTGTGGGCCTTGATGAAATTGGAAAGATCGCTTGAAATATCCAGCCCTGCAATGAACTGTACTCTTTTGAGCAGTAGTAATGGGACACAGACACATCAACGTACTCCTTGAGCAATCTTCAAAATTGAACATTTTCTAGATGGGCTCGACAAGCGTATGGCGGAAAGCCTTGGAGATACGATTACAACGCAAGAGATCCTTTCGACGTAAGGAACTACCAACAACGGAAATGATTATGGAATCCCCAGAGTTTAATTCGAGACTGTTCATTATGCAAAGAGAGATGAGGAAGATAAAGATTAAGGATATGAACAGATATTGACATGCTGAGTGGACTGAGAAATGACTATTTTTTAAATGATATTTCGGATCACTTAGCAGCTGTGATCCTAATCAATAAGGGCTGGCGGTGTTTTTTAAAGTCTATCAGTAAAACCGCTTGCCTTTAAGATATTAAGAAACTTCTTTTTTAATCTCTTTATAGTCTAGAAAATGTTCAATTTTGAAGATTGCTCAAGGCATCTTATTGGCGAAGCACTGCAGACTAATAAGGAGTACGTTGACGTGTCTGTGTTCCATTACTACTGCTCAAAAGAGTACAGTTCATTGCAGGGCTGTAGGCACCTCAGACACATCGATTACCATGAGTATATTTCAAGCGATCTTTCCAATTTCATCAAGGCCCACAATCCCACAATTATTGAGCTTAGGCTTTACGGATATTCAGTAACGAGAGATATGGAAGGCAATATTGCAAAGTACCTACCTTGAGGTCTCACTCACTCATAAGGTACAGGAAGATGATGTCGATTTGGGATCGTGGACACGGTTGGAGTAGACATCAATCATTCTACTTCCGCATGCCAGCTAGGAAGTGTCCAGGATTATGCTCATTGTCTTTCAATGGCTGCAATGAGGGCCATGAAAGTACACAGTAAGTACGTATTGATTTCTGCAATAGAGTATCCCTTCATCATCCCTATGCACTGAAATGTCTACCAGATTTAACTTTTTCGCATACGGAAATAAATAACGAGGATATGACGGCGCTTCTCAGACGATGACTGGATTAAGATGGCTAGAGGCCCTAGTTTATGACTTCGGTCCCCTCTCCATGCGCGAATCATTAGTAGAGGAGCAGGAGGTTTTGAATGGTGGACACATAGTACGGAAAAGAAAGGAGCAGAGGCTTCGCGATGCAGTTGAGGCATTGGAATTCAATATATATATGGCACAATAACCCCCGGCACTGTTCAAGCGATTTTATCCAATTGTCCACGCCCGAAGAAACTACGACTATCTTGGATCGCAATGATAGAGGCTGTCGATGACTCAGAGTACGTTCGTGCTGAGCTAACTGACATTTATGTAATTTTGGGGATTGGTATTGATCTATAGATCGCAGAAGGTAAGGGAAAAGCACGTATTGTGCATGAGCAAATACACAAATTGGGCCCGATTAAACCAGTTTGGAGTCGGTAGTATCGCCTTAAGCGCCAGTACTTAGATGAATTCAGAACTTTACGAAGCGAGTGAAAAAGCCTTCAATCAGCTTTTATTGGCTATAGGGGGTGTAATGTCATCCATCCTGCTGTCCCTGTTTACTAGTCTGCCATGGTTTTTTTTTTTTTTAATTTCGTTGCAGAATGCCCTTGTTATCGAGAGCGTTCTGAGGCCGTGTTGTTTATTCTATGGGTTGATGGCATCGCCTTTTGGGTGGTCATGGAGGCCGACAGTACAAAGGTCCTTATGAATTTGATTGGGTTGCTCCTCAAGCCCAGGGCAATGAATGAGCGTATGCAGTTACTATAACCAGTAGTGATTGCTGACTACTAAGCTTAGTTCCTACCTGCCGTCTGTTCTCACAGAGGCCACGAATATCTTTCTAACAAGGCCTCAGATATGGGGTAAAGGATTACTACATCTGGATTTGTACTTATATTTTTTCAGGCATTTTTATGCTACTCTTTCTGAGCTACCTACATCATGATCTAAAAAATGATAAGGCTTTTAGTCGAGAGACACTTGTTTTTTATTGGGAAGCGGAGGTGGTTGATCAACGTAAACGACCTGGCTGCCTTAGGATTTTTTTCTATTTTTATTTTTATTTTTATTTTTTATTTTATTTTATTTTTTATTTTATTTTATTTTTTATTTTATTTTATTTTTTATTTTATTTTATTTTTTATTTTTTTTATATTAATTGATTAGCCTTGGTAGTTTTTCGGTTGGCTGAGCTCTCTGAGTAGTCTTTGAATAACTTTAGTTTTGGAAGGGCTTTATAGCCTTCAGTTGAGGTGGCCGCTGCTGTTTTGGTTTGGTTGCGGCTACTGTCGTTTGTTTTGGATATGTTTTTTGTATGTGTTTTGAGTGTGTGTGTGTGTTTTTTTTTTTGTTTTGTTTTCTTGCTGCCCATGTTGTGCCTGTCGTTATTGCTGGAGCCTAGCATAATTATATTTTCCTTTCTTTTTTAAAAAAGGGGGTTAGTAAGACTACTCCTTCAAAAGTCCGACTTCTTTTTCATCCGTTGGGTCTAACAGAAACATTGTATAGCAATACATAAAATCCATCTGTTGCCTTACTATATGCAGGCAGGCAAGGCTTACAATGGGCCATCGATGCCCAGAGCTGCCTATGTCCCCGGTGGAATGCCTACTCCGGGGCTTTTTCAGACATGGGCCCACGCCGGAATATCCAGGCTGTGGTCCTCCACTGCCGGAGCTGTTCCTCTTGGCAAGTCGATCCCGAGGACCCGCCTTAGCCCAATGGCTCTCTCCCTTGGGACTAGGATCTGTGCTGGTCCTCATCCTAGGCTAGACTCAAACCAACTAAGAGTTGTTTAATAAAAACTCTTGTATATGACTTGCATCTGCCCAGGAGGACCCAGTCTAGGCGCCTGCCGGTAGCCTCGTCTCCTGGCCTACATGAAATCCCCAAAGGTCTCTCGGACCGAAGCGGACTCCGGAGACTAAAAGCTCTCTAGAACAACCGCGACAATCCCCTTTAAGGGGCCACGACGGAAGACTCGGGTCTCCACAAAGTGAGGAGGATCCGGTTTAGATGAATGAGATGGACCAGTCTGGTTTTCACCAATGCCTGTGGAATTGGTGGCGATGGCAATGGCGGCGGCGTTGACTCTGTTTTTGATTCTTTTGGTGGTAGTGTCAACTTTGGCCTGGGCGTTGACGATGATGAGCACCCTATGGGTTTGGAAGTGGATGGTAGGGGCCCCACTAGACTGGGGCCCTCATTGAACGGATCTGGGAAGTCCCACTAGGCTGGGACCTCTCACCGAATGGTTCTGAGGGCCTCCATTAGGCGGGACCCCCTTGTTGGCCACGGTTGGGGGCCTCAATCGGATGAAACCTCCGTCGAGTCAGGTCCCTCTCTCGAAGTGGATAGGCTTCTAAGGGAAGCAGAAACAAAGAGAAAAGAAGCAAAGGAGAAAAATAAAATAAGAAACATCCACAGTTAGACTCTTCTGTTGAGGACTGAGCACAGCATAATAGAGCACAGCTTGGTAGATATGCAGTCCTTCATTTAGCATATACACGGCAGAACATGTTTCAGCGTATACGCAGTAAAGCACACCAAGGTGATACACAGCTCTAGACTCCTCGGTATGTTGCGCTACGCTGATTTGGGTTTATACCGAAAAGCGCTTAGTGTGTGTATACCCTGAGTTGGCTAGCTGTGCATATATCATGGAGCATTAAGCTGTGTGTATATACTAAGGCATTGAGTCGTGTATATGACCAAAATGACAACAAAAAAAAAGTATAAAGAAAAGATAAAGGCAAAAAGAAAGAAAAATATGGAGAAAAGGCCAGAAAGAGTGCTTACAATCTGGTTTTTATTCCTAGTGCCGGAAGCACTGTCCATAACCGCGGCAGTCTCCGGGGTGGGCGGCGCGGCGCCAAGCATTTTCGTTTCCCATCATAGTTAGAAGGAAGAACAAGGTGGGTGAATAAGCTTGGACGAGAAAAAAAGTTAAAGAAACGCCAAGATAAGTGAGCAAGTCGGCAAGTGTGGTGGATATTTTTTAGATCTACGGCAGAGAGTGGACAATGGACAGTGGGTAGTGACTAACAAGGAAGTCAAAAGCGAAGCACTACATCTACTCATAAGCCGCATACTTACTTGACGGCGCCGACGGGGGCCCAATCCTGCGTGCTTGTGTTGGTTTGCAAAAGGAGACTATTGTTTGTGAAGGGCAGTGGAAGGTGAGGAGAAAAAGAAAAGAAAAGAGAATCTTGTATTGAGCGAGTCTATTTAGCTTTTCATATGTCCATATCCCCATAACTTCATATTTTTAAATGTTCACATGTCTCTCCCTCTTTATTTTGCTATCTTTCTATCTCATCTCGCTTGTCTTTCAAAAAAGCTAAAGTCGCGTGAATTCCAAAAGGTCGATCAATTGCCTACGTCCCATTGGCTAGTTTTACCATTATCACTGAACAGTGAGAAATAAAGTGTATTCGTTTTACTTTGCTCGATCTGAATGACCCAGATAATATGAGGAACAGCTATTCATCTGTATATGGTTCGAATGAGGCTCAAACCACACTATGGTTTGTTAGTCAGCAGCTTTAAGACGTGGCGTGTAGTTTCGAAAAAAAAAAAGAAAAAAAAAAAAAAAAAAAAAAAACTTCTCTTTCTATTATTAACTTACATTGGGCCTCTTAAGTGCGCCATACTACCCCATACTATCTAACAGCCAAGGTATTCAAACCACCTAAATGACAAAGAGAAGAGCAGCACTTTTCAGACAGGTGACTAGACTCAGGTGGCTGATTGCCCCCATAATGTGGTTTCGGCCCGCTCTCTATGTGAGAAATGTTATCAGGCAAGCAGGAGATTTTGGATAATAGTCGCATAGCACGGAAAAGAAGGGAACAGAGACTTCTGTGCTACAGTTGAGGGATTGGGATTCAACAGCCATACCACAAGAACTGATGGTATTGTCCGCGTCTGAAGGACCTGTGCGGACCTAAATCATGGTGACGGAAAATTATTGATAATGCAGAATGAGTTAGCATTGGCCCCGCCAGTTTGGTCGTCCAGCTGGAAGCAGCGGGTATAACTTGAGGATGTGGCATGGATTATAAACATTTGGCCAAGTATCCGTTCCATGATGGACATTATAACCCATGATCCTGGCGCACATTGATTAGTAGCTGCGTTACTCCGATCGCACTGTATTTATTAGAGAGCTTTAGATTCTCAATATGATTCAGATGACTTGACTCATTTCCCTATGAATATCTGCTTTTTCTGATATTTGTATTTTAATTTAAGGAGAAATAATGATGATGGATACAATGCAGACGACATGGATGGCTTATTGTGATCTTCTACTACGATGAATGATATTATTTTCTCGATAGTATGATGGGGGTCATCCAAGTTATAAATGTGATGGTGAAGATGAGAAAGATTGAATGTTTCGAACTCTAGCTGCGATTGTTTAATGAGAAAATCGGGAGGAAGATGTTGATGTTTTTGGCCTTTTTGAACTTGGTTAATCTCAAGGGTAAGAGCTTTGCAGCATTAGTTTGTTTTTCTCTTTTCATATGCTCCCCCAACTATTAAATAGCGACTGCTAGTTAGAAGCAAAGAACGAAACCAAGCGTTGTTCTTTTACGGAGGTCTCAATGCTCCATGAGTTGCTGCTACACTTCTCATTAGAACAGAAAAAGAAAAAAGAAAGAATACAAAAGGTGCAAACGTACAAAATCATAAAGACATACTGACCCAACATAGGGAAAAGTAGGCGGTTTGCTTGGCTCGAACCCTGCCTATTGCAGTAAGGTCCGTCATGACAAGGAGACCCGAAGAAGTAGTAGTGACATAATTTGAGTCTACTGATTACTGGGTAAAGCTTGCTGTTCGTGGACACGAGTGTAAAATATATGAATATCAATGCGTTTGTGCTTTGGGCCTCGTTCTTCATTGTCCTCCCCACTCCGATCATTCCACTTCACATCATTATTGCCGATGAACTGGATGAATACTTACCGTACACTGCCTCCCATATGAAGAAGGAAATAATCAAGATTAACCAACATTAATGACTAACTATTATCCCATCCAATATCGGTGTTCGGAGATGAGGGCTCATTCCTTCATTTCGCTCAAGAGTATGGGGAATACTGGATGACCCTACAGAGGGATAAATTCACTATCACCCCTTTCAATAGCTACATGGACATGCTGTTTAGTGCACTCAACGACGCATATGGTTATTGAGCTGTGTCATACTTTGCCACTAATTTACAATTTTACTACTCTTTACTTGTATTGACCAATAAGTGTTGAACAGACGTACAAAAATGAGCACTTTAAAGAGTACTAGCTTCCTGAGCGAAAAATGGAAGGTAAAATGCTTTTCAGGATATTCACCCCTACTACAGTTCCCAGCCTCCTCACACCATGATAACTGTTCTAATTCCGACTTTTCTTCTTCTTCACCTACCCTTGCTAGTAGCGCTAGCCGTTAGAGCTGTTTGTTAAGTTACTGGCAATCGTGCTTTTATGTTCCATTCTATCCTTCATAAAATACAAAGTGTTCAGCATGTTCCGATTATTTATCGTGTCATTAATCTAATACTGCTTTTGCTTGTCCTATTCACACTTCTCCTCCTTCATCCCCTTTCGTGCTTATCGATATGCCAATCCCCAACCAACGTCTTATCCATCTTCTTCTCCTCCGCTCGATTACTGTCTTTGAACGACTTGAACTTGTTGACATAACTGCTCATCAGCTGTTGAGGGAAGCTGCGATGGTAGTATCGGGGACACTTCAGTAGGATTAGAGGCCCCAATCGACGAACAAAAGGCTTTGGTTATACGGCAAAATGCTAGTATAGACTGACTGGGCCCAATAGGTTGGGTGGGATAGCATGAGCAACTACCCTGAGCGTAGGCTACTTGGGACACATGACCTGTAGCAGCACAAAGAAAACATGGGCGCATGAATTGGTACATAGACATGTAGTGTAACTTGTAAGATCCATAGTTGAGCAATATCATTACACAAATGAAGAGCAACATGTAGATCAATAATGGGATGCAAAGCTTGTCTCCCCAGTGGGGTAGCCATGCACGGGCCAATGGTTAACGAGGAGGCCTTAAGAGGAAAAAGAGGGATCTACAAAGTAAGGGATAGATAATAGATCGAGGAGGTTATAGAAATCAAAACTACAGACATCCCGATGCGATGAGTGTTCGAACCACATGCGGTGTGAAGGGGTTTTTATTTTTTGCATGAAAGGCAAAAGGATGTAAGAAGTATGTTGAATAAGGTTTTTGTGCTCAGACAAAAGACATGTATAAGAAATAAGACGACCAATCAGAGAGCGTCCTTTTTTCTGTTCTCCCCCTTTGGACATGTATTTTTTCCTTGTGGCCTCTGCCCTGTGCAACATGTGGTGGCCATTCATTCTTCAATGATTTTCTAGTCAATGACCATGGTCATGGACATGGTCGTGGTTGTGGCAACAAATGAATTGTTTATTTGTGAAGTGAAACAAGTTCAATGAGCTTTTTATTCGTTAATTTAGAGTGCTTGTCTATCAGTGTAGTTGCTTTTTAGGAGATGTCTCAATCGATTCCTATTTCAACAGAGTTTTCAACAACGATGGAAATAAAGCGTGAACATGCTACATGTTACATGTTATGCATACAACCTGTTTAAAAAAAAATGATGCTTACTGATGATAGGAAAGACAAAACCAACATGAATAAGACGACCATGATGAACACAAATAAAACAAAAAATGAGAGACAATAAGGTCATTCTGGGACCGTGCTTTTTCTTTTTTTTCTTTCTTGGTCTCACACTTTTTTTTTTTTTTTTTTTTCTTTCCTTTCTTTTCCTTTTCCCTTTCCTAATTTCCTCTTCCCCTCTTTATCCTCTCTCTTTCCAGCACCTCTCTTTTTTCCTCACTTCCCTTTACTCACGCGTGGAAATTATCTGTTTCTCTCTTTCCCCCGTGACCGTCTTTGCTCAAGAAGGTTTGCACTTCTACAGGAGAACAAGAAAAGAGCCTATTTTCCCTTTCCCTTGGTCTTTTTTGAGGGCCTTTCTTCGCCTTCTTTTTTTCACTCTCTTTGGCCACCAAATTGCATCAGCCCATTGTTCATTCCTTCTTTCTCTCTATTCTATTCTTATTTTTATTTCCTTCCTCTCTCTCATTCTTCGCTCTTCATTGACACATAGACTTGGCACAGACATTTCTTTTGACCATCATGGACGGTTCTCAGCATCCGTCTGGACTCGGCACGCCACCTCTTGTCTCCCCAAGGCCCATTCAGCCCAATAAACCGTCCACAGTCTCAAACCATACCAGCTGGAAGGTTGTTGGCAGTCCCCCTCGGGGAACAATCTCCTCGCCACCAAACAATCACGTCAATACCAGTGCTCAGAAGAGTGCTGACAAGGGCGTTGAGAAGAGCATTGAGAATTCTGAGAACAGTGCTGAGAAGAAGGTTGAGAATAGCACAGAAAGCAGTTCTGGGATCGAGGCCAAGGTCCATAACGATATTGCTTTTAATGAACACAAGCAGCATGGCTACGACAATCTATCCTCGGTCATACCGGAGACGACAGCATCTCATGAGCATCCTATTGAGCCATTGGCTGTATCTGCCCCAGTTTCTGACACATCATCTACGCCTGTTGTTAGTTATGGTCTTTCTGTAAACGATTCGTGTTCTTCGCCATTCCGACAGAAGCAACTTGACGGCTCCCTACAAACACCCACCACACCATCGCCACAGGCTCTGCAGGCGTTTACACACACTCTCTCATCCCTCGATAGCTTGATAATCGACCCATCTTCAAAATTTTACACACCAAACACAAGTCCAAGTCACGATTCATCTTTTAGTCGCTTTGAGATTAATGCAAATACGAAGGGACAACATGAAAGGCAGCGTTATAGCAATAACACTCTTCACATCTCCAGTGAGCCAAACAATAGCGTAGCGCCCAAAAGTGGCGTTACAGTTGAGTTGGAATCACCTCTCTCCATGACTTCGTTTCTTTGGAACGACTGCGTCACAAAAGATGGCGCTTACTCGACATCTACCTTCAGTACTACACGTAGTGAAAACCCTAATGTTACCAGAGAGGATACATTAACTGCTCTTCAAACTGATCCCTTTGTCCCTAATGTCCAACCCCGTACATTCAGAAGTCTTTCTCTTTCAGAACCCCCGGGATTCAATCTTGGTCTTGCCAATGCCCAGAATGGCGCCAAGCGAAGCGGCTACAGTCAGGAGAATGTGGATCCATTAGGCTCATCCTATAGAATTGGGCTACCAACTATGGAAGAAGAATTTGAAGATAGCTCTGAGCATCTGAGAACAACTCGTGCAAGAAGCTTTTCTACTTCAGCAGCGTTTGGTCCAAGGTCGTTTCAGAGCTTGAGTACAAATACCGTTTTTTATAATGTTGGAAACCAAGATTTGCTTTCACCATCGGCCTCTGGCACTGATCCAGGCCCACTGTCACAGCTCAACAACCAAGATCAGCACCCATTTCTACAGCGCAAACATTCTGGATACTCCACCTGGCCCAGTCTTCCGTTTCACAATACTAACAATAGTAGGTCGACCGTGCCTTCAAATCATCGTCGATCAATCACATCTAACAGTTATGTACCGCCTATCTGGGAGACCCCTAGAGAGAGCCCCCACTTACTTCCGCCTCTACCCGTCACGGAGCAAGAACGATTAATGGAACGACAGCGTATTCCCCGGAGGTTTTCGCTTGCACCCTCTTCTGGATTCCAACCATATGATCAATTCTTGGAATCGGAGCATTTGGGAGCACCATCATTACATGGACCTCATGGCAACAGGTACTACTTTTTTTGTAAATTTTCTTTAAAAAAACGTTGAGCGATAGACTAGCCCTGTTCGATAACAAAACAAGTGAAGGCTATTGGCTAGTACTTATTATTTCAATTGTTTTTGTGTCGAAAAACAGAAGCCTTCTAGATAATGAGAGTGCGCATCTACAGCGACGTCACTCAGTTGCTGGACCGTCGGGACCATATGTCTATTCTATCACTACTTCTACACTCAGCCTTTGTCAACCATTAGAATCGCTACAACTTGACGCCCCTGAGGCAGCACAAAGCTGGAACTTGCGAGAGGAGTTTGAACATGACTACAAGCAAAATCAGACTCCTGGAACGACGGACGCTATGGGGTCGAATGACCTAGGAAAGGGTGTAACTCTCAGTCAGCTCTCTCATTATGGTGCACTCTACTTGGTCGAATTTAAGGCTGGTCGTAGTGACCTTTTTTATGTCGCAGATGGTAGCAATATGACGTTCAAGTGTGGTGATCTAGTCATGGTTGAAGCAGATCGTGGAAAGGACTTAGGGAAGATCACGAACGATTCAATCACACCATCACAAATACAAGCTTTGCAAAAGGAGCAAACAGAGGCTGCAGCCATGGGTGCTCAACAAGAGGGGCAACGTACTTCAAAAGAACTTCATCCAAAACGTATCTTTCGCCCAGCTCTTCCTTCCGAAATTGCACAGCTTGCAAACAAGAATCAAGATGAAATCAAGGCCATGTTGGTGTGCCAAAATAGAGTTCGCCAGAAGAAGTTACCGATGGAAGTTGTTGACGCTGAGTATCAATGGTAAGCTTTTTTTTTTTTTTTTTTTTTTTTTTTTTAATTACAGTTTTTATATGTACTTCAACATGCCTAACCCCATTCTCATCTCACAGGGATCGCCGCAAGTTGACTTTCTACTTCCGTGCAGAGCATCGTATCGATTTTCGAGAGTTGGTTCGCGACTTGTTTAAAATCTATAAGACGCGTATTTGGATGTATGCTGTGAGCCCTTCGAAGGCTACATTAAACAACCGGGATGTTGGTATGCAAATGAGTACTCCTCATACCCAGACCTCGCCCCTAGTCTCATCCTCACCTCCACAATCTCTCCAATCGATTCAACGTCAAAATCATTCAATATCTCTGACGTCAACACATCCACATGGTCATAATCCACATCAGCAGCAATATCCGCATCATCATCCTGCTCAGTATCACCAACTTCAAGCTCAGGATCAGATGCTTCAGATGCAATCCCACTATTTTTCAGCGCCTCCTCAACAGATGTTTTATCATGGTTTCCAAAATGATCGCCCATTATTAGATGATGGATCATCGCATCTCCCCTTATATGACCCAACCTATCCACTACAGTCCCCTCATCCTTTGATGTGAGAGACTTTTTTTTTTCCTTCTCTCTGTTTATATATATCGTTTCTTCTTTTTTTATACACTTTGTTCTCTTTGTCTACTCGAACTTGTTCACGTACGACAGTGTCTTTGTTTCCTCTTAACTTTTTTTAGAAGCGTATCGTTTCACGTGCGCTAGCCTCTTATTTTCTTCTACTTACAACTGTGTAAATGTTATTCTTTTTCTCCCACCTGGCACTGCTATGCTGGCACCATTTCGTTATACAGGGCTGCTAGTGCTTGTTAAATACATGTCATTGTCGGTTTCAAAACCTTGTTAAAGTTTCTTTCATACATATACTTCATACAGAACAGCATTGTGGAACGTGTTCCATCATGCAATATAAAGATGCATAGCCATAAAAAATTGAAGCATCTATAGTACAATTGTTGCAAAAGACAACTAATATGAGGTGCGTGGGAGGTGGAGAATGGCTAAATCACTAAACTATATGTGTATATAAAAAAAAAATAAAAAAAAAATAAAAGTTCAACCACCCTCCATTTTTCTTATTCAACTTGAGCTGTTGTCATCTCTTCTACATCTTCAACACCTTCAACACCTTCAACATCCTCCTGGAGTAGGAGTGAACAGTTTTTAATTACTGTACTCTTACTCGTCTTCGGCAGCGATGATACGGATGCCGACATTTGCACTGTAATGGAGGGTGCAGATCCAACTCTGATCCGACCCTCGCGGTCAATATACATGTTATCTGTACAGAAGCTTATCCTTCGTTCCCGTTCAGACTCTTCAATGCGCTCTAATGAAGATGTGCTCGAAAGTTGATCATCCATTCCATCATCCGAGCCAATCACCATAAGCTCCTCCTCCTTCTCTGCCTCAGCTCTTGCCAAGTCCCTGTCCAATGATTTAAAGACATCCTGAGAACTCATAAAAACTTGTTGATTCCGTGTCAATGGCAATGATGTTGGTGATGGTGATGATGATGTTTTTGATGTCAAAGTCGTTGCTGTTGTACCAAAAAGATGAAGACCAACAATGTTTTTTTGTCCTTCTTTAACAGAACCTCCTCGAACGAGGTTTCTATCAACATCTCCTTCATATTCAGAGTTATCCTCATCATCTTCACCAACTTCGTCCTCATCCTCGTCCTCAATTTCGTCTTCGTCTTCGTCGTCTTCATCAGAATCATCCAAATCATCAGAATCATCGTCCGATTCTTCTTCCTCATCTTCCAACCAAGCGATAAATTTAGAGCTCTAGGAAAATCAAGGAAATCGCAACAGCAGTAAGGACGATAAAAAAAGTAAGAAAAAAGACTTAGTTTGAGAAAGGTACATATAAAGACATAATATGCAAGTAAATATATATATATATAAACGAGACGAGCAAGATTCACATACCATACTACGAAGACCACCTCCATGACCGAGCACGCCATTTGGCTCCTTGAATAGACGCCACCATTCAAGAATAGCATCTGCATCCAAGACATCAAACTTGTAAAGCGCCATCAGTTGAGCCGTATGGTTACGCATCCATCGAGCATTTGTCTTTACGGTTGTCTCCAATTTATCCAGCAACATCCTTTGTTCCTGATGGGATGTCACATAATTCAACAACAGTGGTACATAGATCGCTTTGAATTGAGTCTCCACTGCCTCCTTAACATTGACACTGGCACTGGCACTGGCACTGGCGTTGATACGATTCCCTCCAGTATTTGAAATAGATGGTCCTGAAATATTCCCCCATCCCCCTGTAAGAGGCCCTCCTGCCTCGATTCGTGCATCTTCCCACCATTTTGTCGATTCTTGTACCAGAACCATGACCAGGTCTTCTGTTGAAGAATCGTATTTTAACAAAAGATCATCCAACTGAAGGATCATACGGGCAGGCGTAAATTTAGCATGAAGAGCCTGATGTAAAAATTTTTGTGCCATAGAATCAAAAGTCTCATTGGCATCTGCCGGTAAATCCTCCTGAACATCATCCTCTGAGGATTGTAATTGTTGCTTTTTGATCATGATCTCCATCATTGTACAAGGCGCTTCATCTGAATCATCATCGTCCTCGTCCTCGTCATCATCATCTTCTTCGTTCGTGACTTCATTCCCTACATCCTTAATTTCCCCATCCTTGATGAAGACTTCCTGTACCGAGAAAATGGTAGAGTGAGATGGAGCAATGCTGAGAACGTCGCAGGGCGTTATAGAAAACGTAACCTTCTTCTCAGGCTCAGCTACCTTTTCGCCTTCAGCGGAGATTGATTTCTCAACAGCTTCATCAGATACTGGAGCTTGATCACTTTGATCATGTTGCTCAACATTCAAGGATAACGAATCAGGCGATAGATGTGATAATGATGGGGATGATGGGGATGATGGGGATGATGGGGATGATGGTGACGATGGCGGTGGCGGCGATGATGTCGGTACAATACTAGAGGACTCTTGCTTCATTTGGCTCTTGCTTGATAATGATGGTACATAACTGAAAAACTCGTCTTCTTCATAGACGCTATCCAATAAATTTGAGTGATGTAGCATTAACCCTCCCGTAAGTCCTGAGGAGAGTGAATAAGTAGAACTGTTATATCCAATCTTGTAAGAATTGCTGGTACTGTCATTATGACTCCCTTGGGATGATGTTTGTCTACTACGACTCTGTTCTTCCTTTTGCTGCTTCAGCTCTTCACTCATCATCTCTAATTCGGCTTTTAGATTAGCCACCTTGTTCTCCTCTTCTTCCAATTTGTTATTAAGTTCCTTTCGGATCTTCAAGTAGATCTGATCAATCATGGCTCTACTGTGTCTTTCAGCAGCCAAGTCTGCTTTGGCTTGAGCGAGAGATGATTTAAGAGTTTTGTTCTTGGCGATAAGCCTTTCAATGGATCGCTTTTTCCGAGAGCGACGTTTTTCTAGAACCAAGGAATCATCTGGGGTTGAAACAACTGAGGAATAATCTGTATCATTTGAATCACTGCCATGAAAAGTAGCGTCATCTTCCGTCCCAAATGTATCATAGCCACTGCTCGTGTTTTCTGGTTCATGTGGGGTTCTAGCAAAGCATCAAAAAATGCAAGCAGTCGTATATGGAATAGAAAGAGAAAGATGATTTCAAATGATGTCAGACAGGCGGAGAGAGAGGGAGGGGGTGTAAAATGTCACATGTTGTATGCATTTACAAAAGTTTCTTCACTTTACCTGGAAGATGTGCTTAAAGTATTTAATCGTTTGTTGGATTGAAAAGTGGGTCCATGCTCCTTCTCCTGCAAATTTAATTCTGCATTGATTGATTGAGACTGCTGATCAGTGCTCTGGACAGAGGGGGAATCAGAAGTAACAGAGATAACAGAAGCAGTAGAGGGGGAGAGAGAAGCGGCATCATTGGCAGCAGCAGCGGCAGGCTGAACAGTAACAGGAGTGACGGGAGAGTTTGATGAGACCACTGTAGCTTTCCATGGTGATGAGTGTGCGGCTCTAGGCCGAACAACAGATGCAAACGAAGGGGGGCTCACTGACCCTCCTACCTCAGACGCAGATGAGGGTGCTGACGTAAATGAAGACATGTCCGTCTTGTTTCCTCCAAGCTTGTTGTTTTTATCCTGAACAGATGCAGGTGTTGGTGCTGCTATTGTCCCTGTCGTTGCTGATGTTACTGTTGGTGATGACGGTGATGACGGTGATGGAGAGGATCGAGATTGAGAAGAGAGCTGACGATGTGAATGTCTATTGATTGGACTACGAGGAGAGCAATGGCATGGGCCATTGTATGATTGCTCAGATTCTAGATCATGGTAGTCTTTATCATGGCGAGGAAAGAATTGTTGTTGTTTTTGTTGGTAATAGTGATGCTTTTGACCCGAATTACCACTAGGTTTACGAAGTTGTAATGAGCGTTGATGATGCTGCTGCTGCTGAGTGTGAGGTTGTTTTTGAGGATGATGCAATTGTTGTTGTTGTTGTTGTTGTTTGTTAAATGGTAAAGAGTGTGAGGTACGGGAAGAAGGGGAAGAAGGAGAAGGGGATAGATTGGGACGAATCCTAACAACGTTGTTATTGTTATTATTGTTGTTATAATTAGCAAAATGATTGAAAGAGGATTTGAAGAAGGGCTGGGTTTGTTGTTGTTGCTGAGGAGAAGGTTGTTGCTGTTGTTGCGACAACACCATGACGGGGGTCTTTGCTTTCATGGTGATAGATGGAATTGAGTGTGGATAAGTTAAGGAGTAGAGAGTGTTATGAAAAGGAAAAACAAGGAAAGGCAGGCCAAGGGTTTCTAGGAAAGGAGAAAGGGGAGTAACTGGGAATAGCTGGGATGTGGAGGGCAATGAAAAGATTGTAAAATGAGCTGGTGAGCATGGGAGAGAGAATGGAAAAAGAATGAAGTAAAGAGTAAGAAGTAAATGACGATGTCAATGGATAAGGAATAGGAGATAAAGAAAGAAAAGGAGAGAAAAAGATAAGAAGAGAATCTTGTTCGGAAACTTTTTTTTTCTGTGGTCCAAGTTCCCACCAAGACAAAGGGCTCCACAACACATCATTGGAGAGAGCAAAAGGCAAAGGGCCCAATTTCACATCTCACACAGAAATCAACACACATTACAAACATCTTACATGTTTTACATGTGTACAAAACACATTTAAATGCCTCCATTCTATTCTATTCTCTGCATTAAAAATACAAACACAGTCAACAAAATGCAAAATGATGACTCAACCTGAGCAGTGACTCCGCCACCAAAAATATAAAAATTTGTTTCACGTGGACAACCCATTCTGTCTTAAATAGTCCTCAATCAAATATATTTGTAACGTTTTTAAATCGAACAGAATACTTATTTTTATAGACGGAAAATAAAACGTACAAACTCAGATTTTTGATTTTTATGGTCAACAAGACGCTCCTCCTCAGACTGGCTATCCTCCACCACATCAGACATGCTTCGAGCATCTGACATAAGATCTACAACTATCTCAGGACACAGAGTGACAGCCTCAGCTTGCTCTTGACTTACCACTCTTAGGGGTTCCGTGCCCCATTCACCGCTGTCAATTGATAGCATCATCAAAGTTCTCAATAACCTCCTCTTCATCAAAGATCTCTTGATAAACCTCATCTGGTATCTTCTCATCCAATTTCCGTCTACAAGTTTTATATTTATAGGGCGGCACTTTATATAAGCTGCTTGGAGCGTGACATTCTCCTTGGAGTCATGGAAGAAGTTTTGTCGGAACCCTTTGCCCTAATATAATCCCATTTTACGGAGGTCGCGAGTTATCCCCCCTTTAGTTCATTTGCCACTAAAACTGAAGAATTAGGCGACCTACTCTTGTTTGTTTCCACTATTCTGTCCACCAAATTAGAACTCAGATCTCGATCCGCTTCTTTTTTTAAGTCGTCCAGCTCTTTTTTTTTTTTTTTTTTTTTTTTTTTAAAAAAAAAACATACACGTTGTCACAAGGAGCAACACGTTCATAAGAGTCTAATGTTAATATTAAAAGCATACATCATATCATTCTCCGTGGCATGCCAATTTTATATTCTTGCACAACGACCAAGGCTGCTTTTTTTTTTTATTTTTATTTTTTTTTTTTTTTATTTTTTTTTTTTTTTTTTGTAGCATACTTCTTCCAGGTAAGAAGCCTTAATGAAGAGAAGGGTCTATGACACACCATTGACTATGTCGCCTTGTTCTCATTTTTCTATCCCCACCAAAAATCCTATCACATTTATTACTCCCATTATTAAACATGCTTCTTTTCTTCACTCTTTCAATACGTTCACATCCTTCGTTAATAAGATATATATACATCAACTGACTGTCTTTCTTTATGCTTTCTATTCCTTTCTTCTATTCTTAATTAATGTTACAAGTGCAACAATAAGGTCCAAAAAAAAAAAAGTTATTCAACAGCGCATATTCAATAACAAAACTCCCACTCAATCAAAAAAACCTGTCCCTGGTTCTAAATGCTATAATCTGAATCCGAATTACTAAAATCAAGAACATCATGTGTCGTAATATTGTATGATTGAAATAAGCTAGCCGTTACATAATGCCTAGAATTCACAATGCCCTCCAAGTTTTCGATATTCGGCCAATTTTTTAAAATCCATTTTGCATCCTCAGGTAGCATTGTTTGATGCTCATCGCCTTCGAATGATAACGAATGCAGATTCTTCAGGTTGATTAGCTCATCCAGACCAGCCCCTAACCTCAAGTCCAACGTATGCAATTGCTCAGATGTTGAGCTACCCGCTGTCAGGGCAAGGACCCGTAGTCGAGTCAACTTGCCTATTTGCCTAAACACAATACGTTGCTTCTGCATGTCTTCTACAGTCTCTTGACCGACGTCAGCTACAAGCTGGATGGACAAGTTGGTAAGGCCAGTGCTGACCCATTTTGCACCACTGACAATTTCTGTCACTGTAATTTTAGCTCCGCTCAGTTTTTTCAGACGTGGACAGTTGGATAGGATCGCTTGAACAACCCCATCAGTTCTTTCACTATCCCTATTGTATTCTAGCTCCTCAATTGTATCACAGAGCCTCTGGCTCCTTCTTATTCGTGCTCTATGTCCGCCGCCATGCAAAATCTCCTGATCGTCCGCAAGTAGTTCTCGAATGGAGAGTGGACCGAAATCACAACGTGGAACAACTAGCCGTCTTAGTTCAGTCATCTGCCGGAGAAGCGCTGCCATATCTTCGTCCTTTAATAGCACCGTACCAAGGCCTAGCTCCGATACATTTGTCAGTGTTTGGGGATGATGAATGACTATTTCCCTGTAGAAATCATCATGCATTTGCTGCATTTCTCGCTCGTCCGCTTTGCAATAAAAGAATTCCAATGAACGTAACCCTGGGCATCGTCTAGCCAATATGCCGAGGCAGTAGGATGATGTGTGCGGATGTGGCGGATCAAGTATTTGGATATTCAGTAGCTTTAGTCTGATCACACTTGGGAAAATAAACTTGTTCGTGCCGTTGCCCAAGAAGTCGGAAGGTAGCCCATAAACGACTACACTAGACATTTCTAAGGAGTTAAGTTTCTTACAGACTTGAAAGAATAGGTCGACTTGATCTTCGAATAAAGCTGCCTCACAAATGGTCAAGGTTTTAAGGTGAGTGCATCCTAATAGTGCTTCCCATATCCCCTCTAAATGTGGTCCTTGGAAGCTTAGCCTGGTGATTGTTGAACTGTGAGAATTGATCAAGCGGTCTATCGGATTCTTATAGAATGAGGGCTGTGTTTTGCATTCGATAGACTGGAGGCGACCACAGCCTTGCAGTGCCATGTACTCTTCTGGGAAGCAGTAGCTAAATTCAAGCTCTTCGATATAGTTCTTGTTATTCTCCAGTGCTTTCTTAGTGGGAAAGGATCCTAAATAAAATTGCTTGACAACGATCCTTCTCCAAATGAATCTAAAAAGTGTGCTATGGAAAACCCTGGAGACACGAATACACTGCAAGAGATCATTTCGACCTAGGAAAGCACCAACCAACGAAATAATTTCTGGAATGTCCAAGGGATGCAATTCGAGATCGTTCATGTTGCGAAGAGATGATCAAGATTAGAATGACTTTGTTAGCATAAAACTGGCTGCTTTTTTCATCAATTCTGTTCCTGAAGAGATCACAAAAATGCAACTCCAGGGGTAAGGATTCCCACAATTAAGCTGGTTGACGGGGAGGTAAAGATTGATATTTCGAGAATCTTTACGGAGGGTGTAGCGGAATTCTCAACCAGGTCAAAATTTTATTCTGATGGCGGGGGGGTGCATTTTTCCTTAATTCCTTCCTTTACTCCCTCACAGGGGCTGCTTTTTTTAAATGAAATGAGCCCAAAACACAGAAAAAAGCACTCGTAGCTTGTTTCTGGATTTGGAGCCTATTTAGCAAGATTATTATCTACACGAGCTCATGACACACTTGTGCTGAAATATAAAATATAAAAGGCAGAAGATTGTAAAAGTTCGATCTAATTCAATGTTCCATGATTGTTCACTTGGCTCAAGATGGTAAAAAAAGTGAATCGATTCTATACATCGCTATTAGCTGTTTTCCTGAGGCATGGCTTATTCCAGTTATCCCCCCTCAAATCATTGCCTGGTTTTCGCTTGCATTTCTTCAGGTTATCAAGGAAGTTGGTGTGTCGAGCAGGGAATATACTTCCAATGTTCCTGTCGTCGACGTTAATGATGATCCGTTTGAGATTTGGACTTGCAGCGAATTCAGGCTCTGGATCTGGGCGCACATGTTGGTATTGTAACACTTCAGCTGGGTATGCAACGACCATGCTAATATATATGCCGGATGGACACAAGTCATGAAGGGTTGACGAAGTGGCATTGATGGTGCTTAATTCAGATTGATCAAGTTCCACTTTGGTGTTCGCTGATTCTTTGGTCTTATCGACTATTTCCCTTTGTTGACCTTGTTCAATGTGTATTTTCTTTTCCAATGTTACACCGCTTGTTGTTGCTAGAGCACGTTCTGCATCGCTTTTTGGGGGACCTTGTCGTAACTTGAGCGATGTAGTGGTAGTGATTGATACTTTGCATTGGATAGTGAGTAAAAAAATAAAAATAAAAATAAAAAAAATAAAAAATCGGGGTTTGTACTGTAGGTGACGTTTACCTGGACAAACACAGGAGCAACGACATTGCTGCCGTTTATTTGGACAAAGAAAATGACATCTGGCCCTGAGTCATAAGGTAGTTAGACGTCCATTGTGTTAGATTCGATTAGCTCTCTTTACAAGAATTGCTAGCTGACAAACAAGAAGTGGTGGATAGTCGACAGCTAGTATGGAAGACAAGGCTTCGGAGGCTCTGTGAGACAGTTGAGACGTTAGTGCTCCGTGTAGATAGCAGCAGTATTACTCTGGGCTATTTTATCAAATTGTCCACGGCTGAAGAGAGTGAAAGGGCTTAGAATTACGGTATCGGAGATTGTCGATGGAGCAGAATGGGTTTGTACAGGGTTGTTTCACTTGGATATTTATCTTGAGCCAGACATTGATCAAGAGACTGAAGAAGAAATGGCAAAGGCATGCGTTGCGTTCAAGCAGCTTGGCAAACTGACTCGGCTAGAATATCTTAACCTAACACGGTTCTCCAGTCGGACACTGGACATGAGATTAAGAGCAGGTCTTGGTGAACTAGCCAATCTGAAGAGATTAGATGCGCTATAGGTTAAAGGTGATGATCACCAGCGAATGCAGCTTGAGGATGCGACGTGGATGGTGAACAATTGGCCAAATATTAAACACGTGTATGGTGTTCTGAACGATGAGAAAGAGACAGTTGATTTGCTGGAAGAGTTCTTGAAGTCGCATAAAATAGATTTACATAATAACCTAGTATCATGACCATGAGGCTTCCAAGACCTATCATTGACGATTAGGATACCTTCGTGATAATGGTGATCTCTTACTTTTTTTTTTTTTTTTTTTTTTTTTCGAAGGCATTTATGTAGGCCATAATTTAAAACTCTGTGTTCAATACCAATCAAACGTACCAAGCCCATGTAGAGCCTGCATAAGTAGTGGAGTCCATCGGAGAGAGAGAGAGCGGGGAGGAAAGCTGTATGTTTATGTATATTAGGGAAAGACGACGTCTTATCCACATCTTTATATAATGATTTGACCCACTTTTGATTAATATCAAAGTTTTCAAAATCCTGGAGAATGTTTTGCATCATATATCGCCAACTAAGGTTCTATTGTAATCTTAAAAAAAAAGTCGTGTGAGTTCGTGGTTGACAAAATTGGCGCGTTTTTTTTTTTTTTATATTTACATTGTTATTGGACAGTGGGGTTTCTCGCGCGTAACCTTGTTTAAAGTTACAGGAACTTTGTCAAAAATGCGATTAACATTTGCATAGCATACATATCCTATAGCTGATAGATTACAGAGGAATAGGAAAGCATTATCACATCATACCCCTGATATAGAGACAGAGAACTTACACATGGGTCTTCTAGTGCACATATACTTCCTGATAACTATTATTCGATCTAAATGATAAAGAAGGTAATAAGAGCCATTGCATCGTAGGAACCCCTTTTTCCCATCCAGACTCTGACAAACTGAAGACAAAGTCATCCCTTTCACTATAATTTTAAAATTAAAAAATTTATGCTCTGACCTGAAGTCTAAGTAGAGAGTCCCATCAACTTGACAATTCATGCCGCACTATGCGAGTGAATCTAAGAAAGGAGAAGGGTAATTGGGGTAATTGATCACTCATGAGCGATTCTTCAAGATTTTATCGTAAAGACAACTTAAGCTGTCGACTTGATCTAGGAAATTATCAATAAATGGAAAGGCCTCAAGAAGCTACACAGGATTCAGAATGATGTTGCTCATCATGCGAAGAGTAGTGGAGAGAAGCGATGTGATGAACAGGCCGTGAAGTGTTTGATTCCTCTATGGAGACTAAGCAACGAGGCTCTGTAGCATTCTCTGTTAAAAATGAATTAAACTAATCGCATTTTGTAATGGCAATTGTTGAGGATCTTGCTCATCAAACGATAACTATGCTAGCATGTAGCTGGGTTTTACCTTCTTAGAAAAACATCTAGGATCAGGTGTAGAAACTCTTGACGTTTGAGCTATACTTGCTGTTTATGTAGCTTTACTATCAACATGTGGCATTTGGGAACTACTCCTTTAATTAACTGGAAGAGAATTAGCAACTACTGATGTATCAGGACTAGAATATATTGTTCTTTGTCCAATCCCTTAAAGCCCCAATGTTTTAGTTCTTGTGCCCCACCCTCTTCTATCTGCCTATCCGCTGTCGGCTATCAAATATGAGCACCATCTGCCTTCGCCCGGTGCAGAAGACAGTATGGCATTATATCGCATAATATCAGAGCGATCTAATCGAGTCAGCTTGCACATGCGTTTATACACAATCCCTCGCTATCTATGCCTTTTGCCGTCTTTTGATCAACATCAACCACAAGTCTGACCTTCATGTCAGTCAGTCCAGTGCAAACCCATTCTGCACCGTCGGCAATCTCTGTCACCGCGACACTATAACCCCTCAGTCGCTTCAGACGTGGACAATTGGATAAGATCGTTTGAACAACGCCGTCAATCTTTTCACTATGCCTAAGTTCTAGTATTTCAACACTGTCACAGAGCCTTTGTCCTCTTTTTTTTCGTACTATGTGCCCATCCTCCGTAATCTCCTGCTCATCTGCTAGTAGTTCACGAATGGAGAGCGGACCAAAATCACAGAAGGGGATGTCTAGCCGTCTTAGTACGGTTATCTGCCTGAGGATCGCTGCCATATCCTCGTCTTTTATTTTCACGCGGAGGCATAGATCTGATATGCTTGATGCTGTGTAAGGGCGCTGAAGGAACACTGTCTTGCAGAAATCATGTACAGTTTGGGCATCCCATTCGGAATCATATGAATGTAATGCTGGAAGTCCCCTAGTCAACATGCCGAGGCAAGATGAAGATGTATGTGGATGTGGTCGGCTAAAAATCACGACGTCAATAAGGCGTAGCGTGTTCGCATTTGGAAAAATGAATTTTTCTGTATCATTATTCAGGAAGTCGGAAGGTAGGTGATTGATGTATACGCGCTCCATATCCAAGCGTTTAAGTTTCTTGAAGACTTGAAAGAATAAATCAACCTCATCACCGCTTATATAGGTAGTGGAAATAGCCAGGTCCTCAAGGTGGGCACATCCTAGGAGCGTCCTCCATATCTCTCGCAAACTTGAACAGTCAACTTTGAGCTTGACGATTGTGGAACTATGGGATTTGATCAAATTGAGAATCTGACTTTGACTGGATAAACTTTCATATGAATATTCGATGGATCGAAGGCGGTCACAACCTTGCAATGACATGAATCTATCTGGGAACCTATAATAAAACACAAGTTCTTCAATGTACTTCTTGTGGCTCTTTAGTGCTTTCTTAGTAGGGTAGCAAGATTGGGACTGTCGACGACATCCGACAGTGATTCTTCTCCACACATATTTGATAAGTGTGTCATGAAAAAGCTTGGAGACACGAATACAACTACAGAGGTCATTCCGACTTAGGTAGCCACCGACAAGCGAAATAAGTTCTGGGATCTCTAATGGATTCAATTTGAGGTTGTTCATCATGTAAAGAGAGAGTTTTGATCAAGGATGGGTAAGAATGCGAATATGCATGACATGTTGGAATTATTGACATTAATATGTTTGTTTTTAGCCAACATTTTAGCCAATAGGGTGCATTAAAGGGGTATCTTTCTCTTTTAAATGAGGAAAATGTCCATGTCGTCCATGTCTCCTGGCAATGATATTGAAAATGGATCACAACGCAGTTCGAAGGGATCGATCCCTGGAGAATGGTCAGCCTGTCAGGTGCATATCCTCGTAATGAAATAGCAATAGAATGTACTGTACATAAGCACTCTGAACGCTTTGTAGCAATGTATTGTGCTATTCAATTTATTGTTTACCTGGTCAGAGCGTCTTGTTGCTTGGCTTTGGTCCGTTGCCACCTTAGATATCTTGGTTGCATGAGTATCTTGAATACAATTTTTTTTTTTTTTTTTTTTTTTTTTTTGCCTCAGTGCATTTGTCATCTCTACACTCTTCAAGTGCAACATGAGTTGTCACCCTGATCTTCAGTGGTTTGGTAATCCTTCCTTATATTACGATTGATTTAGCGGAAGCAGTAGTGTCTGATTAAAGTCCACAATTCACTGTTCATTCATTCTTGACTTCGAAATAACACAGCATCGCTTGGACCTATATCTTTTTTTATTACAATACAATAGATTCATTCTTCCTAATAACCAAATTGATTTTACCTCACTACAGCTTCTCGAGGTTGCGAGTAGCACAATCATGATCCATCTTGCCTTCCAAGCACTCACTTCATGTACAGTATATCGAAGCAAACTCTATGGGTTACGAGGAACCGATATCCCGAAAAGCTATCTAAAAAAAAATCAATGCCCTTTTTTGTCAGCTTGGGATGTAACTATTCGAAGCTATAAAGGATTATCTTTTTTGAATCTTTGATTATTATAACCAACAGTAACTGCTCTTAGTCAAACTCAGGAGATTTCTCCTGGAGGGGACCGCTTGAGCGATGCCATCAGCACTTCCGTTGTATTCATCGATTTTTCAGTACCTCGATTGTATCGCAGGGTCTTTGGTCCCTTCTTTTTCGTACGATGTATCCGCCAGTCATAACCTTTTGTTCATCTGCTAGTAATTATCGAATAGAGAATGGCCCGAAATGACAAAGCGGGACTTCTAGGTGCCTTAGTCCAATCATTTGTCTGAGAATTGCCGCCATATCCTCGTCCTTTAATTCCATGAATGGAATGCATAAGATCTTTCAGATCTGTTAGTGTGTAGAGATGATCAAAGGGTGCTGCTTTGTAAAAGTCAATAGTTTTGCTGTGTAGTCTGGACGTCGTTCTCTTTGGGACCACGGAAAGTCAACGAACGTAATGCTGGGCATCTCCTAGTCAACAAGCCAAGGCAATATGATGATGTGTGTGGAAGCGGGGGGCTAATTAGTCGAACATCCTGAGGACCTAGCGTGCTCACATTCGGGAGAATAGATCTCTCCATGTCGCCATCGTTCAGAAAGTCAGAAGGCAGCTGATCGATAGTTACACCGGACATGACCAAGGTCCTAACTTTCCTGAAGACTTGAAAGAATAGGTCGACTTTTTCTTTGGATATACATGCGCTAGAAATGGTAAAGTTCTCAAGGCGAGTGCATCCCAGTAATGCTCATATCACTTGTGATCCTGAACGATTTAATCGTGGAATTGTGGGGTTGATCAAATCGAAAAGCTGACTCGGATCGGATGAATCCTGGGCTGAGTATCCGATGCACGGAAGGCAGCTACAGCCTTACAATGATATGAACTCATCTAGAAAATGCTCTCTTCTTGTAGTTTTGCAGTCCTCCACCCACAGGAGCCCTGGAATGGATTGCTATAACAATTCATTTCCAGATAGATTTGACAAGTGCGTCGTGGAAAGTCCTGGAGACTTGGATTAAACGAAAGGGATTCCTCCGACTCAGAAAACCATCAATAAGCGAAACAATCTCTGAAATTTCCAAGGGATGCAATTTGATATTCATCATGCAAAGAGGGATGGAGAAATTAAGTATGGTCGGGTCATTGACACGTTGAATCCGTTTTAGGACTTTTTTTTTTTTTTTTTTTTTTTAATGTATATACCTCAAAGTCTATCCTTTATTTATGATATTTATACATGAATCACGAACCCTTCCCATAGCAAGCTGAGCCAGTCAGTCAGCACCCCTATTTATCTCATTTAGTTGCCATTACCGCTACCACTAGTACTGGATAGGCTTGGAGACAGTGCAGCCGCGTCACCATATTCAAACTCACTCGGCAGATACATAAACGAGCCCAGATCATTCCTAGGATCATCACGCGCAATGTTTGGATCCAAGAAAATGTTATCGTGTAGAGTCGAGATGGACCATGATTTCAATATGGATTCCTCAGAAATAGAACCTCCTGGTGAAGATATTGATTCCGGTGAGCCAAATCTATTACTCCTGCTACCTCCATTTGTATCGCTTAGACTAATGGTATTGTTGATGATGTTGCTGTTGTTGTGATTGTAGCTGTGAGAGTGGCCTTCCCCAACGCCAACAGCGCTCTTGTTGTATGTTGAATTCTGTTGCTGCTGTTGTTGAACTTGAGCTTGTAGCTGAGATAGAGATTGAGATTGATTTTGCATACTTTGCGGAGTAATAGATACTCCGTCATTTACACATCCATCCAAGCCTATCCTGCTGTTGTTGCTGCTGATGGTGGCAGTATTATTCATGAGCGCAACACTTGTAAAGGTATTTGCGTCAATGTGGCTTACATCAGACAGAGGCAGGCTCGAAGGATAAATGTTAGACATCAAACCACCAAACTCCAACATGGATGTTCTCTGGCTCGAATATGCTCCTTGACCTGATTTTCCATCAAAGTCCACAGGTCCCTGCTGAGGAAATAAAATGTTGCCTTGATTAATGAGGCTCTGACTGAAAGCCACAAAGAGTTGTTGTTGTTGTTCCGGTGAGAGCTTGGCAAAGACTGAAGGGTCCTGGACATTCAATAACGGTAACATATTTGATCCATAGTTTTGAGTGCTGATGTTATTATTGTGGATAATGTTATTGTTAAGACCATTACTGCTGATATCGCCATTAATATTGCCATTGCCATTGTTATTGCTATTGTCATTGTTATTACCATTGTTATTGATATTGTTATTGCTGTTGCTACTGGCATGATTGAGGTTGTTGTCAACATTATGGACACCACTACCTACACCTACAAACGGTGTTAATCCGATTTGATTCGAATCAAGTGCTGAAGCTTGAGACATTGCTGCCTGTATGATGTTCCTAGGCAAGTTTTGTTGCTGTCGATGTGAGTGTGTGATGGGAAGATGTGGTGTCTGCTGCTCCGGAGTACGTTGCTGTAAATGCGGTTGATGAGGTTGTGGCCTATACACATGTGGATGGTGAAAATGGTGTTGATGCTGCATAAAGATTTGCTGTTTATGCTTCGCCATAGCAAGTTGCTGAAAATATTCTTGGCGCTGGTGGTCCAAATCGAGCTGGCCTTGGCGTTGAAGCTGATTCAGCTTTGCAAGCTCCTGTTGATTGCGCTCCTGGGTATACATTTGGACATGGAGCTCATGTTGTTTATATGATTGTTGCTGAATGTTTTTGTGCTGTTGTGCTTCCTGCATTGACCGTACAATCTGAGATGGTGAAGGGGATGTATCGAATACTGGCTCAAATGTTGGAAATGGCTGCGACGCAAGGACAGGTGGCTGAACTGAAGCATCATGTTTCTGAGCTTGCTGTCTCGTTTGATTCATTTTCAGAGCTTCTTTTTCTTTCAGCATTTGTCGATGCTTTATTGCCGCCGCTTCTTTAGCAAGATCTAGACTTGATTTTTGTTGCGCCAGTGCTGCTCGGCAGGACGCCAGCAGATCTGCAACATCAGACTTTTTACCGCGGTTGATACGGAAAAATTGGAGATTCTCTACATGCTCAATATAGTCCATAGTCTTTTGTAAATCCCGTCTGGAATCTTTGGCGAGAGCTGTGTCAGCGATGCATTTCGAGTTTCTAAGATGAATTCGAATCGCAAAGTTGAGAGCGTAGCGTGCTGGTGTGTTCTGTTCAAAGGTCCTTGGTGCTTCCCTCAGCAGAATCCCCGCAATTTTAGTGATCTCTTTAGCTGCCTGCGTACAATAACCTTGAGAATCTGGCATCCCTGGTGCTGGTGGCTGGAATGCATCTGGGCTCTTGGGATTGGGCAAGTATGGGTGATGAAGCAAAATGATTAGCGCATAGCAGAGCAATTGCGCACAAGCCGCTAATGAGGAAATTTTGGAAATTATACAGCCATCTATGGGTTGGAAATCAAAAGGCTTTGGTAAATTTCGCTGCCATTCCACCAATTCATTGTCAAGTCGCGCGAGGTTGTCAAGTAGAAGTGAGCGATCAGGTGGTGGTTGTCGAACAATCAGCTTGGAGTTTTTACGGATCTTGCGGCAAAGTTGCCATCCATGTAAACAGTGAATAAGATATTGGTCCGAAAAGGTCTCTGATTCGGGCCCCAAATCGCCTGCCTGGAACATTTCCACACTAATTTCGTCATCATTGATAAGACCTGGCTTTCCATTGACTGCTGATGCTGTCGAGTCAAATAAATAGCAACACCAAAAGACTCGTGCCCTATAAGCACGAACAAAAGGATGTATACTCTCATCAAGTCGCGTATGAAGGCCCATATCTAAAGCCATCGTGATTGCTTGACTGATAAAAGCCAACCGTTGTGCAGGCGATTTAAATCCAATAGCAAAAAGTAGTAAGGCTTGAATAGTACACAGATGTGTTGTCAGATACTTTTTCTCTAGCAATGCTACCAAAGACCAAAGAGGCAGTTTAAAGTTAAGTGTAGGTCATTTTCCGATTTAACGCTGAACTGTTCAAAAATTCAGACAGTGTTTATATTCTTTACCTTGTCCCCGTGAAAAAAATTCCTCGCCTACAGTGCTCTCATCATTCATGTCTTTCCGAAGCATGTGCGCGTTTGCAGAGTACATAGATCCACAGTAATAGACGGCATTACACAACAGCAGACAATGTGGAATATGAATGTTTTCCTGACAGACTCGGAGTACTTCACGTTGAACCATTGGCAAACTACAATAGTGGTTCTGGATTCAAACAATGGTGAATTATGAGTTTTTCTAAAAGCAAGCCAAGTAAGATGATAAATCAATAAAGTTGGACCACGCTTTGTAGCAAACCTTATAGTAGAGCGCTATCAAATGATCTCGCGTTGCTGCATCAGGAAGGATCTGCAACTCTTCAGGAACGAGGACATCACTCTCAGTATTCCCAGCACCAAGTTGAGGTCCCCATAAATCCTCATCATTGAATACAGTTGCAACCATCGCTGCATTTGGACCATAGTAGGAGAGACTATTAAGTGTCGTTTCAGCGAGCATCGTTGTGAGAGCCTCCAAGTCTTCTGCGCTGGAGTGATCAACAATATTAACAGTTTTTGGTGTAGGAAGGTCCAGGAAACTGCTGCTGTTTCGAACATGTCGAGTGGAGGAAGATTCATTCACTGGTGACCGAAGCTAAGAACAAACCAGTATAATAGTATAATAGTATAAAGAATGGCGTTAGTCTTTTTTTATTTTTATTTTTTCATGTGAGAGCGCTTGTTTGTACGACAACCAATGGGACACAGACAAAGACGACCAGGCACAATGAATGTCATATTTATTTGTAGTTCTCGTACTCAAAAGATCAATTGCCGCTTCGGAAAATAAAAAAGCACGGCCCATCTCCATTTTCACTGTGGGCTGGTTCATCTGAAAAAATTTTTTTTACAGGTATTCAAATAGACGTTCCCACGCTGCGCTCATTGTTGAGCAAGGGTCTTCACAACCAGCATCAATCGTTATGATCACAATATCAAGCATTAACTCAAGACATACCCCATCAGAAACGGTCGTTTTCTTGCTGTCATGACTAGCTGCGCTGCCGATGCTATTGCCGTTTGAAAGATGTTGGAAACTGGAGCTATCAAGCTGGAGAGGTTGAGCAGGTAAAGTATGATGCTGTATTGATCTGGGTTGTTGATAAACCATGCTTGAAGTACCAGAGATGTTAGGATGGTCCGTAGTAGAAGCTCCCCAGGATGTGCTTGATAATGTCTCAATAGCTGATGAGGCGGGTGTATTATGGGTTAATATTGGTTGCTGTGTGGATAAAGAATAAGAAAAGGAAGAGGAGCCAGAAGAAGAGGATGCAGGTGGTAGTATGACAGTGCCAGGCTGTTTTCTTTTCGGCCCACTCTTGAACCTCTTGGCCGCCTCGTCGTTCTGAGGGAATTCATCCACGTCGGCCATTATGAATGAAAAGAGAGTTTAAAGAATGAGAGCCTGTTCAAGTGAGTCGAGTTAATGTAAAGTTGATGAAGAATTAGCCAGATTCAGAGAGAGCAAGTTGACGAAGGGGCAGGAGATGGAGATTGGAGTGGAGGGAAATAATAATAATATGTAAAAAAAAAAAAAAAAAAAAAAAAAAAAAGCGAAAGAGAGAGAAAGAGAAAGAGAGAGCGAGAAAGAAAGAGAGAGAGAGGCGGGATGAAAATAACAAAGTCAGGGGTAGAGAGAAATCTCTGAGTTGAAAGGGTTAATGGAGAATGGAGAATGGAGAATGGAGAATGGAGAATGGAGAATGGAGAATGGAGAATGATTTATTTGGACTAATGGGCTAATCGAGAGCACAATGTGACAATGTGTCAGTGGCAAAGACAACCACACTCACACTCATGTACACCCTTAGAAATATGCTAATACAAAAACTTTTGTACAGAACCATTCATGCAGTTCATACACACAACAAAGCACGATAAGCAGGGTCTTTTTGTCTTAATGTTTCTCTTCAACTCTCCATGCAGAGCCCTATATATCTACACTTTTGGCTTGGGACGGAGGGAATTGTAGTGCTCACCTAATCCATACATGTGGCGATGATAGGAGACCATCAATGGGGTCTTTGTTGGGTACACTTCTGCTGATAGTTTAACTGTCGGACTGCCCATCTGCACCACCCAAATTGGAACCTTGTGTAGCCTCGACAGTGCAAGCAACTGTTGAAGAAATAAATAATAATTATAATAAAAAAATTAGATGCTATTGATATTCAACTAACTACAACATCTTTTTTCTTAGGATCTAAATCACTTTACCTCGGGCTGCCCTCCCCAAACGGCAGTGGATTCAAGATCATTACAGTACTCTGCAAAATCCTTATCGGACATCATATCTCCTTGTTTATTAGTCAAAAAGGGTAAAAAGTCATCCGCATGTTCTCGCATATATGCTGCCGTATTTTGCCTCAAATCTTTGACCGTTGTCTATGTCAAAAAAAAAAAAAGAACGTTAATACGTTTTTCATTAAGCATGCAATACGTTAAATATAAATAAGCCAATCAACATTGGGTACCTCCGTCTCATAATGCTGTCGAAGCTGATCCGCAATGGCATTATAAAGACAGTGACCATCAGGACTGATACTCTGGACAACAACACCCATTGCTTGAGCCAGTTCCTCAATTGCACTTTTTTCAACTTCATTCATATTGGTTTGGCTTGAAGCCTCTTTTTCGGCTTCATCCTGTATCTCTTTCAACGCCTGTGCCTTCCTTTCTTTGCGAGCCTTTTGCCGATTGGGTTTCCTTGTTCCTGAGGACTGCTGTTGTCCAGCAGACGGAGCTTTCTTTGTAGACACCGCCTCCAGAATAAGGTGATCAATGGGGATCTAAAAACAGAGGAAGAGTGGGAGAGGAGGGTAAAGGTGAGTAAAAAAAGAAAAAAAAAAAAATAGAATTGATCATATCCTTCATCTTGGTCCCACTCTTTATACTAATTTCATCCACTCACGTCGTTGACATCAAATTCGTCCTCTTCTTCAGCTGCTGCTGACTGGAGTGATGGGCTTGAAGGAGCAACACTATTTCCAGATCCAGATAAATTCATATTGTTTTTGCCGCTGTTGTCGTTGTTATTTTTGCCATGGGCAGCATGCCATTCCATGTTCTCCTTTTCATGCCGTTGACTAAGAGCATGTTCCAGTTGAGCGATTTCTGTTGTGATCTCCTTCTTATTCTTTTTGGTGGCTGTCTTTTTAAGAGCGGTAATCTTGGCAATCAATTCACGCTGCTCCTTTTTATGACGTGCCAGCAGCTCTTCCAATGTTTCGGATGCAGTTGTAGTTTGCGCATTATTAGTGTCTTCTGATGACTGATTCAACTCCATCCTTTGATTCCCTTTATTTGATTAGATGTTGACAGAACGACGATAGAATCTTTTTTTTTTTTTTTTTTTTTTTTTTTTCTAAATAGAAAATGATAATATACTCCGTTCAGTTTAGAGTTTAACACAACTTTGATTGGGTTGATTACTCCAATTGATCGATCTGTCAATTGGAGGACATCTTTGACCACGAAGAGCCTCATATTTGATTAAGGGGGAACGATTTCCTGTACAATAAGAAAATAAAACCATTAAACATACATTCCAGAGAAAACACGAAAAAAGAGGTCTTAATGATAGTCAAAGATAATAGTAGTATCACTCCTAAAGAAAGACATTAAGAAGTCAAGTCTATCAAGTGAATACATTCCTACTCTGCATGATCTTTTAGAATTCATCACCAGGTTTTGTCTCAGACAGATGTGTTCATGAAGCTTTACGTGAGATATGGGGAGCGTTGTAGAATGCATCCAGCTTGAAGGCATGGCCGTTTATGACACACATATAAGTGATGGTGTCGATTTATTCTTTCAAGTCTGCAAGGATCTCCGGTGTTTGGATATGGAATGCGTAAACAAACATAGGAGAATTCGATTTTTCAACTGTGAATATACCAAGTCTCGATGAAGTTGAAATACACAGTCTTCCAGAGCTATGTCTTGGAAGCATAGAAATAAAGGGAAGCATATGGCGGCACCTTCCAGGCAGTTTAGTGAACTAAGACGGCCAGGAGTTCCTCTTTGTCATTTCAAACAACTCTCTTTGCATGAATTATTCGCAGACGAGCAGAAGGTCTTGGAGGATAGATACATTGCACGAAAAGCAGGAAACAGAGACTCTGCGACACAATTGAGATGCTAAAATTCGATGCACAAATTGAAAGGGCAGATAGCATTGTCCAAGCGATTTTATCCAATTGCTGACGTCTGAAGGAACAGACGGGACCTAATATTACAGTTACAGAAGGTGTCAATGGTGAGTATTGACCTCCACATTTTAAGCGTCCTGTATGAAGCTGACGTTGCAAGCATTATATCGAATATACATTTGCTTTATCCACTACCTTCCGCGAACATCCTTTTTATCCCAAGAAATGAAAGCGTTGTCTAATATCTATAAGATAGGTGAAATGACTTGAAGGCTGCAACGATGATATTAAAGAGATTGGGATTTCTTTGCATCTTTGCATGATGAGTAATCTTAAATTCTTGAAGATCCCAGAAATCATTTTGCTTGTAGGTGGTTTCTTATCTCGAAATGATCTCCTATGCTGTATTCGTGCCTCCTAGATTTTTCACTACATACTTGTCAGATTCATTTGGAGAAAGATCCTTGTTAGTGAATATAATGATGAACCGGCCTATCCTACTAAGGAAGCATTGGAGAAGTACAAGAAGTACATTAAGGAACTTGTGTTTTATTGCTGCTTCCTAGATAAGTTCACCATTGTAAGACTGCGATCGTCTCCAGTCCATCGAATATACATATAAACGAGAGCTCGTCCGATCGGATTTAGGTTTTCAAATCTCACAGTTCCACAATCACTATACTAAGATTTGGGGTGTCCAGCTTCGCGGGGGATATGGAGGACAATACTGGAATGCGCACACCTTGAAGCCTTGCACATCTACAAGACATATATATTCGAAGATGAGCGTGGTCACAATTTTTATTTTTATTTTATTTTTATTTGATCTGTATACATTGATGCATTGTTAGTTTTTTCTGATTGAATCTGTTTCGCGTTTCGCACATATGCTCTGACTCTCCATTAGCTGGCGTTTATATCTCCTTGATAGCAATATATTCTTTGATCTGGTCAAAATGCTAACATTTCTGCCATTACCACACTCTCTTATCTTTCTAGAGTCATATTGTATTTTATCGTGATGCGGTTGACGCTGGAAATATCGGTGGGATGTACCTCGCGCAAATGCCTTCTTAATACGACCTGAGAAGTTTAAGTCTAAGATGGCAGCAGCGTGGACTGCGAGGGTTCCCTTCATCGGCACAGTTAGGCACTTGAGGCAACAATGATTGGAAAGTCGAATCCTCATTTGCAAATTTGTAAGCAGAATAACCATAGTTTTCGTATGCTTGAGCAATACCATTCTTCTCTTCATGAATATTTAACCTAATTTCGGCTTGCCACAGACCAAGGGATATTGTTAGCACCCACTCTCTATGTCGCAGTGTTTGAGGCTTCTCTGTAATTCCCAGCCACCCCCGGCTCTTTAAATAAACTCAACTCTCTTCGCACGATGTACAGCCTCAAGTTGGATCCTTTAGAGATCCCCGAAATTGTTTCGCTTGTTGGTGACTTCCTCTCCCAAGCTGACCTTGTCAAATGTCTTCGCATCCCCAAAACATTCTACAATGCACTTGTCAGCCTCGTTTGGAAAAAGGTCATCATTAGCTATAGCCCATGCCACGCTATGAAAGCACTGAAGAAACACAAGGAGACCATTGAGTAGCTTGTGGTTTTGGACGATTTCCTAGGGGAGTACGAGTCATTGCAAGGTTGCAACCGCCTTAAGCATATCATCTGCGGTACGATATTCGGCAGACGTCCAAGTCTTCTTACCCCAGAAGGTCCTCCCATTCTCATCAAGGCCCATAGATTCACAATCGCTAAGCTTAAATTTAAATACATGAATTTACAAGGGATATGGGGAGCAATACTGGAATGCATCTATCTTGAAGACTTGATTCTATCCAGTTAGATATAAGAGATGATGAAGTCGATCTATTCTTTCAACTCTGTAAGAGGCTGCGGTGCTTGGATATGGAGGACACAAACCTCGCTCGGCTTCCTCTCAACTTCTTGGATGACGACACGGATACATTCATTTTTCCAAATGTAACTGCATTACGCTGCGAGCACGTTGCTATATCCAAGGCCCCGTATCCACATACGCCCTGGTATTGCCTCGGCATGTGGATTAGGAGGCGCCCAGGACTAAGATCATTGGATTCTGAGATTAGTGAGCCTTGAGAGCATTCGCCCACAGGTTTCTACAGGGCAGTATTTCTTGATTATTTCTTCACATTAACAAATCTATCGGAACTATGTCTCCGTACGAAAATAGAGGACAAGGATATGGCAGCGATTCTCAGGCGGATGACTGCACTAAGACGGCTACATGTCTCCAGATGTGAGGTAGGCCCGTTCACTATGCGAGAATCACTAGTGGGTGATCAGGAGGCTTGGGATCATGGACAGGAAGTACGCAAACTCTGCGATACAATTGAGGCACTGGAACTCAATACACAAAGCGCAGTACCTGATAGAATGCAGGTCTTTCTTGAGAGGAGCTAGGGAAGCTGGCTCGATCACAGTTTCCTGAAGAGGCTGCATTATTTTTAAACCTCTACCGCGATAAGCATCGGCAGATGCAACCTGAGGATGCGGCGTGGATTGTAAGCAATGGGCCGAATATTAAAGTGTTCTGCGTTGTGGATCACAATCTAGATACACTCAAGCTCGTGGATAATTTACTCCGATCGCACAACATCAGAATATTGGAATATGACTAGTGAACACAGCTTTAGAGTCTGATTAGGAAGACATGGCTCCTGAGTTCCTGAGTTCCTGAGTTTGAGTCTCCTGGGAAAGAAGGGGTGCCTATGGCTGTGTTTGAGGAGATGAGTAGATATGACATGAACTCTTTTCTCCGTGTCATGAGCAGACGCACGCCTTTGCTGTCAGCTTCATCATTTAGGCCTCTTTTTGGTTCAATCACTCTCTTTGTAGCCAAAGTCGACTTTATGTCATGCGTTCATCTACACTGTGCCGCATGTATCAGAGGATCTAAGCCTGTGTTTTTGAGTTGCAAGAGCCGGAAAAAGTCAAAACAAGTTATACGAACGCGTTCCTCCTGCAGGGTCGTTAATCCAATGCCAAATGAAGTTTAATTCTGTCCGCTTTTCAAGAAGCGAAGCAAACCAAAGCAAAGATATCCGCAAGTCCATCCTTGTCCATTGTTTCTGTCCTCCTCTACATTGCCGCTCTGCATTCATATTCACTTTTACATTCACCTCTGCATTTATCTCTCTCTCTCTTTTTTTTTTTTTTTTTTTTTTTTTTTGAGTTAGTTCCTACATCTCCAACCAAGACCTTATTGGTATTTACAAGAGAAATAGACTTTCGTAAGGGGTTAGTTAACTTGTTGCCAATATTGTCACTATTGTCTTCATACCTTTTTAAGTATATTGAGAATGAGGGAAACAATAATACATGCGAGGGCATAAAGATCCGGATATTGGGACCTTACACTATGGTATTGGACAAGTATATAAAATGATACTTAATACTTAATACTTGGAGGCTATTTATTACTGTTGTTATCAATATTATTATTATTGTTATTATTATTATTATTATTACTATTGTTGTTGTTGTTGTTGTTGTTGTTGTTGTTGTTGTTGTTGTTGTTGTTGTTGTTGTTGTTGTTGTTATTGCTATTATGATTATTGTTGTTGACAACGTAACGGGCACAGCAAAGATCATCATGCTTGGCATTGGAGAATTGAGCATCGAAGCAACCAGTATCCCAACGGACGGGTGTAGTGCCTGGGGGACAAGCAGAGTCACCACTGACACAGTATCCTCTTTGTTCCTGACATGTAATGGCTTCCACAGCAACAGTAGCCATGGCAACTACAAGCCCGCCGACAAGCGCGCGAAAAAACGAGGCCTTCATTTTTTTTTTTTTTTTTTTTTTTTCCTTCTCTTTTCTTTTATTATTATTATTATTATTATTATTATTTCAAGTCTGAATAAAAAAAAAAAAAAAAAAAAAAAGGATGAAGGAAAAACGAAGAGGCGAGAGGGAGGATATGAGTGAATGGTTATTTTTATACCGTTGTATGAGCGGGATTGTTACCTTTATAAGTTGACATCGACATTGAAAAGCAAATCTAACCTTTATTGCTTGAAAATAGGAAAAAAGGAAAAGAAAAGAAAAGAAAAGAAAAATGCTTTGTAATACGAAGAAAAGTCAAGGTCGAGGAAGACGAGGTGAAGAAAAGAGTGAGCTGGAAAAGAAAAAAGAATTTTATATTCGCTATGTTTTTACATTTATATACTTGTTGAACACCAAAGTATCCCAAAGTCATCTTTTTTAATTTCAAAGAAGAAAGAAAAAAAAGAAAGAGATGAGATCGAACCAAAGAAAGTCCATATTTTGGGAGGTTGATGAATATTCAAGAGCCATGTTGACAAGGATCAAAGCAAAATAGATCGAGGGGTAAAGGGGATGGATCGGGGGAAAGCTGTATCCGTATTCTTCTCCTTTCCTTCTTTTCACCACTGCATCTTCTACCTAATATAAAACATGCAGGTATATTTACTACACATTCATTGTCTCCTGAAATCCGCCCCCATCTTCAACCTTGGAGGGAGGGGGTTGGACATGCATTGTCTGCATGGCGGTTAAATTGATTTACGTTACAAGTAATGATTTATTGGGAGGAGGAGGGGAGAGGGAGAAAGGAGGAGAAAATGGATGTATATATATATATAATGTAATGTGTATATTTCTATTGGTTCTTTTTTTTTTTTTTTCGTTTTTTTCTTTATGCTTCCGATATCTTGGTCCAAACATCCTTGTTCAAGAGCTCGACCAATCTTCCAGATTCTTTGGCTTTATGAGTATCATCAGAACCACCGAGATGAGTTCCTTTGATATAAACATTAGGAACGGTGGATTGACCCGAGAGAGCTTTGAGCTCCTGTTGGATTTCAAAGCCTTGTTCATGCTCATCCAGTTCCAAAGCCTTATAGGAGATGGACATGTCATCGAATAGGTCCTTGACACGTAAGCAATAAGGGCAATAAGATTTAGAGAAGATCATGACTGGATTCTGAGCAATGGAATTCCTGATGAGTTGACGAACGGCTGAAGATGAGGATGCAGCCCCTGCAACAGCTGTTGCTAATACACGAGAAGGCAACATGGATCCCAAAGATATAACGCGCTGATTAAGAATATATAAATGTATATATGTATATATATAAAAGAAAAAAGAATAGATTCGGAGAATGAGTATGCAGTGATGGTGAGGTTAAAGACGGTTGGGTGGCGCAGCAGCCAATGACACACATTTATACCAATTCCGATCTCCGTTACTCCTGAATCAAAAAAAAACCAAATTTTAATCGGGACGCGTGCGCGCGCGTGTGTGTGTGTGTGTATGTGTAAGTGTGAAAGTGTGTGTGACGACGCGTTGTGAGACTTTATACTTGTACTCACATTTCTAAATTGGATTGCTTTCCCCCCCCCCTATTCTTCCACCTTACTATCTATATACCTTACCTTACTTTACCCAATGCACAAACACTCCAGGGAAAAAAAAAAAAAAAAAAAAAAAAAACTGTCTAAACATGTATGACAACATTAGAGGGAATTTTTCTCCAGGACCAGTTTTTTATTTGTTTTGGCTCTTACACTGGCTTTTGCTCTCTCTCTCTCTCTCGGAGATGCTATTCCGGCGCTCACTGGTAATATTTATATAAATGTTTGGAAAGTAACTACATGTACACATTTGTGTGTTAGATATATGTAATACGTAATTAGATATATGATATATTATACACACACAAAGGTATGGCTGAGCTAGACGCGACAACAGGTTATATAAATATATATATTCAGATATGGAAAGGAAAGAGACAGAAAAAAAAAAAAAACTACGTAAATATTACGCCCTACTGAGCGTACATCTAAGATTGATTGCCAAAAAATAAAAAATAAAAAATAAAAAATAAAAAATAAAAAATAAGAGCTTTCAATGTACAAAAGCTCAGGCATTAACTCTAAAATACAAATGATGAAGACAATTCGAACTAAAATGTCATTTTTTTTATTTTTTATTGTCAATGGTTATGGATAAAAAATGAGAAAGGGTTAACGATGAATCATGGGTGCCACATGCTATATACATAAGTATGCATACATGTATCCATATGCACTTTACACTTGCACAACATTACACCATAATGGAAACAAAAGAAAACAGTGACCATGTAAAAAAAAAAAAAAAAAAAAAAAATTAAAGACCATCCCCATCATTCATGGGTACTGAGGTTGAGCGGCTCTCTTTAGCTCTCATCCACAATGTTTTTTTTTTTTTTTTTCTCATTATTCTCTAATCTCTTCCCATCCCCCCTTTTCTATTTGCTTTTATTTTATTTTATTTATTTTTTTTTTTTTATTTTATTTTTTTTTGTAAGTTCATCTTAGCCGTTCTTAAACCTTTCTGGTTTATTTCAGTTTTTTTTTTTTTTTTTTTTTTTTTTTTTTTATTTGGTTACATATTCTAGTTATCAAGCTGACGCCATGTACAGACTATAGATCGCAACAAGTCTTTGTTGTTATTTTTCTTGTTTGTACATGCTAATTTTGATATTCATATTAATTTCTTTTTCTTTTCTTTTCTTTTTTTTTCTCGTTACTCCATTTTTTTTTTTTTTTTTTTTTTTTTTTTTGCTCCCACTTTGTTATTGCATGGTGAATGTTTTTTTTTTTTTTTTTCTTCTGGCCATTAAAAGTCGCACGCTCTCGTGGAGATGAAAGATGGAAAGAATAAATAAATAAATAAATAAAATAAAAGGGAGGGAAAACACATTTGCTCAATCGAAATGGCTCGCCTTCCTATATCGGTAGTATATAGAGTTAATCTCAACGGCAATCTTGCATGGGCTTTGAAATAGAACGTTAAAAACGTGGGTCATAAGAATAGACCGACATCAACAACAACAACAACAACAACAACAACAACAACAACAACAACAATAAACAATAAACAAAAAAAAAAAAAAAAAGTCGGGTGAACTTTCTGGCTTTTATTTTATTTTTTTATTTTTTATTTTTTTTTTTGTATAGCCACATTTATACAGTACAGTGCAGTACAGTAGATGAACTGACCTGCATACTCATCTATAGAGGAAAGGTCTAGTGTTGTGTTGAATAGTTGTAATGTTGCATAAATGTGTACATGTACTTGTCCAGAACTCAATTAGTCCTTTTTTTGATCAGCGTGCCGCCTTTATTACTTTTCTTTTTTTTTTTTTCCTTTTTACATTGTATGTATACAAGGCTCTGCATGCATGGGCGAAGAGTCTTTGAAGGGGAAGGGGGAGGGGGACCAAGTGGCGGCTGTTAGTACGTAATTTTACAGTTTAGGGACAATTATAGTAGCAGTTTTAGTCATTGTAATAGCCGTAACAGTCGTTGATTACAACTTGTTTTACTTTGCTTGCTAGACTAGCAGCCAGGCCATGGGGGGGGGGGGAGGAGCAAGCTCTCTTTTACTCTCTTTTCTCTCTCCCCAAAAAAAAAATAAAAAAAAAAATAAAAAGAAAGGATGGGATACGCATGCATGCATGCATGCATGTTTTGTTCAAAACGAGCCTTAGCCTGGTTTCCTTGTTTCTTTTTCTTTTTTCTGTTTTATTCTTTTTTCTTCCTTCCTTACTCTCTTTCTCCACAGAGCCGGATGAGATGGACGAAGATAGTAACGGCGCTTTACAGTTTTTTTTTTTGTTGTTTTTTTTTGTCATTAATTATGTGTTATTATTATATATACATTATATATTATTAATATTATTAATATTATTATTATTAATCCACGTTTTCCAATGACCTCGAGGTGTGGTTGCATTATGCATTCTCTCGTCAGATCCCCCCCCCTCCTTCTCCTGAAGGCCTCTCGTTAGACTATTAAATAAATAAAAGACACGTTTGCGGCATGTCCAACGAGCTCCTTTTTTAGATCGTCGTACAAAAGAGATGGATAAAACATTGCTGCGCTTAAACGCTCTAGGAGTTTAAAGGGCCTATTTCAAAACTCTAAAAGACTTTTTTTTTTTTTTAAAGTGGGGAAAGAATGGATGGAGAGGGATGGATAGGGATGGATGGGGATGGAAACAAAGGAATGCTGGTTAGAACCTTTTTTTTAAAAAATGAGCTCTCCCTTTTTTTTTTTTAACAAGGGATTTTTTTTGGTCACAAGGTTAAAAGACCGGATTGATCATGGTTGGGTTGTTATAGTCTACCATACATGTCCATGAACATTATTATTTGCTTCTGCTGTTTTTGTTGCTTTTATTGCTTTTATTGCTGTATCGGTTTATTCATAGAACAGTTAAAAAAAGTGTCCGACTCCTCCGAGTCTTCTAGGCTCTCTTCAGATCTGGTAAGCTAATGGATGGCTTCTGTGTGGGGAAGGGAAAGGGGCGGAGAGAAAGGATATCAAAAATTGGTCAATCAAAAAATTAAAAAATAAAAAGTAAAAAGTAAAAAGGTAAGATGGAAAGGATGAGGCGCTTCCAATCCCAATCCCAATCCCAATCCCAATCCCTGTCAATCCCATGTTCTTTGATTCCTGGTTTTTAATAGGAAGTTATCGCCTGGACCTGTAAACTGTACCTGAATATAATCGAACTGAATAAAAAAGATTGGATAAAGTCCGTTCAACTTTTTTATTTTTTTTATTATTATTTTTTTATTATTATTATTCTACCAATACCAAAACTAATACCAATGCGAATAACATCCTCCGAAAGGAAAGGGTCATTTAGGGATAACAACAATAACAATAAAAAAAAAAAACAGATCGAACTGAAACATTGGATTCCCTTTCTTTTGTTCTGCGCAATGGCCTTTAAATGGAACAGACGAAAATAAAAAAGACATGCGCATAATCAAGGTATATATAATATAATCTACGAATCTACGAAACTAAAAAAAAAATCCCCAAGGAGTTTTTATTCAATTAGTCAGATCAGAGGAACAAGGCATTGTTGATTAAGAGTCGGGAAAAAGATCTCACGCCCACACACAGACACACGTAAGCCCCTCTTTCTCTTTCCCTTTTCTCTGTTCTCTTTTTCTAATGTCTGCTGTTGGTCGTTGAAAGGTAAAAAAAAAATAAATAGCCCTCCGAAACGTTGCTTAGGGGTCTACCGACATTCTTTGCAAAGGGTGAGAAGGCTGGGGAGGAGTGGGGGGTGAAAGCTAGAGGTGGCATGTGTATAATCAATGTTGAGAAATACACATAGCAATAACGGTGGCAAGTGGTGTATAACAATGATGATCATTATAAATATAGTTATAACTATTAGATATATATGTATAACTAAATAATTATTATAATAACAACAGTAGGTAAAAATCGTGTTTCCATTTCTAGACAAATGGTGTTTTCCTCCACCACCAGCACCCATTCACTCTCATCTATAAAAAAAAAAAATAAAAAAAAAAAAAAAAAATGACCAAGCGTGTTGTTACCCCGGTGAGATGTTCCATATCGAGTCTGGACAGTCTGGCAACTCTTTTTGTGTAAATGAGGTGAAGCTATCACCGGACTTTTTCTTATATATGTATATATTTATTATAGATGTTATTCCTGGGGTCATTACGATTGCTGCTGCTAATTGCTACTATTGCTAGATTACTCTATTGGTATAACGAATGTATTATTATGACTATGATTACGGCTTTGACTCATGATCAAGAGAATGCATGTTATTGTCATTATTGATTATTGTTTTTTTTTTTTTTTTTTACTCCACCTTGATAGATTGGGCAATGTCATTATGGCAAACCTCTTTTTTTTTTCTCTTTATTTTCTTAATCAATTCTTTAATCCTTCTCCTGTTCTCTTTCTTTAGCTCTTCTTGCAATGACTTTTTTTTTTTTTTTTTTTTTGCTCAATTCTTTAAACAATGCTCTAGTAAAAAGTAAAAAAAAAAAAAAAAAAATCTGCTCTTTGAAGACGATATAGTGTGTTATTGGTCTATTATGAGGATATGTAGGGCGTAAGGGTGAGTTATATAGATGTTTTTTTTTTTAAAAAAAAAAAAAAAAAGGTCCACAAGTAAAGACAAAGATCTAAGAAAAATAAATCTAGAGATCGGTCGTGTTTATTGCTCTCTATCGCAATGCAATTACTTCAATCAATTTTTTTTTATAGTCTTTTTTATTTTTTTGCCAATCATCTAATCCATTATTTCGACTTTTTGATAGAATAAAATGTCGTAAAGAGAAAAAAGAAAGGGGGGGGGGTAAAGAGGAAGAGTTTGAGATGAGCTATACTTTTATCGTACAAAGTCAACCAAACAGAACAAGGCCCGGTCTTGTGAGAGTTTTTTTTTTCTTTTTTCTTTTTATTACTCCGTATATTCACATCGCTAAAAAAGCTTTTTATAAAACTTTTTTTTTTTTTTTTTTTTGTGGTATGGTAAATGCGTAAATCATTTAGATGTTACACGCGTTTGTTGAGGCGTTTAAAGAAAGTTATAATTTTGTATTCTTGTACACTGTAGCATTCACGAAGTATATATTTGATTGATAGGCAAGATATATAATTGCAATGCTAATGTATGAATCATGACATTGTGTAAACATCTATTATCTCTAGTCTACAAATACACACGCATACACACACCTTTTTTTTTTTTTTTTTTTTATGATTTACTCTCTGTTTTGCTTTGTTTCCTTCATTTACCGCCAAAAACTAAAAAAATAAAAAAATAAAAAAATTCAATAAACATTTGTAATATGAGCTTCGGTGGCAAAAAAATTTTTTTTTGTAAATGCAAGAGAAATGTGTGTTTGAAAAGAGAGAGAGCAGAAAAATAAAAAAAAAAGGGGAGAAAACAAAGGAAGCCGTTTTAGCACAGGTCTAATACAGCGAAGACAAAGAGAGCTTTCTATTAGAGGGTGGATACTCAACAAAAGAGAGCTGAGTGAGGATCGATTCAAGCGATATCATCTAATCCATTAAACCCATTAAATCCATTTAAAGAAATAAAAGATGTATTTATACATATATATATATGTAAAATAACCAGCTTTTATTTTATATTTTTTTATTTTTTATTTTTTATTTTTTATTTTTTATTTTTTACATTGAGAGCCATGGTAGATGAGAGCGACGATAGACAAGAAAAAAAAAAAAAAAAAAAAAAAAAAAAACATTGAATGACAGAAAGAGAAAAGAAGAGAGCGATGGTCTTTTTTGTTTCTCAAAGACTCTCATCAATAAAGGCGAATTGATTCAAATTAAAGAAATGGAAATGGATGTAATATTTCTCCATCCCGCATCCCGGGAGTCCAATGTAAAAATTATGCTCTGCCGCTTGAACATCCAAAAGGACATGCTATGCAACTGTTTTTTTTCTTTTTTGCATGCAGAATGTGTGTTTTCTGCAATGCTGCCGTTCCATTATTTTGTTATTGTTGTATATTTATAATACTTTTGTTATTATAATTGTTATTATATTATATTTTTATACACATTATTTGTTATTATATATTATTGTTGCTGTTGTTATATATATATTATTGTTATTTCTATTCGTTATTATTACTATTATATATACTACATGTATAGATATATATATATATTATGTATATAATGCCATGATGTTGATGTTGTTGTTGTTATTGATGATGATGATGATGATGATGATTATTATATATTATTATTATATATTATTATTCATCACATTGTTTGACATCACCTATCGATATCAATTCAAATAAAGGTCGTTCATTGATTAACCTACACCTTGCTACATGATTTCCTGTACGACTCGGCCATTTGATGTTTTGCAGCACAGACAAAATGGAGGAGATGTATTCAAAAATTGTTTGATTACTTACTTTCTTGCCATTCTTCGTTGTCAACATGTAAATGTTCACCGGTCCATTATTGTTGTAAATGTTTGCATCGTCCGGGAGCTCTCCGTGAATCTCTCATGTCCTCGTTTCATATCCTTTTTTACTCTTTATTACTTTTTATGTGTGTGTCCATGCTGCACAAAAAAAAAATAAAATAAAATAAAAAAAACAAATGTCTGAACGAACACATGGGGGAGGATGTATGGATGTATGGATGTTTGGTTGTGAATACGAATGTTTAAATGTCGAGGAAGATGCGTTTAAATGTCCATGGATGCGTTGGCATTCATTCAAATGACACTCATTTCTCCATATTGTCCTCAGCCCGGATTTCTTTTTTTCTTCTTTCAATTTGCTCCGCCTTTTTGCATCTCTTCTTTCTTCAACTCTTTTTTTTTTTTTTTTTTTTTCTTTCTTTCTTTCTTTTCTTTTTCCCAACCTCTTCTCTTTTCTTCTTACTTCTTCTCTTCTGTCATCTCACTCTCTTACTCACACTCACACTCACACTCAATTGACGATTACAGCACTCAAAGACCCGTTCCTCCTTCGTGTTGCTTCTTGGTCCTTGCTTGTTCTCAATCAACATCTGTTTGTTTTTCATCATCCTTTTATCATTACAGCCATCGTTCCACACTCCATCCTCAGGATTTCAGTATCAGGATTTCAAAGCAAAGACTTTGTTTGAATAGACCTGAAGTGAAAAGAACAGAGAGCAGAGCAGAGCCAGAGCAGAGTCTCCCGAGTACGGCTTGAAAAAAAGTTGGATCCAATCGTGAGTAGCTCTTCAAGCGTGTACATGAATGTTTTCTCTCTCTATTCCGCCCAAAAAAAGACACGCTCCAACCTGAACTCTCTTTTTTATTTTACATTTCGCTCTCTTTTCTTTTTCTCTCTTACATCTCTCTCATCACTCTTGCTCAATTACTCTTTCAGTCTTTGTCTTTCTCTTTCTTTCACTCTTTCTTTCTTTCTTTTCTCTTCTTCTCTCTTCTCTTCTCTTCTCTTCTTCTTCATCCTCACATTGATATAAAGGATAAAAAGGAGAATCACTTTATATCTCTCCACATACTCTTTCCCTTCCCCTTCTAATCTCCTTTGCTCCACTCCACCTTTTCTTTCTCTTCTTCCTTCCCATCCATTTCCACACATCTCACATCTCCACTTTATTTTATTTTATTTTATTTTTATTTTATTTTATTTTATTTTTATTTTTCCCGCGTTTTTATTTTTTTTTTTTTCGTGTCCTACCCTGTGCGCAACTCTTTTTACAAACGGCATCACATCCATTTCCATCCGTTCTATCCGCTCCTTTGTTTGTGTTTATTTCTTTGTTGTCCCTTGTCCATTTTGAACAAACTTTTGTAAGAAACAGAAGCAGAAAAAAAGAAGATTGAAAAGATTGAGATAAAAACAGAGAGAGAGAGAGAGAGAGAGAGAGAGCGTTTTTATTATATATATTTATATATAAAAGTTCATCTCTTTTCTTTTTTTTTTTTTTTTTTTTTTTTTACTTCATCATTCATTCATTCCATCACATCTAATCACACTTCATTCCATTCCATTCAATCCAATCCAATCCAATCCACTCCACTAATCCATTCCATTCCATTCATCTCTTCTACTTTATTTCCTTTTCTTCCCACTTTGCTGGATTACATCAACCTTCTGCATTCATACTTCCATTTTCTTTTTTTAAAAATTGATTCAACTCGACACGTTTGAATCTTGTTACTAATCTCTTTGTACCCAATTTACTTTTTTACACATCTCTCTCTCTTTCTTTCTTTCTTTCCTTTTCCTTTTCCTTTTCATAGTCCTTTTCATAGTCCTTTTTTTTTTTTTTTTTTTTTCTCCCTTCTCAACAACCCGAAAAGCATCTTGCATACATATATTTTTTTTTATATACATTTCCTCCCTTCCTTTTCTTTTCTTTTCTTTTCCTTTCCTTCCCCTTTCCCTTCCCTGCCGACATAGTTTATTTATATTTTTAAATCACCTAAATCAATCAGCCAGTGAGACCAGCCATGGGAACAAATCAATCTTCATCGCGTTCCTCCAAAGATTCCGCTGGAGGACATGGTCAATATCAGATCCACAGTAGTGGAAGTGGTCATGGCAAATACTCCTCACGTAACAGCAGTGGAACACATTTGGATCGACCCCATAATGGTTCCTCCCCTTTTATCCCCGGCAACCACAGCAATAATAGTTCTTCCCTTCAAAAGGCTTTAAGCAGAAGAAGATCGTCCAATCGAACGATCGAGACTAGTTCCAGTCATGGTTCCATTTCCCTAAACAACAACAGCAGTGATCATTATCGCCAACATCATCACAGCGATCTACCTAGTCATCAAGAAGAGGGAGAGGATGATTTCAAGTACTATCATGGTCGTCGATACCACAATACCTCTAGTCTGTACATGTTGCCAAACGATTCTCAAGAAGTTGACAGGTAAATAGACTTTGGAAAGGATTCATCCCATTACACAAAAAAAAAAAAAAAGAAAAAAAAAAAAAAAAAAAAAGTTGAGTGTGTGTGCAAGTGTGCAAAAGTGTGTGTGCGTGGGTGTGTGCGGACATTTTTTCAGGGACAAAGAAAAAAAAAAAAAAAACGCGGGAAATTTTTTTTTTTTTTTTTTCCTTTCTTTCTTTCTTTCCAATAAGACAAGAAAGATGAAGGAAGCTATGAGGACCATGAGGGTTAAACATGATCATGAACATGATTATGAATAATATGGACACAAAGACTTGTTTCATTCACATATAGGACAAAAAAGTGAATAGATTCTCATTCTTCTGATGAACCCGGAGTACTCTCTTTCTTTCTTTTCCCATCCATCTTTATTATCAATCATTCTGTATGGTACCAATCTTTAACGGAAGGGTTCATCTTCTTTTTGTCCGGGTTAATTGTGGACGATGATTGACTGAGTATGAAACCCATTTATTTCTTTTATTTTATTATAATCTATTCTATTTTATTTTATTTTATTTCTTGCCTTCGATTCTGAACAATGGGTGGGCGGTAAAATGGCAGTGTAATGCACAAGTGTTTTTATTTTTCTTTGGAGACATGGAGACATGGAGGCATGGTATGCAGATCTATCCCCCCCAATATCTGTTTTCCTTTGCCCTTATCTAGGGGTGACGAGAGACAAATAGATAGATGGACGGATGAGGGAAAGGGTCATCAGTCGACTAGTTCTTTATGATGACAATGATATGATGGTACATAATAACATCAGCGAAAAAAAAAAAAAAAAAAAAAAAAAAATGACAAACTAGCCATAATGGCATGTGCACGTCTTTTTTTTTTTTTTTTTTTTTTTTTTTTATTTTATTTTATCTAATTGTTTACACACAAACATGCGCGCTCGCGTACATTGTCCCATTTATTCCTTGTTCATACCCTTTACCCTACCTTTCCTTTTTCTTCTGACAACCATGTCATGTTCTGACTATTGCATGTTACATGTGCTCTCAACATATTCATGATGTTGTATACAACTTTTTTTTTTTTTTTTTTTATTTTTTATTTTTTATTTTTATTTTTTATTTTTGCGCACGGTGATACATACCTCTTCCTATTTTAGAGATCAAAATGAAAGCGAACTAAAATGAAAATGGAGTGGAGAAGGAGAGAGGAAGAGGAAAAAAAAAAAAAGAGGATCAGCACATCTTGAGTAACTGTTATAATGAGCCTGAATAATGGAAAAAAAAAAAAAAAAAGTAATCTTCTTCGCGTTACCTCTGGTACAACGCGAGCTGTACTTTAAAAAAAAAAAAAAAAAAATTCAAGTAGTACCTCTGCACCCTTGTTTTTCCTTAAATTCCCTCTGATTGTACACGGAGGAGTGGGAGGTGAAGGAAGGGTGAGGGGCTGTTGGGGAGAAGGAGGGGGAAAAAACGTATTCCGATAAGGAATTCTTGAACTACATGGATGAAAATTGTTGGGACAACCAAAAAGTAATCATAATAATGAAAAAAAGATTAGGAATGTAGCGCAGCATACTATACTGCATCATCGCATGCATGTATTAATATGTAGATGTGTATATGTTGTATATATATATTTCTATATATCTATACATCTATATATTTATATATCTATGATAAACAAAAAAAAAAAAAAATCACTAATAACAATCTGTTTCGTTTTGTTTTTGTTTTTAGACTTCATCTTCAGCATTACATCTACAAGGTTGCTTTGGACAAGAACATTCACGTTCCCATTCCCGAGAATGGACGCGTCATGGATTTCGGCTGTGGACCGGCGACTTGGACAATGGTAAGCTTTTTTATTTTTTATTTTTTTTTATTTTGTCTCGTGATATTTATTTTCTACATTTTATTTTACATTTTATATTTTATACTTTATACTTTGCTCGGTCATTGTGGAGAAAGAGAGAGAGAGAGAAAGAGAGAAAGAGAGAAAGAGAAAGAGAATGAGAAAGTGAATGGGTAGTGAGGGTGAGCAAAAAAAAAAAAAAAAAAAAAAAGTAGAGGAATGCATGTGTATGTGCAAGGATTGTTTTGAGCAGAGTTGGCATGTGCAAAGACCAATGTTTTCTTTTTTTTTTTTTTTTACTTTCTACAATGCAATGCCCCATTCATGTGAGCATTGTTTAATCCTACACTACATTCATTCTTTTTTTTTTTTTTTTTTTTTTTATTTAAAAAAAAAAAAAAAAAAAAAAAAAAAGTCTTGTTTTGGACGTCAAAAGTATAAGGTGGAGAAAGTAGCCATCAAGCTATCTATATATTTTAAAAGAGCGTTAAAGAGCATTAGCATTGAACCTTTATCAAAGACCAAAGAAAAAGAGGGGTGCTAATGGAGACACACTAGCGCATATTACCCAAGCCATGCAGCTTGCTCCTGCTTCTGCTCCTGCTTCTGCTCCTACGCCTTGCTCCTGCTCTTTGTCGTAATCTATTTATTAGTCTTTTTTTTTTTTTTTTTTTTTTTTTTTTTTTTTTCATGTGTTATTGTGCTATAAAGAACCCCCCCATCGCGATTATCCTTTAAAGAAATGGAGAGAAAAAAAAGGAAATTAGGAAATTAGGAAATTAGGAAATTAGGAAATTAGGAAATTAGGAAATCAAAAAAGCAGAAAAGCAGGGGCGTTTATTTTAGGATGACAAAGGTTGCATCTTTGCTTGGGTCCGGGCGGTAAACAGCTGCTTCATTCTTTTGACTTTTCTCCCCACATTTCACATTTCCGATTTCGCTTCTGTATTTTCACACACATCTCGTAGCCACAATCACAAATCACAACCGTTACTCCTTCTTATCATCATAAGTTTTTTTTTTTTTTTTTTTTTTTTTTTTTCTTTCTTTCTTTCCTTTGTCAGACAGGGCCTTGTTTGTCAGTGCCATGTCATATGCTAATGAATCAATCTTATTTATTTATTTATTTGCTTGCTTGCTTGCTTGCTTGTTTATTTTTGATTATATATCATAGGATATGGCTACGGAAATGTCGACTATCAACTTTGTGGGCGTTGATATCTCACCCATCTACCCTACAGCGATTTATCCCCGCAACTGTAATTTCTACAACGAAGATATCCTCCAGGGCGTTTCGCAACCCGACAATGTCTTTGACGTGGTCTTTCAACGGAACCTGACCTGTGGCTTCACTTTTGAGCATTGGCAAAAGGCAATGAATGAAGCCTACCGAATTCTGAAGCCCGGTGGATATTATGAATGCGTGGAGACAGATGTGGCAGTTCAGAATGCAGGACCTCAGACAAACTTGGTCTTCGAACATCTGAGGGTCTCGATGGCCGCTAGAGGAGTGGACCCATCGATTGTGCGGTCGCTGGATCGATTGCTCGCAGCTGCTGGGTTCACAGAGGTGCATGTGAAGGAATACACGATCCCCGTAGGAGAGTGGGGTGATAAAGTAGGCCAGTTGTGGAAACAAAACATGTTCCAGGTCCTCGACACGGTGAAACCTCATCTGGCCAAGGCTGCTAGGATCAGTGAGGGACAGGTTCAGGAGGTTGTGAATGCGATGCATCAGGAGACTGCTCAGTACCGATCTAGTCAAATTGTCTATGTTGCTTATGGCAGGAAGCCACTGTGATCTTTAAAAAAAAAAAAAAAAAAAAAAAAAAACACTTTTTTGACCACACATCCTCTCCGTTCTATTATTATAATTATTATTATTATTTACCAATATTATTATTATTATTATTATTATTATTTACCAATATTATTATTATTATTATTATCATTATTCTCATTAACATTATTGTTATTAACATTATTATTATTACTATTTCTGAATGGCTCGCTAAAAAAAAAAAAAAAAAAAAAAAATCCACGAAAAGAAGAATTTCTTTAATGGAAACATTAATTCACAGATATTTAAAAAAAGAAAAGGACTAGTGCTTTAAAAGATAGTGCTTATTTATATTTATATTTATATTTATATTAAAATAAAATAGAAGAGTGGCACCTCAGATCATAGGGACCATCACTATCAGGACCATTGAGAATATTGGAATATTGTTGAATTTGCTTTGTCACGTAAAACGCGAAAAAAAAAAATCTCTTCTGTCAGTATGACAATATTTGATTGGCCAAATGGTTCGACTCCTTCAATCTTATACTTTTTTTTTTTTCCTCTTATTTTCTTAACGCTTCTTCTCTCTCACTCTTTTTTTTTTTTTTTTTTTTTTTTTTTTTTAAACTTTCATGGAAGCATGGAGCTACTTGAACGCGCGCAATCACTTTTACAGGAATGCAATGACATCATTGCTAGTCTTGAAGCATGGAAGACAGCTAATGCATCCCTCGAAGTAGATGGCATCCAAAAGATGACTTCGGCACTCTTGTCGGAGCAAAAGTTCTTGAGGAAGGTATATATACATGTATATAAACTTTTTTTTTTTTTTTTACCAAATGGATCACGTCGTGAAATAAGAAAAAGATAATTCAATCATATTCATTCATAGCCTGTATTTTTTTTTTTTATTTCAATTTAAAATGTCGCAAAATGTCAGGTGGCTGCAACGCCTGCGGAAGAAATCAAAAGTGTCCAGTTGACATCCTCAAACGTGCCTTATCTAAAGTCTCTTGTATGGGCGCTTATTCAAAGTAAAAACCCTGTTGCTGTCCGGAAAGTCTTCACCTATAAACTCGATCCCTTTACGGTCATCGAACCATCTGAAAAGTTCAAACCTCTTCCGGTCAATCAGAGTCAAGGAGCATCATCAAAGAAAACAGGAGCTAAATACGGCAATGACAATGAAAATGACAATGACAATGGCAATGACAATCCGGGTGGAGAGAGCAAAGGAGGAAGAGCAAGAGGAAAAGAAAGAGGGACCTCTATCTTGCCCCTTATAACCTCTCAGCCATTGTCAACAGCTTTTGTAAATGAACAAGTGTTCCAGGTTAAAGTTGATGTCGTAACAGATCATGGCAAGAGTTGGTTACGGATCAATGCTGGAAGCGTTTGGAGCCTCGCACACGAGTTTGCTGGCATGGAAGATGAGAGTGATGAAGAAGAAGAAGAAGAAGAAGATGATGATGATGATGATGAAAAAGAAGAGGAAGAGAAAGAGAAAGAGAAAGAGAAAGAGAAAGAGGAAACAGGTGGAGAGGGTAAGAATGACTTTGAAGGAGATGACAAAAGCAATCGTGGCCTAGTATGGGCTCGTGCAAGCACTAGAAAGCCTATTCATGTCAGCAAGGATACACACCCAGATATGACATTATTGACCAGGAGCCTCGTCCTTGCTGCGGATCAGAACCGACTCCATTATAATCATATCCCGAGTCTAACCCTTCGATTTGCAGGGGTACAACCAGATGAAAGTCCAGCTCTTGAAGCCATGATCCATAGATCCGTCCGCGTAGGCAGGGTCGCGCAATCCGTTTCTGAAGGCACATACAGGATATTCCCAGTCCAGACTATTTTTGGTCCGATCGAACCCTCCAGGTCCACTCCTGAAGAGGCTAGTCAATTCCTATCGGGAACTCCTCTCGATCCGAGCTTTGCACCCTTCTCTATCCCAAGTTCTGTGGATGATATGGTGCTTTTTACAAAGACATTGCATCTCGATATCACCACACTGATGGCCCTGAGTAGTTTTTTATGTCATACGATCCGACCGAATCCGAAATTATTTACTTCGCCACCATTGGTCCTTCAGGCACAACAGGAACATGATCAACCGTTATTACCGCTTTTGGCCAAAATTTTTGAAGGTCGAGACCGCCTTGTGATGTCAAGGGCAGCTGTAACACGATTCAAATCGATTTTAAATGTCATTGGTGGACCTGAGGAGAAATGGCGTGGAAAGGTCATGTTTCATGATCCTTTGAAAAAAAGGAGTTCCTTTGAAGCGGATGAAACTATAGAAAACAAAGAGACTATCAGAGAACGATGGGTTCGTGGATCGGATTGGGCACAACAATATGGGGTCTTTGCTACTGGTCCCCCTCGGATTGAAGTGATTGAAGACATTCTTGGCCCTGATCAAAATCAACAAGAACTGGTATCAGAGTCAGAGTTAGGAGAAGAAGCAGAAGCAGTAGCGGGAGCCGAGTTGGAGCAAGAACAAGAACAAGAACAAGAACAAGATCAGACAAACTCGAATACCCCTACAGGTGTTAACCGAAGAGAGTTAAATATGACACAACTTCATACACGGATCTTCGCGACAGGCTACTATGGACGGTTGACAACGATTACTGCTAATCAAGTTGGATACCGAGCAGTTATTCAAAAGGGCTATCTCCCTGGTGATATCAGTGTTTGGTACCATTCACCTCGATCCCTTGCAGAAGCCAAGCTGCCAGTAAGAACAGAGATCCCTATCCGACTTACTCCAACTATAGACCTCTAGATGCAAATATCCTATAAATGCTAAAAAGCCAAAGCTAAAAAAAAAAAAAAAAAAAAAAAAAAAAAACTCTGATAAGACACACACGTGGGGGGAGAATATGTGTCTATGCCAATCGTGGGAGTGATAAGAATATGACATGACAGGTAAAAAAAAAAAGGCATTTAGGCCGTTATTCCATGTTCCATAACCATGTTATTGTACGTATGCTGTACGTGAATGTTATCTTTTGCTCACCGCATGTGAGTGGGATGGGATGTCAATCATGAACGTGTCTGAGTTTGTTTAGTTTGGTTCGGTTCCCTCTAATAATCGTGCTGACTCTTCTTTTGTTTCTTTTCTTTCTTTTCTTTCTTCAGCTTCACTCTGACACACTCCCCCCGCCCCATCCCGTCAAAAGGACTTTCCTCTTTGATCGATCTCATTGTCCGTCTGCACATCCTACAGCACGGACAACGAGTATCCTTTCTCTGTGACAATCACTATTCATATTCATCAGACAAAAACAAAAAAAGTTTCTTGCTGCCTCCTTCGGTAGCCTTTCTTATTCTCTTTTCTCTCTCACATTTCTTTTTTTTTTTTTTTTTTATATTATTTTTCTATTAATCATCCACTAGACCCTAACAGACAGGCACTCTAGTTGATATCCTTTTCTCGCTTCTCTTTTTTTTTTTTTTTTTTTTTTATTTTATTATTTACAATGGCTTACTTTTACCTCACCACCAGCGGCCATGTTGGCCGCGAAGTCGACTGATCTACCGTCCCATCTAGACGACGTTAAACAATACTACTATCTTTTTGTTCTTTTTCTTTTTTTTTTTTTTTTTTTGTGTTTTTCTCTCCAATTTTGCACTATCCATCACATTCTCCACAATCTACTACGCTTACAGCGCTCATCATCCCTAGCAACAAAGCCCATCTGTTGTTCTATAAATCATTCCAATTGACCCAATTTTTCCCGTGTCTTATCAAGCTCTTCCGAATTTCGTTTTTTTTGTCACCTTATCCCGGAAGGTTCTGGACCCACCCGCCAAAAAAAAAAGAAATTTTTTTTAAAGTTTTGCCCAATAATGTTTGCCAACGCCACCTCTCCTACCTTGGACTCGGCCTCGCCTGTCAGTGGCGGCTCACAGTCGCCTGTCAGTGGCGGCTCACAGTCGCCCGCTTGGATGGTTGATCATCCTGAGATGCTTCTCTCTGGTGCCGGTGACGTGCTTGATTATACTTCCTTCTCAGACCATTCACATTCGCCTGTTCTCTCGCTTCAGTCCTTCGAGTCTCAACAGCATAGCCCTGATCTCACTGCTTATTGTTTTGATGACTTTGATTCTCTATCGACTCCTGTTCACACATCGGATTCGATGTCCTTCTTGTCAACGCTTCCTGATGTTTCTATCAATTCCCACTCTCATTCGAATCAATTGAAGCCTTCCGCTGCTGAAACAGCCCGTCAGGCTGCACTCTTGCATGCCTATCTTGCTGCTCAGAATGAAGCCTACACTAATCAGCTTCGGATGCAACAGGAACAACTCCGATGGAACCTTTCTGCATTGGCACAACCTCATCAAGAGGATAAGCAGCAGCAGCAGCAGCAGCAGCAGCAGGAGCAACTTCAAAAGAAGGAGCAGAATAACGTCGCATGCATGGATCAACAAGACGGGCAAAGCGGCCTTACTGTCAGGCGCAGGTCATTGGACAATGCTCAAAAGTCAGATGCAGAGAATCTTGCACGCTATCTTGCTCAAATGCGTCAGGTGAAGGAAGAAGAAGAGAGCTTGTTAGATCGAGATTCTTCTCGTCATCAGAGCATGGAACACGCAGATACTTCAGAACCCACTCATGCCCCATCTTCGCCTTCTGCATCATCTGTTATCACCGAACGGTCCCCAAGTCCTAGTCCTAGCCCAGAGGCATCACAGATACCTTCATCACCATCCAACAAGGCTTCACAGAATCCCAAGGCTTCTTCCTCGCGCCAGCTCATTTGCTTTAACTGTCGAGTCACTCAAACTCCACTCTGGCGAAGGACTCCAGACCGCCAACATTCCCTTTGTAATGCCTGTGGTCTTTACTACAAGCAATATGGTGCCCACCGTCCTCTGAACGTGCGCCATAAGCTACCCACTGTCTTGGCTGATCCCCGGGCCCATGCCCTGCCTTATGGTCGTTCGTCCACTCGTAGTTCCTCCCCCTCAGGTCCAGAGTCCTCTGCGTCCTCTGATAGCGATTCAGACTCGTGTCGTACCTCAAACGATATTTCACGCTCGCTCCCGGACTTGACCAAGATGTACACAGATGCCCTGCTTCGCCCCACGGCTCAAAAGACGAATCCACCATTGATGATGGCCAAGCAAGGTATTGAGTGTGCCAATTGCTCTCAAACCCAAACCCCTCTCTGGCGCAAGAACGAGGCTGGAGAGCCTATTTGCAATGCCTGCGGACTCTATGCCAAGCTTCACAAGCGTGCGCGTCCTGTTACGATGCGCAAATCCAAGATCACACGTCGTCGTCGTGATTGGGGTGGCAACTTGGCCCATCAGGCACAGGCACAAGCGCAAGCACTTGCATTGTTCCATGCTCAGGTTCAAGCTCAAGTGGAGGCCCAAGTGAAAGGAGGAGAGGCTGCGGCGATTGAAGTATCCATGGTTCAGGAGATGAGTCGTAGAGCTCAGGAGCTTAATGGTCGTCCCACCATTCAATCACCGGTAGTGCATTCAAGTGATAGTGAAGAGGAGCAGTTATCTGTTTCTCAGGAGCAATCGTCTCCCACTGTTGATAATAGCAACAGCAACGGCAACAGCAACAATAACAATAGCAGTGGTACTGCTGCCACACAGAAGCTTTCTGGTAACCTCATCATGGACGAGCACAAGTTCTCAGATATGATCGGCCAGATGAATGCTCATCAAATGAACCGGTTCCTTTCGATCCTTGAGAGTCGCTGTGGTGTTTTGCGTAGCCGCATCCTTGCCAGCACAGAAGGTTCTGCTCAGGATTCTAGTCTGGATGACCTTTTTTAAATGAGCTTTTTAATTTTTTTTGTAAATAAAACTTTTAACAAAAAGAAAAATAATAATCATCATCATTCCTCGGTTTTGCGCCACAAAAAAAAAGGTCTGTGTGAAGTATTTGAAGAAAGCAGTGGTAAATGGAACCAGTGGAGAAATCAAAAGAAAAAAACCATTGACCTTTTTTTTTAAAACAAATTTCGATTTTCGACTATCTCCTCTTACAAAGCAAACTTTGTAAATAAATATAATAGTTGATGTCCTTTGCAGACTGGATGAATATATACCATTCGTTTGTGTAATAAGGACTAACTTGATTTATTGCCAATCAGTACATTACTTATCCTTCAAGAGACACACGTTCAAGAATCGTGTCTTATAAATCAGACTGGCAATTCTTCAGTCAATCATCCGATATTAAACATCATTACATCGGAATAAGTCTTTCACTTGGATATAGCGGGATCACGATTCAATAGAGCAGTGAATTGTATACAATCCATTGCGTCTGTCGATCCTCACCATTGAGCCTCACCATTGAGAGATAAAAAACGTAAGCTCCGCAGATTGGCTAGTTCATCCAGATTTGTTCTTAACCTCAGGTCAAATGTCTGAGGCTTGCCATGCCGCGAATATGTCAAATTAAGCTTCCGAAGACGAGTCAACCTGCCTAGTTGCTTAAACACAATCCGTTGCTTCTCCAAGCCTTCTGCACTCTCTTTATCAACGCCTACACCAAAATCTACCTGCAGTTTGGTCAGTCCAGTACTAACCCATTCTGATCCACCGACAACTTCTGACACTTTGATCCTAACTCCACACAGTATCCTCAGGCGTGGACAGTTAGCCAAGATTGCTTGACCTCCTCCATCGGCTTTCATGTCGCCAAGACGGAGTTTCAGTACCTCAATTATGTCGCAGAGCCTCTGAACCCTCTTTATTCGTAGTACGTGCCCATTCTCCAGAATCTCCTGCTCATCTGCCAGTAATTCTCGCAAGGAGAGCACACCGAAATTATACCCTGGGACTTTTAGTTGCCTTAGTTGCGTCAACTGCCTGAGAATCGCCGCCATGTCCTCGTCCTCTATTCTCACATCTGGAAGGCATAGATCTGATATAGCTTTCGGCTTATAGGGATGATTGAGAAAAGCTGTCCTGTAGAAATCATCGATTGGATTATCTTTATTGAGAACTTTCAATGATCTTAAGCCGGGACACCTCGCAGTCCACATTCCGAGACAATGGGCTAGTGTATATGAATGTGGGGGGTTCACGTATTTTGACACGTACAAAGCTTAGTATGCTCAGATTTGGAAAAATGAATGTATCTTCGTCGTTGTCCAAGAAGTTGAGGGGAAGCCGAGTGAGAGTTGTGTATTGCATATCCAAGTACCGAAGCCTCTTACAGAGTTGAAAGAATGGATCGACTTCATCAGTGGTTATATCTAAAAAAGATAGAGTCAAGTATTCAAGGTGGATGCATTCCAGTATTGTCCCCCATATCCCTTGTAAATCCACGGAGTTGAATGTAAGCTTTATTATTGTGGATCTATGGTCCTTGATGAGATTGAGAGGACGTTCTGATTTAAGGCCTGATAATAGGCTCAATAACGTACCGTAGATGAAGATATGCTTAAGGCGGTCGCAACCTCGCAATGACTCGTAACACTCTAGGTCGCTCGAAACAACAAGCTCCTCAATGGCCTCCTTGTGTTTCTCCAGTGCATCTTCACTAGGGCAATAGGTTTTAAAATGTTGAGCGTACTCCAAACGAGGTTGACAAGTGCACTGTAAAATGTTTTGGAGATGCGAAGACAATTGGGAAGGTCACTTCGAGGGAGGAAGTCACCGACAAGCGAAATAATTTCGGGGATCTCTAAAGGATTCAACTTGAAGCTGTTCATTGTGCGAAGAGAGATGGCGAGAAGGGAGTAGAGACTAAGAGAATGGACAGACAAGTGAGAAAGAGAGAAGCGGAGAGAGAATGGACATGGCCGACTCTTGTTTTTATATCTCTTTTTTTTTGTTTGACATTTTGCCGCCGCTTTCTCTAGCCAATAAGATAATTTATAATGTTTCAGTCACTTCACTGACATCCTCCAAGCGTTGCATGCGCTATTCAATAGCTACATACCTTTTAGACCTTCGGCAGGTCTTCTCTCTTTTTCTTTTTCCTCTTTTTTTTTTATAAGGCATAGTGAGAGTAAGAAAATGCCTCAACACATCGTTTATCATACCAGCGATCGCGCTAACAATCCATTGTCGAGTTTAAAGGGACCCGACTGTTATGCTCATTAGGCTGTCTTCATTATCATGTGATAAAACCAACTTTCATTTGTTGATACTTACCACCTCTGAAGCATAGTGTATGCAGCCTCTTCAGATTGACTATCCAAACCTGCTCTTAACCTCAGGTCTAGCGTCCAAATATTCCTAGACTCAAAGTGCTTCCTCTGCCAAACTGAGGATCTCCAGGTTTGTCAAGTTGCCTAGCTGTCTAAAGACAATACGCTGCTTCTGCAAGCCTCCCACAGTGTCTTGGTCGATATCATTCTCAAGACCGGCCGTCCTTTACTCATATAAAGACATAGATCCGATAGATTTGTCAGTGTGAAGGGATGATCAAGGGTTGCTGTCTAGTAGAAATCAGCGGGATCATCCCCCCAAATATCAAAGATCATAGTATTCATTGATCCTAATTCTGGGCATCTCCTAATCCACATTTCAGGGCAATAGAATGGTATATGTGAATGTGGAGGGTTGTGTATCCTGACTCCTGAAAAGTGTAGTGTGGTCACATTTGAGGAACTGAATTTATCCGTGTCGTCGCTCAAGAAGTCATGAGGGAGCTGATCGATACACTGCACATCTCTAAAACTCTAATTTCCTTGCTAACTTGAAAGAATTCATCGACTTCATCGTTGGTAGTCATCGCAGGATTAACGGCCAATGTCTCAGGGTGAGTGCATTCTAATACTGCTCGCTATATCTTGTAACCGGTAACAGTCGGATGAAAACTATTGTGGTCCTATGGACCTTGATGAGATTGGGAAAACTGCGCAAGAGAGGAAGGGTTTAGATTAATTCCCACAGTATAGTGGATATGGATATGTTTGAGGCGACCACAGCCTATTAATGATCTCGACCCTTTTGGGGATATCTGGTCAAATTCGAGCTTCTCAATGTACTGCTTGTATTTCTCCAGTGCTTTCTTTGTGAGATGCCTTGACTGAGGTTTAAAGATGATTTCTTTCCAAAAGAATCCGACAAATGTATTATGGAAGGCCTTGGAAATGAGAAGGTATTTGGTGATGTCTCATCGAGAGAGGAGGTCCCCAGCATGCGAAATGATTTCTGGAATCTCCAAGGGATTCAATTTGAGATTGTTCATGATGTGATGAAGCGAGCTGAATGCGGCCCCCAGCATACGTTTGTCGCTGCCTTGCCAAATAATTTTTACTTTATTAAGCAGCTTGCCGCGCTTTCTTCCACCAATGCCTTGCTCGGATATAGATGAATACATTCATGGCAGTGGTAGTGCTTGTAGACATGTCGTGTACCCAATCAATATGGATTGATGAAAAGTAGTGAGAATCAGATAAACCCCCCTTTTAATACTGTTTGTTGGGGTCTTAAAAATAGCTATGGATGCATAGCGTTCAGGTCCCAATGTAGCTGGTACTACAGTAGTGACTAGGCGCTAACAAGAGACCCAGCATTATAAGTTTGCTCTGGACAATGTCGTGGTTCGGCTCTCCTTGATACTTGATGAACATACACTAGTACTCTCCAACCTCTCGTAATGAGGGCTAAATGACTTTTCATCAGATAATTGATTAAACACAGATTTGCTTGACAACCTCCAGTTGTATGTCCTCTTAATCACTTCTCTCTTCACTTTTTATACTCCGCCTCATTACAAGTAACTTACGATGAATCCTAGTAACACTCCTTCGCTGGTTACTCATAGGGATCGAAGTATTTTCTGAAACAACGACTCAAGGAGATCGAAAGTGGCTTTTATTATTGTCACCAGGCAGGAGCCTTTTATCAAGGTCCTTCACGATCGCCACACAATGTTCTGACCTTATGAATAAAAATGGAATTGCTCCGGCCGGAGGCGCTCTCCCAAACCTTGGTTCGTAACAGGGATTACCGTCACTTGTTCGTATACTCTATCTATTACCAATACGAGTGCCAAATACCAAAGCGGCTATAAACCTCATAGCTGTTCTTTATATACTTCTTCATATCCTTAACCCCTAATACACCAGAATAGCTGAGGAATCTGCTCGAAATATCGGAAGTGCCGACTAGAAATGTCATTAAAGGATTGGCTGAGCTATTCAGCGGCAATAATGAAATAGCCGTCGAAAATAAGATCCTTGGTCGAATCGGAGCCACTGAACAATGCAGATATATTCAGGACTATCCCAAAACTTTGCAGCTGGATGTTGTTGAATGTGTTGGCAGTGGCCAAGACTGCCTTCTTATTGCTGGATGTGGTTGGGGTAAGACCCTTGTTTAGACTTTCCCACTCATAATTTGGGGAGATCGAATCACTGTCGTCATCTCTCTTCTCTGAGAGCATTGATACAAGAGTAGCAGCAGAGTCTCCAAAGGCCGAGTATTAGTAGCGTAGCATTACTCCATGGAGGAGCCACCACGGAAAACAATCGACGACGTGGGCGATGGGAAATATAGGGCTGCTTTCATAACGCCAGAGATTATCCTTGACAACTTTATTCAGACGAAACTCTAGCCAAATCTAAAATGGCAAAAGCGTCTACAGGCAGTTGTCACGGACGAGGCTCGCTGTGTTTGCGATTGGGGCATATATTCCAGGACTTGCTATGACCGTATTGCAGAGTTACGCTCAAAGGTCCCTCGCGGTATAGCTTTCATCGCTGTCTCAGCTACCCTTCCGCCGACGGCCCTAGAGGAGCTCAAAAGGTTGATTCAATTCATACTGGATCTCAAGAGTATCAGCATCGGTAACGACCGCCGCAACATCAGACTTGAAGTCCGGTATCTTAACTATAAACATAAACCCAAGCACCTTGCTTTCCTCCCCCTTGTTCTCAAGAAGCTATCGTCTACTTTCGGACCAAGGACGAGAGTAAATATTGGTATAAGTATTTGTACCAGCTAGCGGAGGGCAAGTTCAAGGTCGCTGAATATCACGCCGACTTTTCCGAAGGTTACAGGCAGTAAACTATGTAATAGCTCAGGCGTGGCGATATTCTCATTTCGCTATTTGCAGAAGTTATTGGAATGGGGTGTGGCATTAGTGATGTCATTCGTGTTGTACAGTACAAGTATCCGTCCATAATCTCGGCTCTTGTACAGCGTCTTGACCGTGCAGCTCGCAACCCGCAACTTCAAAGTTAGGGTATTTTATTGGTACCTCCACTGTCCATTGATACCAAGTTTCCAGAGAAATGGCCCCGCCAATTAAATTTCGACCAAAGGATGTCAGCGGAAAATCTTCAATTACATCTTTGGCAATATACCCTCGCCTAATGAGAACTGTTACAACATATATCATCCAGCTCCAGAGCCGCTGCAACTTCCTTGAATCAAAATTCGTGTCGATGCCACTCCAAAGGCTCGGCGTACGAGAGAGCAGAAGGAAGCTGCCAAAAAAGCTATAAGGGGTGGAGATTGGTGGTTCACCAAAGGGACTACGAGCCTGTTTGGTCAAGGTTAAGGGTTTCTTGCGTGCTGACGGATGACTTGGTCGATAAACTAGGTCAAAAGCTTGAAAACACGACGTCGCCCAAATCAGTTGCATCGGCTACCGTTTGAACTTTTTTTTTGATGATGACATTTTAAAGGAAGTTGCCAATATCTTTATCAAATTAAATAAGGATATCGATAGTGCATATAAGTCAAAAATGTGACCACAGCTCCAAAGAAGGAGCCCCGTATTGACCAGAATGGTCGTGTTCAGGAACTACAGCCTACCGCAATGTCAAAGATTACGTTCCATAACATGACCTCTTTCGTGGAAACCCCAACAGCAATTAACGTGATCCTCCAAATGGTTGTTCCTCTATTCCAAGCACAGCACATAATAAAAGCAGTCACTGTTAATAATGCAACACAACCATGACCACAGCTGCATTGTCAACAGGGATCCTGCATTGTCAACAGGGATCCAGCATCATTCCCAGTAGACAGTGCTCCTATTCGAACTGAAATTTTGTCAATTATGATGTTTCAGATTAAAAAAATTGACAAAATTTCAGTTCGAATAGGAGCACTGCCAGTAGAAATCCTCCCTGAAAAATCTATCGGCCATCGAGAGGCTCATCAAGAGAGTAAGTCCAGGTTTAATAACATCGCATTTGTGAGCTCTATGGAGCGTCTCCATTCCTGGTATTTCAGTCAATTTCAACAATGTGTAGCCAAATACAGCACTTCATAAAATCGATCTCAGATGTCTGGCGTGTCGCCACTAGAAGGCGCCACTCACGTGGCTGTAGGGGGACCGCTCCCAATAGGTACAATTTCTGAAATACACTTATTATGGGAATATCAGAACAGGCAAATTTCTAATTTTTAGTTCTATTGGAGGTCCCTGAATTACAAGGTGTGTACATCAAAAGTGTCAATAGTATCGGGTAAAATAATGCTAAATTGGGGCGCACATCTGTTTGCGTGATAATAATCGATATTATGGAGGTCATGATTGTGAAAGAAAACACTATGTTATATGTTAAAAATTTAGCACTTGGGATCGCGTACAATTTTTGCTAGGGACTACGGAAGCTCCTTCAGGAGGATCTAAAGAGCTTGCTTTGATGAACACACCAACATATATGTATATGATGTAGGTTCCCTGTTGTTGAAAAGCGACAGCTCGATGTTGCCTTGCAGAAATGAATAAAATGAAAACGAAAACGAAAACGAGACCCCGATGATGATGAAAATAGCAGAGGAATTGGTGCATTAAAATCCTACAGAATTGTAACCGACGCATTCAAGCGGATGTTTGTAGAATGTACGCTGTTTCAAAAGAATGGAAGTGCCTGCTGACCTTAAATTGGAAAATGAAATGGAGCTGTTGAAAAAAAGTTGTGAAGTGATATTTTGCTACATTCTTGCTTTTTGTCAATTGATGAGAGAGGAAATTGAGAAAAGGGACAGTTTCAACAAAAGGCGAACTTAGTACATCTCCAAACAAAATAGTGCTGAAGACATGGCGGCCGTTCTCGCGAGTCTTGTGATGGAAGATGGGCAGATGGAGGCGTATATTACCTCCTATTGTCCTGAAGGCGTGCAGATGGATGGATACAATAGTCTAGGCTTAGATATGATGTTAGATGATGAATATGACACCTCATATCTAGATGAGCTATATAGGGGTGGTGCAAGATCCCCCCCATGGACGGATCTAGTGTTTTCCAGCCCACACAGTAGCTTCACATAAAAGCTTACTATACAGGAGCAAGAATCGACCCTTCCGCATTTATACTTCGTCTCCGGCCATGTCTCCAGCTCCAATTTATGTTCCCATTTCTGGTCTCTTCTCTGTCCTTATTCCTTGCCTCAGTCTATCCTCGTCAGCATAAGTCTTGCGAGAACCTTCATCCTTTTTGTCATCCCAGCCTGCATCATCTCAAGTACTACTTTCTATTGTATCACATTGTAATTTATTGTCTATATCTTGTTCATTATATTGTAGTTTATTGTAATACTATTCTATTGTGCATAATTCAGTGTAGGTTATGTTTCTTCTTTTTTCATAACGATTCCTTTTACATGCTCCCATTTGGTCTTATTTGTTGTATAAAAAGCGTCTTTGTTGTCATTCAATGAAAATCGTAGAAGGATAGTAAAGCATGGCAGGAGAACAATCTGATGCGAAAAAGATATGTGAATGTTGTAGCGCTGATTGAGAAAGCAACTATGCAGACTAACAAAATGTGTCGGCATTTTTTTCTTTTTCTTTTTCTTTTTTTTTTTATTTTAAAAATGGAAACTAGAAGTACGCTTGGCATTTCTCTGGATAGAATCTTGATATTTGGATGCTTTATTTGTTATATTATCCATCACCCTTTACTGTGTAATCTCTCTTTCTTTATTTCCCGCTCGAGAATCCAACTAAAACCATGCAAATAAAGAAAATAAAATCTCAACTATGGCTGTCTCTGATCTAAATCTTTCTTTCAATGCGAAAAGAAGAGAAGCAAAAACTACGAAGGATGGGAAAAAAGGTGGAGCAATAAAGGGTCGCTTGTTCGGATAATGGACGTAAGACTTCCTTCGTCGTCTTCGTGAACCAAAACTAAAATGTTTTTACTATTAATTGGGGACAGGATGTTAGTTGCCTAACCGCATCCTCTTGATTATTGCCGAGTGCTGTTGTGAATGATGTCGTACTGTGACTCAAATACTGACTTGAGCTTCGAAAACAGACGAATGTTGGTTGATATTGAATTGGTCATTACCTCCCGGATATTGCTTCCCTCCGCTGCATGAATAACTTTTGCCAGCAGATTATTGTGCTCTTGGTACAAATCCGCAGGTATCCACACATTCTCCTTGAAATATTTTCTGCGTCTAGCAAGTCAAGGAGACCAAAAGTTGTTTTATTATTGTTGCCGGGCGGGAGCCTTTTATTAAGGACCCGCCAAGACCGTCACACAATATTCTGACCTTATGAATAAAAATGGAAGTGCCCCTGAGGCGCATTCCCAAGCCTTAGTACGTAACACTCCTTGCCCTACGTATTTATTAGCAAGGAGATCAAAATAGCCTTTCTCCTTTGTGCAGATCAGCCGTGGTGGATCCCATATGTCAAACGCAAGAGCTCCCCCGCATAGTTTTTAATCCCTCCAGCTTGAAACATGAGGGTTATCGTCCCCAGCCTTTATGGCTGCACGCAATTCGATATAAACAAGAGCATCCCTGATAAACAAGACCGCGTTTGCATTCGCACTGCCGCCTTCCTCGACGCTCTGCTGTGCGTTGCGTACCACAGATAACCATTTGGAGGTGAAAGAGCTGTATCACAGGAATCGCTCATTGCATCCGATGGAAGCTTGTTCTATCTTCTCTGTGTAACTCTTGCAAGGATGCTATTCTGGATATCGTAAGCTGATCCCCCGCAACTATAATGTTCGTATAGTCGGTGAGCCACTCTTCAGGCAGCTGAAGCGTGTCTCTCATTATTGTCTCAAGGATCTCAATGTTGCCTGATATAGTTGATTGATCGATCTTCAACGCAGGCAACGGGTATGTTTTTGTTTCCTTTACTTCAAGGGGCTCTATTGAAGGGGTTTGCACCGAACAGCCGTAGATGGTGGAATGCGCTGAAGTACATCGATCAAATGCAACTGAATGGTATCTCTATGGCATTATCAGAATGATTAGCAAAAATAAAAAAAAAAAAGGTAAACTGTTCAGTCGTATTTTTGTGTCTGTGCCTCACCTAGAGTATAATTGCTTAGGAAGGAAGGTGCAAATGGTGGAGAGGGGAATATTATCTTGATCTAGCCCAATATCCTCGCCGTGCACGAGGTTCCATTGTCGAAGGAGTCCAAGTTATTACTGCGCTGGTCATATTTCCAATTAACCGTATTGATGTTATCATGCAGCAAGTATCATGAGCGCTTCCAAACTTCGGAGTGGACCTCCTGAAGAGAACTCCCGATCTGAAAGCTGTGCAGACCGTCATATGCGACACCGATAGACTACTCACAGCGAGCAAATTTAACATACGCTTTGGGTATCCCGAGGCATGCGGATGAAGCCCCATCATCATTTGCAAGTGGCTCGATTTCTGAGAACAGAGTTTCACCAACATGCTAACGATGGTGGCACCAATTGCAGGCGCATATTGGGTAGATTTAGGGCTGACCGACGTCCAATTGGAGATGAAGAGGATTCAGATTCGGAAAGAGATTACGTGTGCTTGATTTGTTGTAAGTAATGTTGTAAAATTTAGGGGCAGATGCGGTAGGAGATTTAGGTCGTTTTGGTGGATTGTGAAGCTGGTCACTTCCAGCTAAAATAATTCTAACACAATAAAAGAACACACACACTACTCAAAGACTGAACGAGAACAGTCAGTACTCAAATGGCTCTTGTGTAAAAATAAGGAACAAGGAGCCAGATTTTCCTGAGCTGTTGCTCGTTAAATAGTTGGTGGCGAACCCTCTACACGTGACTAAAACTAAAACCAACAGTAATATATATTTGTTTAAGGGGCAATAAGTTAGACGGTGTCAACAAGATTAACGAGGAATATAACCTTGATGATAAACAGCGCCATAAGATGCCAAAAGGGAATGGGAACTTTATAGGTCAGCTCACAAACTGAGTTACCAGAAGAAAAGGAAAAAGATAGCCACGTGGAGAGGGTTCGCCACCAACTATTTAAAATCTGGCTCCTTGTTCCTTCTTTTACACAAGAGCCATTTGAGTACTGACTGTTCTCGTTCAGTCTTTGAGTAGTGTGTTGTTCTTTTATCGTGTTAGAGAGTTATTTCATCTATCTGTAGCTGGAAGTGGCCGGCTTCACAACCCACCAAAACGATCCAAAATCTACCAATAATAGTTTGCCCAGAGATCGAAGCTAATATTACAGTAGGAAGATATCTTAAAACTGACTGAGATATACACCATTTATGTTATGGGGGCTGTCTTTTTTCGTCTTTATTATTCCAGTCATTTCTGTGTTATTAGTACAGACATTCTTCGGAAGACCTATGCTCAGGATTTTATAGTCATAGTACCCTCGGAGTAAGCCATTCACTAAACTGAATGTACCTTAATCATGGTTAACAACGCCCATCTGGTATTTAAAACCCGGCCAATTGTTTACAATCCATGCTGCATCCTCAGGTTGCGCCTGTTGATGTGCATTGTATCTGGGGAGTAACGGATACAGGCACCCTCAAACTTAAGTCCAATATTTATTTCTCACCTGGTAAATAGTTATCATACGTATGAATGGTGCCCTATTAAATCAAAAGTCTCCAGTTGAGTCAGCTCGTCAGGTTGTCCAAACACCATCCTTCTGAAGGCCCTTGATCAACATCGACCTCTAGACTAACATTCATTTCAGCCTCATTCTGCACTATTGGCAACTTCTATCACGCTAACCCTAGATCCCCACAGTTCCTCCAAATGCGGACAGTTGGGTAAAATCGCTTGAGCAATACTATGGGTGCTTAAGTACTTTTTATTGACTCTCAGAGCCTCAGCTGTATCGCAGAGCTTCTTTTCTTTACTTTTCGCTACAATGTACTCACCATCCACAATTTTCTGCTCACCTGCTAGTGATTTCCCAAGGGAGAGTGGGCTGAATCCAAAATATAAGGGCTAATTTCCTTAAATGTCCTATTCGCCTGAGCAACGCTGCCAAATCTTCGTCCTTCATTTTTCATGTCTTGAAGACATAGATCTGATAAGTTTTCTAGGTGTAGAAATGATAGAGGAATGCTGCCTTATGGATATCAATACATTTTAGCTGGAAATCTCTTTTTAAACCACAGGGTTTTAACGATTATAGGCTTGGATACCTCTTAGTCGGCGCGCCAAAACAGTATGAAGATGTATGCAAATATGGAAGGTTGATTGTTTCAGCTCCATCAAGACTTAGTATGTTTAAATATGGAAAAATGGGTCCACCTGTGCCTCAATTGATGTTTACTTTATATATGTTTTAGAAATAGTCAAATGCTCAAGGTGGGTGCATTCCAGTAATGCTGCCCATATCTCCCGTAAAGTCGAACAATGGAGTTTAAGCGTCGAGATTGTGGCACGATGATTCTTAACCAAGTTGAAAACCTGATGCAGATTGAATGAACCACTGGCGACACATTTGATAAATCGGAGACGATCACACCCTTGTAATGACATGAACTCATCTGGAAAGTGGTTGTAAAACACAAGCTCCTCAATATATTTCTTGTTGTGCTGTAATGGCTTTCCATTGGGATAACGAAGTCCTGTCCTTGAATAGGATTCCACCACAATGAATCTCCAAATGAGTCCGACTAGTGTATTGTGAAAAATCTTTGAGATCCGAATACAACATAAGAGAGCATCTTGATCTAGGTGTCTCCCAATAAGCAAAATGATTTCTGGAATTTCAAAGGGATTCAGTTTGATGCTGTCCATCATGTAAGCTGATGGAGTGAAATAAAAGAATGTGATATGCTGGCAATTTTGCCACTTTTTTTTTTTTTTTAAGATTTGTTGCACAAAGTCGCAGTAAGAGCTATCGTTCTGAAGTGATGGTTTTCTGGTGGTACAGATGAAGTGCTGCTTTATTTCACCAGCGATTTTTCTTCTAATGAAAATGGTAGAAGTAGTTGTGGTTGTAGAGATATGTATTTATTCATCATCATGCATCATGCATCGCTTTTTTGATGGGACTTGGTTAGTTGTGGATGCGTCCGTCTGATCGTATAAACGATACGACAATAATGGCAAAAATGTTACATTGCAAGAGGATACTCAGCACCGCAGGTTGCGGACCAAATTCCTTTTATGTTTAATTACTATACCCTAGTAGGATTCGATCTGACCGCCATGTATCTAAATACTTTTAATGCAAGAAAGTAGGCCAAATCACATATCTCTTTAGATGCCAAGTAGCCCTTGCAAGTATGAATACTGTAATCTCATAGGAACCGGTCTTTTCTTTTTTTGCGTCGAGACTAGTCACTACAACACCTCTTCCTCAGTCTTACTATCAGACTTTTAATTATCTGAGAGTGCATTTGGAGAGGAGCCACTGCGCTTCAAAGATTTTTATTTTTACTTTTAAGTGCTTCTTTGCTATCTAGCTATCTAGCTTACCTGATTACTACTCTAAGCTGCAAGAAGCCAGACTCTTAGCCATCTTGGAGAGTGCTTTCCTTTGTCACCATCGAAAAGGCTCTCCAAGATGTTGTCCGGAGCACACCACGTGGAGGTGGTCTGGCATATCGTGCTCCGTTGGTCAGGCCCCATGGCCTTGCAAACGCCCGCACACACACACATTTATTTACCCATTTGTCCATTCCCATCCCCATTCCCATTCCCATTCTGGGCCGAAGGGGCTCCACCATCGCAAAGTTCGTCAGAGAACCAGCTCAGGCTCATACCCGTTCGGACCTGCCTTGGATATGCATTGCTGCACCTTGGATGTGCATTGTTGCTATGTTAAAGAGTGCTTTGTGTTAGTAGGAGGTTTTTTTTTTTTTTTTTTTTTTTTTTTGCGTAATTTGTTTTTTTTTTTTACTTTTTTTCTTTTTCTGGTTTGAATCTTTTTTTTTTTTGCTTTTCTTTTCTTAGCTTTTACTTAGTCTTTTTTTTTCTTTGGTTTTTCTTTTTTTTTTTTCTTTTTTTTTTTTTTTGGTTGATATGTTTTTTTTTTTTTTTTTTTTTTTTTTTTGGTTTGTTTTTTTTTTTAATCATTGGCTTTTAATTTTTTTTCTTTGGGTTTTTTTGTTTTTTTTTTAAGACGTTTGTTTCCGGAGGCGCTTGTTTTTGCCTGGGTGGACTGTTCGACCTTTCTTTGGTTTCGTCCTTTTGCTCGTGACGCCGAGCTCTCAGTGCCAGTGCCTTTCAGACCACACCGTGAGAAGTGACCTGACCGCTGTGTTTTGGAGCAGTTCGCGAAGTCCTGCCCATCATACCTAAGAGGGGGTTGGGTTGGTTATTTGGCCGTGGAGAAGGCCTGGCTGTTCGACTGCAGTGGACTGGCCTTTTGTGCGGGGCCGTTTGAGCGTGGCCATTTGGATACGACTTTTGGTTTGGGTACGGTTGTTTGAGTATGGGCTGTCTGAGCGCGGCAGCCTGGCTGTGAGCTATGAAGCTCCAGTTGGTTTAGGTTTCATTTCGTTATAATCTAATCGAAGGATGAAAGGAGAGGCAGGCAGAAAAAGAATAATCAGAAAAGAGACAATGGAGTACAGAGCGATAGTGATGGGAACTTCAGTAGGAGTGAGTATTTGGGGAGTGTTGCTTACCTTTTATCTTGGTTGAGGAGGCCGATGGTCGAGGAGACTGAGGAGAAAGAGAAGCGAAAAGAAAGAAAAGAAGATGGTCCTTTTTATATTTGGTTTTTTTTCTTTTTCTTTTTAATCGCGAAAGAAGAAATGAAGGGACGAGCAATGATTGGATTCCAAAAGCACGATATACCAAGTACCTTGCTTGCTGTACGCTCAAGAGCGACCAATAAAAGATAAGCAACAATATAAAAAGATAAAAAATAAAATAAATATACGTGTCTTTGATGTCATCTATCATATTTCATATGAAAGCAGGGAGACTCTCACGATTTGAAATGGGAATAATACTCTGCCTTCAAGACCCGCAAGGAAAATCTGTCCGCAAACAACTAGAGCATGAGCTGCATTACTCTCGAGCTGCTTACTCTTGTTGGTAAAGGAAATCATCATCTTTATCCTCTTCTTCTATTCTCTTTCTTCACTCCTAACAGAGATGGGATAGGCTATCATTGGGACTGTACTTCAGCTGCTTGCCGTTTTTCCAGAGTGCAATAGAAAATAACACATGACAATCATCAGAATACCTCTGTGCCTTTTTTATTTTTTTATTTTTTTTTATTTTCATGCAATACAATATACAATATATAAAGATTAGCGAATAGCTTGAAGGTGAAACAAAGCATCAACGTTTATATGTTGACCAATGAAAAGCACAATCGTATCGAGGGAATGACGTGTCATACCTCTTTGTCATTCTGAAAAGAAAAAGGAAAAAAGGGAAAAAAAAGTCTGTTTGGACAAAAACTGCCGCAGCACAGTTCCCACGATAGTCTATCCTACTCCTTGTTAGGGATGAAGACAGAGAATGGGAGGAGAAAGCCAAATACCAAGCTTGACTGGTAAATGCCTGATGGGTCCCTATTACTAAGAGCCAAAAGGTACTCGAGCTTAATGCTGGTGGAAAATAGAGTATGTGAGGATTGATAAGCTTGGCTCTGAATTTCGTCCTTTTACCCTAGCTGCAGCACTGTTTTCTCTTTCCCTCTTATATAAAGAGAGCAATGTGGCTCGTGCTCTTGTTTGTGGACAGGCAGGTTGTTGTTTGTATGATCTTGCAGATCTTCTTTGAGGATGAAATGTGATTAATGCTATTCTCCCTTTACTCATAAGAGTTTTTTCTTTCTCTACCTTGTAAACATATGAAAATTGACGAATGATATCACAGATGTGCAGATTATCCATTTTCAACTCCCGCCACGCTTTTTTTTTTTCCTGTACAAAAGCAAAATGCCATAAATGAATATTCAATCAATACTAAGAAGTCGCAAATTGGCTCCACTTACTATTTTCCCTGTGCGGCTACAAAACCATGTACTTGTTCTGACTTTTCACCTCTGCTACTCTCCCTCTTTCATATCACTAGTAGGCTGCAAATGCAACAAGGCCTAGCCGGCTGCAGAAACCAAAGGAAAACCAAGCAATTCAATAACGTAAAATAAAAAAAATTATCCAAACCAGAAAAGTACAGCCTACCAAAGGGCTCTCGTCACCATCATCAGTAAGTATACTAATTATGCATGCCTTCGACTTGGCTTGCCTGCGACCATCGACTGTTTATCCCATCATCAAATAAGCACAATATGCTAACTAAACTGCTCTCATTATCTTTGGCTTCTTACTTTCTAGCCATAATAAGGATCGCTTGCCCTGGACCCTCGGCGACGATCATCCCAAAGCTTACCATGGCTCGTACAACGCTTATCGAGATGGGATAAAAGCAGAACTATAAATACAGCTCCTTTTAGAGCATATATCGCTTTATACTCTTTATTGGCCTCTACACTGAGGTACATCCTACTATGTCCTGCTTGCCAAATGTCCTAACCATGCGTATATTTTTTTTATTTTATTTTTCCCTTTCGCCTTCTCCCTTTAGAGGCCCATTCGCTTGGTCGGGCCCTTCTTCCACTCGTTTGCCGACCCCTCCATTGACCTCTCGCAACTCCTTGAGAAGAGACCACTGTAGTAGTTCCAGAGGACTTCTAGCCTCTGGACCACACTTTGGTTCGAACACTCTTGGGGATTTTGCGTAGAAAATGGATGTCACACAGTTGTTTTCATCTAGGTATGGTAAGTCAGTAGCAGTGGTATATTCACCAAGCCCTATAGAGCTCTAGTCTCGACCTTCAAGGAGGTCCCTCAGCAGGAGCAGGATCAGGATCAGGATTAAGTGCTGTCGAGGCCTAATAATACCTTAGGTAAGCATATGTGCATATATATAACGAAGGGCATATTAACTTGATTTTACCATTGCTTTCGTTTTCGCTATTTAGATGGGGCCTTTGGCGACTCAGGGCTCTATAATGTTTAGTGAATAGCCCATTTATACTGACTTACTATACTTAGGTTTACCAATTAGCAAAGCTGCACCAGAGACGCCTGACCGTAGCTGTAGTGCATGGTGTAGAGGCGCCATGGTGTGTGACCCTGTTTCCTGCCGTCTGAACTAAGGATGCTCTGGTAAAGTGAGGCTTCATTGGTTAGTTATCCGATAGACTACTGCAATAAGACAGCTTGGGGGAGCGAAAGAGAGAGCACAAGGCCAGGGAGAGAGCAGGTGCTCCGAATGCGGCTCGGGGCGTAGGGCAGCAATCAGCATTCAGCAGTCAGCATCCAACACCCAACATCCAACAGATAGAAAAAATATAAAACAATAACAAGAAGAAAAAGCCTACGTCACAGCGTCAATGTCAAAGCCAAACCAAAGCTAGAGTCAAAGTCACAGTTAACCCAAGGCTTTCCAAGCTAGCTAGCACAAGGCAACCTCAGCCCGATCAAACATAGCGACCCCAACCAAAGCGGACAGAGGCTCCTCCAAGCAGATGGTCCGTAGGCAACCTCAATTAAAGCCAGTAGTAGGCAGCTTCAATCAATACAAACATAGGCTGCCCCGATCGAAACAGACATACGCAGCTTCAGTCAAACCACCAAAGGCAACATCCGTCAAAGTAACTACGGGCTCCCTCAATCAAAGCAAACATATTCAGCCTCAACCAAATTGCCAAAGGTAGTGCCAGGCAAAACAAACATAGGATGCCTCAAGCAAAACAAACACATTAAGTATTTATCAATTCACAAAGACAATCCAAAATGCTCTAGCCAACCAAAATAGTCGGCCAAAGTCAGCCAGCTAAAGTCAATCAACCGAACCCAGTTTACTAATGGCGGTCGATCATAGGCTATCAAAGCTAATCAGCCAAGTTATCATTAAAGGGTATACCAAATCATCCTCAAAGGAATCCAATTACTACTAAAGGTAGCCAAAAAGCACCCAATAGCCTACACATATCAAGGCTATTAACTCCTAAAACACGAAAGCAAAAGTCTTTTTGGCTAAGGGCCTGGCCGTGACCGCCTTTGGGATAGTATGCATCTCGGATGAGGTAGCATGGTAAACGATTATCAATAAATATTGTTTGCCTGAAATATTGATAGAATCTGCCGTGGCGCCCTCAATTATGGTGCAATATTTCAGATGCCTGGCATGTAGCCGTGTAAAGAAAAAAGCAAAAGTCTTTATGTCACATAATGTGATAATTTCATTGAACGAATGTATACCAGCTATATGACTAGGCGATGTAAGCTTTCGATTTCTGGTAATAAATGCAGCTAGAGGATCAACGTAGCTCGTTCCAGTCGGATAAACACATTAAAGGGAAGACAGCTGGTAGAAATAAAATAAACGCCATCGCAGAACAACAACTATAATAAACGAAGAGGCTATTAGAGGCAAGAAAGTCAAATAGAGTAGTATACCTTGTCCTCAAGGCTTTTAGACGTACCATACTTCCCTGATGATTAAACGTGCGTGGTATGCAAACACATAAAATGGCAAAGCTTAGGCTGTTCCCTCCAAAAATAATAATGATAATAATAAAACTGAGACAACAGTGCCTGTTGCAACAGCACAGTCTAAAATGCCTTTCAAAACAATAGCATAAGCGAGGCTACTTTAAAGACGATGAGATCAGCAAAGAGCATGCATGCTTGTGCATACACCCCAAGGGATGTGCACTGACAAGATGTTTTTTTTTTTTTTTTTTTTTTTTTTTTTTTTTTTCACTGTGGATGTTGTTTAAAATGTGCTCACATGTTTGTCATCACACAGCTGCTGGCATTGAGATAAACTTTTTATTCCAACAACCACATAGCATTTCATCCTCAAAGAAGATCTGCAAGATCATACAAACAACAACCTGCCTGTCCACAAACAAGAGCACGAGCCACATTGCTCTCTTTATATAAGAGGGAAAGAGAAAACAGTGCTGCAGCTAGGGTAAAAGGACGAAATTCAGAGCCAAGCTTATCAATCCTCACATACTCTATTTTCCACCAGCATTAAGCTCGAGTACCTTTTGGCTCTTAGTAATAGGGACCCATCAGGCATTTACCAGTCAAGCTTGGTATTTGGCTTTCTCCTCCCATTCTCTGTCTTCATCCCTAACAAGGAGTAGGATAGACTATCGTGGGAACTGTGCTGCGGCAGTTTTTGTCCAAACAGACTTTTTTTTCCCTTTTTTCCTTTTTCTTTTCAGAATGACAAAGAGGTATGACACGTCATTCCCTCGATACGATTGTGCTTTTCATTGGTCAACATATAAACGTTGATGCTTTGTTTCACCTTCAAGCTATTCGCTAATCTTTATATATTGTATATTGTATTGCATGAAAATAAAAAAAAATAAAAAAATAAAAAAGGCACAGAGGTATTCTGATGATTGTCATGTGTTATTTTCTATTGCACTCTGGAAAAACGGCAAGCAGCTGAAGTACAGTCCCAATGATAGCCTATCCCATCTCTGTTAGGAGTGAAGAAAGAGAATAGAAGAAGAGGATAAAGATGATGATTTCCTTTACCAACAAGAGTAAGCAGCTCGAGAGTAATGCAGCTCATGCTCTAGTTGTTTGCGGACAGATTTTCCTTGCGGGTCTTGAAGGCAGAGTATTATTCCCATTTCAAATCGTGAGAGTCTCCCTGCTTTCATATGAAATATGATAGATGACATCAAAGACACGTATATTTATTTTATTTTTTATCTTTTTATATTGTTGCTTATCTTTTATTGGTCGCTCTTGAGCGTACAGCAAGCAAGGTACTTGGTATATCGTGCTTTTGGAATCCAATCATTGCTCGTCCCTTCATTTCTTCTTTCGCGATTAAAAAGAAAAAGAAAAAAAACCAAATATAAAAAGGACCATCTTCTTTTCTTTCTTTTCGCTTCTCTTTCTCCTCAGTCTCCTCGACCATCGGCCTCCTCAACCAAGATAAAAGGTAAGCAACACTCCCCAAATACTCACTCCTACTGAAGTTCCCATCACTATCGCTCTGTACTCCATTGTCTCTTTTCTGATTATTCTTTTTCTGCCTGCCTCTCCTTTCATCCTTCGATTAGATTATAACGAAATGAAACCTAAACCAACTGGAGCTTCATAGCTCACAGCCAGGCTGCCGCGCTCAGACAGCCCATACTCAAACAACCGTACCCAAACCAAAAGTCGTATCCAAATGGCCACGCTCAAACGGCCCCGCACAAAAGGCCAGTCCACTGCAGTCGAACAGCCAGGCCTTCTCCACGGCCAAATAACCAACCCAACCCCCTCTTAGGTATGATGGGCAGGACTTCGCGAACTGCTCCAAAACACAGCGGTCAGGTCACTTCTCACGGTGTGGTCTGAAAGGCACTGGCACTGAGAGCTCGGCGTCACGAGCAAAAGGACGAAACCAAAGAAAGGTCGAACAGTCCACCCAGGCAAAAACAAGCGCCTCCGGAAACAAACGTCTTAAAAAAAAAACAAAAAAACCCAAAGAAAAAAAATTAAAAGCCAATGATTAAAAAAAAAAACAAACCAAAAAAAAAAAAAAAAAAAAAAAAAAGAAAAACCAAAGAAAAAAAAAGACTAAGTAAAAGCTAAGAAAAGAAAAGCAAAAAAAAAAAAGATTCAAACCAGAAAAAGAAAAAAAGTAAAAAAAAAAAACAAATTACGCAAAAAAAAAAAAAAAAAAAAAAAAAAACCTCCTACTAACACAAAGCACTCTTTAACATAGCAACAATGCACATCCAAGGTGCAGCAATGCATATCCAAGGCAGGTCCGAACGGGTATGAGCCTGAGCTGGTTCTCTGACGAACTTTGCGATGGTGGAGCCCCTTCGGCCCAGAATGGGAATGGGAATGGGGATGGGAATGGACAAATGGGTAAATAAATGTGTGTGTGTGCGGGCGTTTGCAAGGCCATGGGGCCTGACCAACGGAGCACGATATGCCAGACCACCTCCACGTGGTGTGCTCCGGACAACATCTTGGAGAGCCTTTTCGATGGTGACAAAGGAAAGCACTCTCCAAGATGGCTAAGAGTCTGGCTTCTTGTAGCTTAGGATAGTAACCAGGTAAGCTAGGTAGCAAGATAGCAAACAAGCACTTAAAAGTAAAAGTAAAAACAATACATACGCATTCTCCAAATCCCTGACAGAACACTTGATTAAGAAATAATACAAGGATATGGCTCTCCTTATTGTCATTGTCCGCCTTTCTGGCATTGGCACCACTTACCGGGAACCAATCCCTAAAGTGTCGGTGCAACCAGCAAAGTAATAATATCCTGCGCCCCGGATCAAGTTCAATAATGAATCGGCTGCGGGGTAAATAGTCAGCAGATAGCAAAAAAGCTTTGAAACGTGGTGATCATCAAAGTCAAGGAATATAGAATGTTTCACTACAACCCTATAGTCTGTTATAGCAGATCTAATTCCTGTCGATATTGTGGCAAAAACGGTCTTATTCTCCGCCGCAATTGCTAATCGCACACTCGCAGAACCGCCCATATAGCAAGTCACTACCAGCTGCATCCGCCCCCTCACCTGGTGTACCTTTGGTACACATATCGTTGCTACTGGTGCACAGCTGAACGACCACGTTGGCAAGTCTCAAATGACATTCGACTCAAACTTTGCCCTGCTTCAGGATTGAAGTACTGGTTTGATTCTCGCTTTGGAGAGCAGCTCTGAACATTAGCCCGACAGAAGGATGGTGAGAAACTCAAAGTCCGTATCTCCAAGGCGTTAATTGTACCCATGACCTTCAAAGCCTTTGGCCTGAGCTAATGGTCCTTTATGAATGAGCTCCAGCAGAGCTCAAGGATTACCCTCGAGGAGGCATAGATTGGAGCAGGTATATGGAGGATTACAATGTGAGAGCGCAAGCATTTATTTTGAGTGAAAAGGTGGACAGGCGTCAGAGAGTAGACCTCTGAAAAAAGCCGCATCACCGACAGGGTTATAGCTCTTGTTGAATATACCCTTAGACCTGCCCCTTTCCCACCCAAGCTCCCCATAAGCTTTACGCGCACAGTCATCCTTCTGAAGACGCCCTTGAGAAGATATATAGTGTTATGTATTTCGCCCCATCGAAATCGTGATCCTCAAAGTGCTATAGAAAAAGGGGATTTAGGTTAATAGCAATCAGGCGTTAAGGTCCTAAAGCCTCTTTGAAATATCCACATCGAGCCATTACCGGGCCTCATTACGTACTGCAGCCATGGAAGCATAAAATTATTATCGAAATCATCCACGAATACTTTTTCTCACCACGAAACAATGTGAGCTGGACGTTAAAAATGTGAGAGGGAAAGAAGAGAGAAAGAAAATTATGTGCAATGAAGTAATATGGAGTAGAAAAGCGTGGAGATGAGGGAACAAAGAACGAATAAGAAACAACATCATTGATTTGATATACTAAATATAATGTTTAAAAAAAATGTACCGACTAGGTCGGAGCGCTGGCATTGATGGCAAGGAGCCGATAGTTTCGTCTCCTACGCTTCCTATACTAGTAGGAAGTACAGAAAATTGGATCTGGCCTGCTATGAGTTGATTAAAGTTGAACTTTCAAAATAGAAAAATATGCCTGTTTTACGGTCTCAATGAAAAAAAAGACAAAGCAAATAGTCACGTGAAACCCATTTATAATATTCCCTCAATCCAAAGCGCGTTTTTCTTCTCATCCTTTGTTTGCAATTCTATTTTGTAAAGGTAAACAGTAACAACGCTAGTCATAATGCAAGTCCTCTTTGCAATTGGCTTGATCACACAGGTTGGGTTGGCATGGTGGAAACTTTATTTGGGCTGGGTCTATCCCTGTTTCTCATTTGAGTATATCCAAGGTTCGCGTCTGCCCATATATCCATTGCTGGATATTTGTCAGACCCACTGGATGAAATGTGGGTGGAAGGATATGACTTCAATCAAGCTTCCACGGCTATGAGGGAGAGGCTCTTTCTTTGCAAACAATAGCTTCTCTCATCTCGACCCTTGTGCAGAGAGGATAAAAAAAACTTGTCGTCTTGTTTCCCATTTTAGTATATCCAGGGTTCGCGTCTGGCAGTGAGTTCTTTGCAGATGAAACTGTCGAACCCGCCGGATGAAATGTGGGTCGAAGGATTCGGATGGTTCTCCTCTCAATGATCTCATCATCTCAATGAATTTTAAAACTTTAATTGCTCAACATTAATCGCAATGTTAATTCGCCCATTCATTTGCCTTACGCGAGGCACCAACCCTGATCTTGCTCCGAATCTCAGCAATTCATCGCAGCCGAGCCATTGTTCGAGACTCCGATGGATGGCTCTGCGGGTGGCGCAGGATAAGCGCTTGTCATGTATCAACATCCGAATGTCACGGACAGCAGTCTCTTTGCTATCATAGTCGAAATGTTTGACAAATGCCTCGACGTCAAACGCTGTTCGCTCCGAGATCCATGACAGTCTGGAACATATGAGGTGGCTTTCGACCATGAAGCCTTTTGGGTGGAACAAAAAAGGGCCGTGACTGTAAAGATGGTACTCATAAATGCGCAGACTGCAATCATCAGTCAGGCCGGTGCCCTGGTACCTTTTACTATGGAGCAAATCGGAAAGTCTGAACAGGAAAAGGTATCATCTGTTAGTATTGGCATGGTCTTTGTTTTGTTTCTGTGAGAGGAAGCAGTTTATTGAGAGTGTATGACATGCTATCATTGATGCATAGCCCACAGTGACCTCTTCGGTGTAGCAGATGACTTCCTTCGCCCAACCTACAGCAACATCGCTAGTAGAAACAGCGTCGGTGCCGGGAGATGCAGTTCCACCATCTACTAAACCCTCAAACTCTCATTTAACACCAAGTACGCTAGAAGATTCGACCCGTAAGTTAATAAAGAAGCAAATGCATGAGGACGATTAGGTCTGAATATAAGTGTAGTCAATATTTGTATCATTACGCTTACGTCTGCTTTGCTGTTAGATAAGGCAAATGCGGAAACATTGAGCGAAAACTTGATAGTAAGTTTATTATTATCATTTATAGTTAAATTCTTTATGTTCATGTAGCAAGCGTAATGATATGTTATCTGGATCTTTATATTTTTTATAGCAGCCACTTCTGTTATATCTGATACGTGCTTTCAGGCATATTGTTTTATAGTTTCTAAATGCTGTCATTCTTACTTTGTCAAATTCTTTCACAGATACAAAAAAACGTAAACAATACGAAGCAGCAGAAGGAGTGGAAAAGGAAACAAAAAACGATGTAGGTCAGACCATGGCGATGGTATTGGAAGCACTTCTGAAAATGAAGTCGATTCTTAGTCCCTTTTTGCCACTTAATATTGAATAGTTCTCAAAAACTGTTCGACACTCACTGCAGCAAAGGCACGATAACCTTCAGGAAAAATGGATATTGGAATCTGGAAAGTGTGTCGAGGATATATCATTCGAAGCGGGAGAAAAACTATCTTCGACTCAGTAAGAGGTTGTACCTTTGGCCGCGTTTTATCATGCCCTTGGCTCGTGCAATCCTGTTTATCGCCTTATCATTCATTTAATATATAGCCTAATCCATTCATATATCATCGATGTACAGGATACATACACGAAAAACCTCTTCAGCAAGCAGGAGTGGAATGAAATAACGAATGGCATTCCGGAGTCACTCGTTTTAGGATGCATTCGAGTACACCAAAATTTTGTTTATGCGGACGATTTACTAAGGAAAACGTCTGTATATTTTTAAGGTTCCAATGAATTGGGAAGTATTCTTAACTTTACAAAATATATAGGCACATGTGACATTGCATTTACGGGTTCCCATAAATGCACATTCCCGGACGAAAAAGGTTGGACAAAAGGCCGGACGCAAGTGCATTTATGGGAACCCATAAATGCAATGTCACATGTGCCTATATATTTTGTAAAGTTAAGAATACTTCCCAATTCATTGGAACCTTAAAAATATACAGACGTTTTCCTTAGTAAATCGTCCGCATAAACAAATTTTGGTGTACATAAACTCGTTTGTTAACATTAAGACTGTGCACTAACTGGAATCGAAATTGGAAAAGCGTCCTAATTGTGACCCCCCGAGTGTAGACTTGTATTTATATAGTTGCCTGTTGAACTGGTATCTTTATTTTTTTTTATTTTTATTTTATTTTTTTTTATTTTTGCCTTTCTTGATATGATTCAAGTTACGCTTCTTCTAATGGCAATAAGACGTTGTATTTTAGGTTAAATCTTTACAAAAGCGATCCATCTCCTTCCCAGTTAGAAGGAAAACTCTCCGAAGAATGGTGGCAGAGGAATGTGTGGCAAATTTGTAACAGATTTTGTGATGAAGTGTCCGGATGCTTCATCATGGTTGAAGAGATGACTTTGGATTCAACGCGCAGTCGAAATAACAAGCTACACATGGAAACGGGAACACCACAAGAGATTAAGATGAAGACAGGTGCTCGTGCTGACTTCGTTTGGCGCTCCTTATGTAACCCAGAAAAGGATTGGGCAATCGGGGAGGCGGCTCGAGAGTGGGATCCATTTTCCCAAGAGTATGTCAATAAAGGCGATTTCAAGCTGCCGCGACAGCTCCATGACATCCTTATCTCGCGGTCAATAGAAGTAGGAGGTCCAAGCAAGTTGCGAGATGCTTTAATTTCAGGATTACTTTTTAAAGGTAAATATTACTCTTTTGGCGTTTTGTCATTTGTGCCAACATGTTCGCCTCTAAGCATCGATATGGTTGAATTATAGGCCCTTTTGTTCAATTTGTGTCTTTGTGCTGGGGATTAAAAGGAAGAAATGTTAGCAGATTAGTCAATCGGAATAGAGCCTCATTGGCGGCATGTATTAGCTCCATGTCAGAAACTCTGGTTGTATTGGTTTACCTATTGTCATTCCGTGTAAGTCTTGAGCTTTATGTATCATGTCTCTTCATGTTAAGTTTATCCTTCATAGCGTATAAATTATTAAATGCTACTACCCTAGGCCTCAACTATGCGTCTTATGGAAAAATATAAAATCGCTGACAAGGACTTCAAGAATAGCTCCAAGAGCCTGTCCTGAAAAACGACGCCTATTAGGAATGGCGCGATTTGGACCGTCCAAAGCCTGGAGCCGATGTTCCATCCTCCACGTACAACTACATGATTTTTTCCTATAGAGGCACAGTTGATAGTGCAAAAATAAAATGAGCCTTTTTAATAACTAGTGCTTCGTTTTGTTCTTTATGTTTATGCACCATTAGATAGAGCTCAATTCGTCCGGCCACAACACAATTCATTTGTTATATTTGTTTTAGACCATTCATTTACTGTCGCCCACTACAAAGGACACTCGTAAATATGATGACAAGGAGTCCTTTTCTCTCTGGCTGCACAACGTCTTGTTATTACATTTTTCTTACAGCCTGGGCAATTGACGCACAAATGCCTGCGCAGTGGTGGACGCGACCTGATGGTCAGGTTGTTATGTGACCCAGCAAAACACAGTGAGAATAATGAGATTTTCAAAGATTGATCACGCTATTAAAAACACTCTCCGAAGCTTGCAAGAGGATGACTTGCTAATATTAGAGTCCTCCAAAACTTCCATTAATTGGATTTATCGCAGTTATAAAGCAATAATGAGTATTAAGAAGGTGGACAGTGACCAAAATCAACAAGGAGATAACACAGGAGTAGGCGAGGAAGATACTTGGGCAGCTGGCAATGGGTTGTGTGCAGTCTCAGAGCTAGGAGCATGACAGACGTAGCTTTTTTTTTTTTTTTTTTTTTTTTTTTTTTTTTTTTTTTTTCGTGGTGCGAGTAGACGTTATTTCGCATGTGCTTCAGTGCTGTGGGTTTGCAGACACTGAAAAAAAAAAAAAAAAAAAAAAAAAAAAAAAATTGAAAAAAGCTTGGCCAGGAGGTAACAAGGGTAGAAACCACTGATATTTTATCAATAATAATCAATTGAATCATCTGTCCGCTATGAATGCAGCGAAGGCGTCAATTTAATGCAAAGAGAAACTCCAAAAAAAAAAAAAAAAAAAAAAAAAAAGAAACGGTGGAGTATCGTCCCATAGATATTGACAACCACAGATGATACAAGTACAACGGGTTCAAAAACAATATTCAGCTGTCGCCTCTGAATAAGTTGTACGGAGTCAAGCGGACCAGTTGTAGCGTATTGAGTAATAGATCTGCCAGTGCGTGGTATGATGTCGGACAATACATTTATCACCTTCCTAGTAGATCTTATGCTTTCTAGGATGCTGACTGTCGCCTATTGATGTTAATACTTCTATCACTAAAACTAGTTGGTCATAGAGAGGGAACCGCATTGCCCAAAGGCTCAGCGATAATAACAAAAAAAAAAAAAAAAAAAAGAATACATTTGTATTAGTCAAAGGTTGTAGAATGCAATTTTTTGTTCATAACAAAACAGTTGAAGACCAAACAGATAGTTAACAGAGCAAGTGAAAGAAGCGGCTTGCACTTCTCCCTAGTGACTTGGCAAATCGTTTTTTACTTCCATCTCGTTGGTCATCGCTGTTATCAATGCTGCTACTGCCCCATGGTGGCATGGTATTCACTTGATAACGCTTGCAATTGGAAGCCCAGGCAGGCTGGATTTCGCTTACATGGTTATGGGGCAACTTTATGGTAAGAACTAATCATGAAGTTGGGTTATTGTTGGAGTATATCCAGCGTGGAATGAAATGTGCCAAACGGATTTTAACGACAAAGTTCCCTCCAGGATAAGTTTGACCTTTAAAATTACAATCATAGCATTTAGAAGACAAAGGCTTCAGTACTGCTGTGTCAAATCTAGTATAAAGCAAAGGACTGAACTCCCCAAAATAACCGAGTCAATAATCAGCTCTACTTCATGTACCAATATCGCAATGGGATGATGGAAGAAGCAGGTAGTGTCACGTTTTATTAAAGTGGTGACCCCAAATTTCGTCTGTGGCAAGCTCCAAGCGTCACATTTAATCTTCATTTCATCATAATGATGACCAACTGCAAATTGAATCCTTTTGATCTCCCAGAAATTGTTTCCCGTGTTGGTGAATTCCTCAGTCGGGACGACATCATCAGTTGTCTTCGCATTTCCAAGGCTTTCCACAGCACCCTTGTCAAACGCCTTTGGAAAACGATCAGTCTAGATTCAAAGTACCCTACTGGCGAAGCACTGCATAATAACAAGAAATACATTCAGAAGCTTGTGCTTTATAGCCCGCTTCCAGAAGAGTACAGGACACTGCAAAGCTGTAACCGCCTTAAAGATATCAGCTTCTATGGGACATCATCTCACGACGCGTCTGTCCTGAATGATCTTTCTAATCTCATCAAGGCCCACAGAACCACGATTGCTAGATTGTATTTCGATTTCGGCGATTCGAGCTCGCAGGGGATATGGGGAACATTACTAGAATGTGCTCGCCTTGAAAACTTGGCCTTTTCTAGAACACAAATAAGCAACGACGAAGTCGATCTATTCTTTCAAGTCTGCAAGAAAATTAAGAATTTGGATATAGAAAGCGTAAGCATCGATCGGCTTCCTTCTGACTACTTAAACGATGACAAGAATTCATTCATTTTTCCAAATATGAGCACACTATACTTTAATGAGTTCAAGATATCCAACCCTCCACATCCGCATACATCAGCCTATTGCCTTGGTATACTGACTAGGAGATGTCCAAATTTACATTCATTGGGTTTCTATGATTACTTAAGCGACGCCCATACTTCCCAGCATGAACTTGTTAAGTTCCATTGGGCAGCATTCCGTGATCATCCCTACACTCTGACAAATTTATCGAATCTACGCCTTCATATGGAAATAAGGGATGAGGATATGGCGGCGCTTCTCAGACAAATAACTGAACTAAGAGAGCTAGATGTCCCAGAATGTACTTTCGGCCCGCTTTCCGTCCGAGAATTACTAGCAGACGAGCAGGAGGTTCTGGATGGTGGAATTATAGTGCGGAAAAGGAGGAGTCAGAAGCTCTGCGACACAATTGAAGTATTGATTATTGATAACCGAGTCGAAAGGAACGATGGTGTTGTCCAAGTAATACTATCTAGTTGTCCGCGTCTGAAGAGACTAAAGGGGCCTAAGATTACAGTGGCAGAAATTGTCAATGGAGCAGAATGGGTCTGTGCTGACCTCGTCAGCTTGGCCATCAGACTTGTAGCAGATGTTGATTCAGAAACTGCAGAAGGCATGGGGAAGCAGCGTATTGTGTTTAGACAGCTAGGCAAGTTGACGGAATTAGAGATTCTTGATTTGACAGCGACGAATTTTGAACCTGGGGATATTCGGACGCTGGACTTGAGATTAAAAGCAGGTCTGGATGAGCTAGTCAGCCTAAAGAGATTGCGTTCGTTATCCTTCGATCACGACAAGTGTCAACAAATGGAACCTGAGGATGCGACATGGATTATAAACAACTGGCCGAGAATGACACAGATATCTGGAGCTGTGAACCAAAAGCCCGGCGCATCTAGTTTAGTGATGAACCTATTCAAATCTCACAATATTTACACTTGGCTTCCTTTTTGATCAAAAACACTGATAAGAAAAGAAATATAAAGCCCATTATTATTTCACAGTCTGTTTTGAGAATATAGAGCCCGGACATGTGCCCAAGGGGAATCCACTTTACTAATAGTGATGATTTGGTTACATTAGAAAAGGAAAAGGAAAAGGTTGCTTTGTGATTCACGCGGTAATATGCTTCATAAGCATGTAAGCAAAATTCGACTTGCCTGTTCCCCAATGTCCCAATGGCAAACGTTATTAAATAAATACATGCCACTACTATAAGATTTACCATGGCACTACGGATTACAAATTACAAAATTTGCTCCGCTGCTGGCTGTTATAGACCAACATCATACAGATGAATAGCCATCTGCTAGTGTCAAGTTATTCTTTGGTCAGACGTCAGCTGAAGACTAGAATAAAAAAAATACTTACTTCCTAATTCATATAATTAAGCGACCGTCCCTTAGTATTATGCTTCCGATGCTAGCAACCCTCTCCTCTGTAATCAATCTTTTACTAAAGCTCGAGATTCCAGAACTAAACTAAATAAATAAATATATAATGAGAAGTCCCCTAGGCTAGTCCTTATCTTTTTCGGTAGAAGATGAGGGTAGGTGTGGCGGCACAGGGGAGGGTTGCTAGCTCGGGTAATGGACGTAAAGATGTCCTTTGTCGTCTTAGTATTCCATATCTGTTTCCAGAATAAAGCCCGATCCTCAAAATTCCAATAGTGGCATCTAAAAGATAGAAACAGCGGTACTTCTGTACCAAATCTAATATAAAACAAAAGATCGAATTTCCAAAATACGCCGCCAAAACCGAATCGATGACCGATCCTACTTTACTTATCAATCTCATAATAGCAATGATTGATCATATTCTACTTAGCTGCTTCCACTATTAATAAGGCTAAGGGCTATCGCACTGCCAGCACCCAAGGCGATGGGGCAAGTCCACATTGAGATATTCCAATAAAAATAGAAAACAATAAAATAAATAAGGTAAAATGAAATAAATAAATAAATAAAACTTCACTTAGTTTTGCACGGCGTAAGTTGACATAAATTCCTGTCTTTACTAATGTAACCAAAACATTGCTACTAGAAAAATAGATCCTTCTAGGGCATATGTCCAGGATCCATGGCTTAAAAAGGCTGCAGAAGGCATGGAGAAGGGACAAATTGATTCTATTGAGTTGTTTGATATTACATGGTTAAGCAATATGCTCTCCTTTGCACTAGGCAAAGGCACAAAGGCTATTAGTATTCATATTTGATATCCAACAGATATTTAAAAAATTGGGTCAGGGTAACTCTATTTTAATCTTAGTACGGTGCGTTAGTGATCCCTAATGCTCTGCCAGCTAATAAAGCGCTAACTACTTAAATGGCTTGCTGGTCAATCTCTTAATAAGTTTGAACAGCAAGTATAGCTCAAATATCGAGAGGCTCACTATCTGGTTCTAGTTTTTATTTTATTTTACTAGGAAGCCAACTCTATTAGTTGCTTTTTTTTCTCATCTCCTGTATTATACAATATCACATGCTTAATATTGTCATCAACAGCCCCTTATCATGATACCATGGGTGGCTTCTCATCTATTGCCATTTTAAAAGGCACTTTAAGGCACTCTGGGATAAAACTGACATGTTTTAATTGCAATGGACTACAGCTTTTACAGGTGGAGAAGAGGTAGCGAAAAAAAAAAAAAAAAAAAAAAAAAAAAAAAGTTCTTAGAGTCCTTGGCTTACGTCCATGCTTGAAACGCGGCCATTTTGATTTCTGTCCTCGCGGATGATGTCGAATTAAAACATTTCTATTTGTGATAGATATGTCGAGATCAAAGCATTATATGCGTAAAAAGTAAAAAAGGAAAAACAAAAAAAAAAAAAAGTTAGAATAGTTCAAGGATGTGTAAAATGCAACACCAATATTGCCGAGTATATTACCTCCACCATCTTTAGCATGCGGTTGAGCAATGGACTTTCTTGTAGTCTCTTTCTCATTAGCGTGACTAGAGCGCCCCAGACAGAGATGGCGTAAACCTCTAAAGTTACAAGAGAAACTCTTAAATATTAATCAAACATCCTTTTTAACATTGAAGAAGAAAAAAAGTCCGTGTCATCCTACCATCATTAGCATCCAGAAAGTTTGCTGTCAAAACCTCAAGGGACTCAGTGCTATAATCATCCATGAATTCGTTGACGGCCTGTATTCGCCTCGAATCCTCCTTTTCAATCAACTTAGGGATCGCCATTGTCAACAGCTCCAACGCCCTTGACCGGATATCAGGAATGGGTGATATTAATCTCGTAAGTACAGGCATGAGCCATGATTGGACTGTTGCCACAATTTCATTTAGAAATTGTGTAAATAAGATAAACATGCCTCCTAGGGATTCATTCGTAATACTTGACGGCTTGAATCGGGACTCCAGATTGTCCAAGAAGGCCTCGATCATATGCGGGAGGAACGGATACAAGAGCCTTCGAGGGATTCTGGTAGAGGAGAGAGTCAATATTGCCAAATTACAAGTTGGTTTCTCATTCGCTGCATTGACCAAATGTAATATTTGTACAAGTAGAGCCTCGATTTCTTTTGAAGTAAACATCGCGACAATTTTCTGGTTGAAAAGAAAGTAGCCTGTACACTTTAGTGCCGCCTGAATCAAACTCGGAGGGCTATATAGATCTAAATCCCTCATGAGATACCTCGCAAACAATCGTATTGACTCTTTGACTTCCTTCAGATAGAAAGGCTTTTCATCGCCCTCTCTGAACTTGGCCTGCAAGTTAAGGTAGGCTGACGAGCGTATTTGAGCATCCTCAGACTGCAGTGACTCAAGAGCCTCCTTTACAAAGGATACTCTGTCCGAATAACCGCTCTCTGTAGCTACAACAAAAGGGTTTCTCATTTCAGTGCTGTCAAGCTCATGGTCTCGGTTCAAAACACGCGTCGGAGCTGGTGACTTAAGAATGATCGTATTGATTTTAGTATTTCAGTACCAGTATCACATACTGATACTGCATACTAAAATGACAGAAGATTAGTATTGTACATAAAATAACTGAAAGGCCATTGGCTGGAGAGACACAAACAAACATGCACTGATACTAACACTAGAATTGACATTCACAAATAAACATGCAATGATACTATCGCTTAAGCTGGCCCGCACAAATCCCATGTAAAGAGAACATAACTTGGTATCATGAAAACAGATATTTAAGATCACTAGTAACGCTATTGTCTTCCAATTAACTCTTGTCTCTGCAGATGCTGTGCTCGTGTTGTTCGTACTCGCAGTTGTCGCATGGCCTCGTCGTACTGCTCTTGAGGTAGCTTAGTGAGGCAGGCCCGGAGAAAGTGATAAGACCTTGTAACACTCCACCCTTTCTTGACGTTGCTTGGGACCTTGACTAATAATCTCTTAGCTTGTCTTTCCAACTGGCTATTGCAGCCTTCACATGTTGGCAACTTTCCCTTATTGGAAACAACGTTGGTGGAGCTACTGAATGGATAATTTTGTCGTGATTGCCGTGGTTGCTTAGAATCTTCACTGGAGCTTTCTTCACTCTCACTTGAATCCTCCCTGCAGCTTTTTTGGCTCTCACTTGAATCCTCCCTACAGCTTTCTTGGCTCTCACTTGAATCCCCCTTGAAACTTCCATGGCCCTCGCCTGAATCACCCTTGGAACCTCCATGGCCCTCGCTTGAATCCTCCTTCGGGCTTTGACTCTCAGTTGAACTGTCCTCCGAGTTGTCTGCACTAGTAACACTGGGACTACTAAAGACATCATCCCTATCTGTCTCGTTGCCAGCTAATTGGTTGTGGGATCTCAGGTACCATACTTGAGTTGGTTGAAAACCATCAGGAACAGCCATTTGGTCACCAATCCATTGCAGCTTGCGCGGCTTCATGCTATCGTAGTATATCCAGCGCCTCTTGATCAGAGCCATACCCGTATAGTGCCCTTCGCTCATATTATGGAGTATAACACCTGCCAAAATAAAATCAGCACCATCGAGAAAAATGTATCGGTCTGGGCAGGCGAACGACCCTGTAGAGGTGTGCCACGCCTGAAGGCAGTCGATAATGAGTAGCAGTGGCCATTCAGTAACCTCCATTCGGGAATACACCCGCGTGCCGCTGCAGACTTCCAGAGGTTCCAACGTTCCATCTTCGAGGTTAAGTGAAAGCATCCGCTTGTGGGGTCCCTGAGCCTGCAGTGGCAAAGAACAAGAAGTGCCCCCCTCCCCAGCCGACATGTCAACGCTCTCTTGTTTAATTTGCCTTGCATGGCTCCTCATGACAAAATAAGAAGCACTTTGTGTCTCTTTCAAAGTTCGATTGGGACATTCCACTTCAGAACACGTCGAGTTGAAAATAGGCTTGAATGCGGTCAAGCCTCGCAAATGATCAGTGAAGCTGCCCTCAACAGAGTCCCATAAATCATGGTCACCTTCTGGTGTTAATCCCAAAGCTTTGTTGCACCACATCCATCTTGCCTTGGCATGATTTTGAGATACTACTAGGTTAACGACATCTTCCAGTAGGCTCCCTTGGGAGGTCGCTAAGGTAGCTGCTGAGTATCGCATCCCGGAAAACCTACGCAATAATACCCAAAGCATAAGAGGAGCGTCTAACGAACATGTATTGGTTGCCTTGAAGCCCTTATATTGGATCTGCCATGGTATTGCGAGGTCTTCCCATTCTTCGTCGATCGTTAGCTTGGGGGCTTTGTTCCTACTTCCTTTAGGACGACCTGCTCGCCACTGCTGCTTAAATATCTCTGGGAACAGCGTCTTGTTGCAATCTGGCGCGCGGCCATCGCTGGTTCGGTCCACTTTTTTTCTCTTTGCAGGATACTTAATTCGATGGTATCTTAGCGTCGATCCCTTCAAGGCTTGTTCAATATCGCGTTCGATGAGACTTAGGTAGCGGCAGGCGTATTCATACGTATCCCCGACACTCATGCCCTTTTTAGTTGGTGAGTGGCGCTTAAAATCTCCTCCCAAACTCTCTTGGGCATTTGTATCCTTTGAAAATGTCGAGATGTCGACATTAGAAAGAGATTGGAAAATACACTTTGCTCTGTTCGGATTCAATCAATCCACTTTTTTGTCCTTGGGAAAGATTCCACCAAATCCTGAATAAGTTCATGGAACTTTTCTGGCGTGTGCTTGTCGAGGAGATCTAGGCATTTGCGGTTAAAAACTAACTCTTCTGAAGGCGGGACAACTGCAGAATTCCTCTGCACCCTCATTAAGGACCGACGGAAATGGATCTCACAGAACCTGTAGAAGTTCTCCATCTGTATCTCGTGATCATCATCGAGCCTAAAATATTCCCGGACAGCAAGCTCAAACCCTACGCGTTCTGCTTCACTGAAGTCACAGACCATTCCGGGGAATCCCTCAGTAAATTCATCGAATCCCTTGAAAGGTAAGTATTTAAACATTGCCAAAAAAAATGGTGCTTATAATGCTTTTGTGTTTTCCCAAATAGCATTGACATCACGACTGGCACCGCCCTATTGATCACAAAATTGAATGCGCTGGTGAACGTGATATTGATATTCGCGTAGTGTTCGTCGTGGACAAATGATTCGATGGAGTCGGTCTGCATACAAATATCTATGTTTTGGAGCATTTCCTTCATGAATTCCGCCTGAATAATAATATGGGTTTCATTCTCCAATAAGCTGATGGGGCCCATCATCTTATAATCTCGGTCGAATGCTACCAAAGAGGTGATAGTCCAGGATCTCTTAAAGCCATCTAGAATTTTCTTTCTGTGGTACGCAGTACGACTAAGGTTAGCAAAAGCGCTATGGATCTCCGTGACAGGCTTTCGGGTCTTCGTACCAATCAACAACTTCTTAGGCTCCGCCTCTGATCCCATCTTCACCATTTTTTCGAACTCTGCCATTGCCTCTCCAGTCGGCTTGTTCGATGGTGGAGGCTGATGATAGTGGTATCCATGATGCTGGGCTCTTTCAACATTGCCAATGCGCTCTATATCAATTTTTGCCTGGCATGGAGTATGAATCAGTTGCTGCCTGTGTGTTTTGCATGGAACCTCTGGAGGCGGAGGGAGCGCGTCTATACTTTTGCTTGTAGGGAGCTTAGGCCTTTCCAGATACCCGCAGCTGTCTACCGGACACTTGTAGACTCCAAGGCACCGCTTCATGAAAGTTATTTTGTTTTTTTGCTTGCGGTTATTGTATACCAGCATGGACCACCCGGACCCACACCCTGGCTTACGTCGACGATTACTGCACGCTCCCAAAGTGCTTTCGCCATCTTCGCTATCCAAAGTAGACGCTATAACTTGGTTGTTGCCACTGGTGACGATGTTGAGGTTTGTCTCGTACGCAACCTCCCCATTTGGAAATTCGAAAGATGATATGACATTAGGGAAGGCGTTCTATTGAGCACCGACAATACAGGTGTGTTTAATAAGAATCTATTTATTATATATCTCTTTCAATACATACACGAGGACTATGTTTAAACCTTTGAGGGAGATCTACTTCTAGGACGGCAGGATGCCTTTGACTTGTCTAGAGATCGTGGAGGCAACAATGGTGAAAGGGAAGCTGAGACCCTAGAATGATGAGATGCTTTTGACTTGTCTAGAGAACGTCGAGGCAAAAATGGTGAAAGGGGGGTGAGAGCGGTGTTTTCAGATTATACTGCGAAGGGTCGGATATAGGGTGCCTATTCTCCGCAGCCTTTTGTTCGGATGGCAAAGCCTCTGTATTGACGTCCACGCCTGGCGGCACAAAATGCGAAAGCATATTAGCCGCTGTTGAGTATAGGTACGCTAGCCCTTGATGAAGTGTCTCGGATGGCGGCAGGCGATGAGGGCAGCTGGGAAGCGAGCACGGGTACTGGATCGGGTATTGGATAGGATTGTATGGATAGGCCATGTATGCATGTAGGTGTGGGACGTATGAAAACGAAGGCTGAAGCATATGATATGGAGACTGCGAGGAAATGTTGTACGGTGGCAAATGTGGGTAATGTAATAGTTGACAATGTGGCGATGGGTAATGTAATAGTTGACAATGTGGCGGCGGACAATGTGGTGGTGGACAATGTGGTGGTAGATAATGATGTGGCGGGGGATAATGTGGCGAGGGATAATGTGACGGTGGTAGCTTTGGATATGATGGTTTCCATTCGCTCCTAGAATGAACTGGTGGAGGATTCTCTTGACGAGAGGGTGGAGCATGAGATCCGCATTGTGGCAAGGATGGTGTGGAATGAGTATTTGATCGCTCGCGACAGAAGTCGGCTTCTTCGCCCGAAGGTGAGTAACTCATTGAAGGCAGAGGTAGAAAGAAGTGTGGGGAAGTAGTGAGTAAAAGAAAGGAAGTGGAAGTGAAAGAAGTGAATAAACAGAAATCTCGGTCGAGGCGTCTAGAAATGGGATGCCTCCATGCATTTGCAAGAGTCATATTATCTCAGACCTGCAATAAAATATTCGACTTTATTTTGCATGGGATTTGTGCGGGCCATAATTTAGTATCATGAAAACAAGATTTTAGTATCACTTTACATAGGATTTGTGCGGGCCAGTTTTTAAGTTAGTTTCAGTGCATGTTTGTTTGTGAATGTCAATTCTTGTGTTAGTATCACCTGCATGTTTATTTATGAATGTCAACTCTTGTGTTAGTATCACTTGCATCTTTGTTTAGTATCACTTCCATGTGCTCTCAAAAAAAAATGGGCGCTCGGGGCGGGGATGGAAATAATACTAATATGCATTTACGGGATTTATCTCCCAAAGTGCCTGAGTGCTCCATATACGCATATCCGCGTTCTCAGGATCCATAGAAAACCAGATACTATATAGTAAAGTCCCTCATTTCGGCTCCAAACGTGCTAAAACTTCTAAAGTCGATAAAGCAACCGAAAATATATCTTTCAAAACAGGAAATTGTATTTTTGGGTAAAAATTGAAAATGTTTATATTCAAAAGTTTAAGAACTAGGGCATCTTGAAGTCAAGGTTTCTACGGAAATTATCTAGCTTTTAGACAAAATATTGTAGAACCATCAGAATATCTCCAAAACTGAGCAAACTTTCCAATAAGTAAGAATATGTAGTGCATATAAGGAAAAATGCACCCCCCCGTCAGAATAAAAATTGACCCCCGGCTGAGAATTCCTAAAACCCCCCCGTCAACATACCTTTATTCGGAATTCTTATCCCCCCGGCAACCACGTAATCCTTAACCCCCCTGTCAACATTCTAGAGCTGTTTTTTGAAATTGAGAACCGTTTTTCATTCCTAATCAAGAGCATAAAGTTGGACCTGAGTTTTGTGGCTTGTTGACAGCAAAACACGTCAAAAAAAAAAAAAAAAAAAAAGAGTCCAACTGTACCCTCACACTGTAAGTGTAAAAGGCCCCATTGTCCCAATCTGTATTTAAGACAATAAATGTCATTGATTGCGAAGATAGTTTGGATTGTGCGACATGTGGTGTTATATAGTGTAAAGTCTTTCTTTTTTTTTTTTTTTTTTTTTTTTTTTTCGATGACTATATCGGGCTTGTGTGGTGCATGTAAAGTTGCTGAAGGTTCTGAGCCTAGAGATAAATAAAATACTAGGGAGGGAGCGATCCATCAAGGAACATGTGTCTGTCTAGCTGATTTTTCTACTGTCAAGTTTTTGATGATAAGATAAAAAGTAAGAGGGCTTTAATAGCGTTGAGTTTAATAGAAAGACAGATGCAACCAAAAGCAGAAAATAAGACCCAAAAAACAGCCTCAAAATGTTGACGGGGGGGTTTTGGGAATTCTCAGCCGGGGTCAATTTTTTATTCTGACGGGGGGGATGCATTTTTCCTTTATTCTGTCATACTAGTCCTGAAATACTAAAATCTGTACTTTTATTTCACTTTTATTTTTACTTTTATTTTATTTTATTTTTACTTTTATTTTTACTTTTATTTTATTTTTAATTTTATTTTATTTTTAATTTTATTTTATTTTATTTTTAATTTTATTTTATTTTTAATTTTATTTTATTTTTAATTTTATTTTATTTTATTTTTAATTTTATTTTATTTTTAATTTTATTTTATTTTTAATTTTATTTTATTTTTACTTTTATTTTATTTTTAATTTTATTTTATTTTTACTTTTATTTTTACTTTTATTTTTAATTTTATTTTATTTTTATTTTTACTTTATTTTAATTTTACTTTTACTTTTATTTTAATTTTATTTTATTTCTTATTTTTATTTTTATTTCCATACAATACAATGCAAAATGTGTAATAAAGAATAGTGAATAGTAGCTGATTATGCGAGTGAGAAACAGAGTATGCGAGTTTTAATATGCTTGTACTTTGGGTCTCGTCCTTTTACTCCAGCTACAGCACATTGCTCACTGTTTTTTCTTTCTTTCTTTGTTGTACACCATACAAAGAGGGCAATGTGGCTCGTGCTCTTGTTGTGGGCAGGCAGATTGTTGTATGTATGACCCTGCATATCTTTGAGGATGGAATGTTGTTCTCTTTCTCCACCTTGTAAGCATATGAAAATTGACGAATGATATCACAGGTGCACAGATTATTGATTTCAATTCCCGCTATGCCGTTTTCTTTTCTTTTTTTTCTTGCATAAAAGCAAAATGTCGTATTTGTATTGCTATTCAGTCAATACTTTGAGATCACAAATTGGTTTCACTTACTATTTTCCCTGAGCGATTACAAAAACCACTCAGCATTCATCCTTTCTCCTTTTCTCCAAAGCACAATCCGCCAAAGAGCCCTCGCCGTCGACAGCAAGAAAGTATATGTCTATATAATGCATTATTTTGTATTATTCATTATATTTGACTCAATGGTTCTTTCCATACTCATTCATACAGCATTTGGAGATAAAAAAGGTTAATTTTACCGAAGATGGACAATGTCTGCTTCTCTTATCTGCCGTGTAAATGTTTTGACCAACCAGAAAACAGAGTTTTCATGCGAACATCTGACCGAAGGCGTCATGGCGGAAAATAATAATTTTGTGGCATTGCCCTCTGAACGCGTTATCTCTTTACATTTCAAATATTTATTTTTTACTCACTCATTCGCTTACTATTATACTTCACAATGGCTTTCTTTATTGCTGACATATGATGGCTATTAGTATTATTATTTAATACCTTTGGCAGTGGGATACCAAGTTTCCTTTGCGTTGCTGTAAAACGTCATATCGACGACACAAAAAGAAAAACAATTTTCATAAATACCCTTCGTCTCCCCCTCAGCTTTTCTTTTCTTTTCTCCTCTCTTCACCCACATCCTCTCCACCTCCCCTTCACATGCCTTATAAAGGCCACACAGAGACCATAAAAAATGCTCTATTCCAGCCGTGAAATACAATCCACTATAGAGCCGTCATCAAGTAAGTATCTAGCATATGTATGGCTTCGTTTTGTCTTGCCTACCGTCACCCACTGTTTAGCTATTGCTAAATGAGTCCAGCAGGTCCATTAACTTACTCCTATTTTTTTGCCTTTGTCCTTCTTAGTCATCACAAGAAAACCACTACCGATGGATGCTCAGCGGCGACCATCCCAAAGACTGCAATAAGCTCATGCAGTGCTTATCGAAATGGGGCCCTAAGCGGATCTGTAAGTACTCTCTCTTATTGAGTAAACATATTGCACTTTTTTTTTCTTTTTTTTTTGGTGTTGCTGTGTTATGCTATTCTTTATAGTATTCTAACCACGCTTTTTTTTTTTTTTTTTTTTTCTTTTTCTTTATTTCTTCGGCTCTTTCCGTAGAGGCCTATCCGATTCGATAAGGGCTCCACTCCGTCCTACCATCGGAGCCCGGGGGCCCCTCCGCCGGCCTCTCTGCCGCCTCCTCCGAACTCCTCATCTGCTCTGATGGGGGGTTCCACTCCGTCGGACCCCTCACGACTCCTTGAGGAAGGACCATTGTGGTGGCGCTAGAGAACTTCTAGTCTCTGGGCCTCACTTGATCCGAGTGCCTCTGGGGATTTCGCGTAGGGACCAGGATGACACACAGTTGCGGTAGCCTGAGAATGGTAAGTCAGTACCAATGAATTATTCACTGGGTCCTGTAGAGCTCGAGCTTCGGGCCGTCAAGGAGATTCCCCCTCCAGCAGGATCAGGATCAGGAGCAGGAACAGGTGTTACCGAGGCCTGGTAACATCTAAGGTAGGTGAAAAGAAAGACACAAAGAGCATATTAATTCTGTTTTACTTTGCTTTCGTTTCTCTCTGGTTAGGTGGAATCTTTGGCAACTCGGTGCTCTATAGGGCTTTGTGAATAGTTCATTGTTACTGACTTATCATCCTTAGGCTATCCAATTAGCGATGCTGCGCCAGGGACGCCTGGTCGTAGTGGGTGCATGGCGTAGAGGCGTCATGTTGTGTGACCCCTGTTTCCTGCCGTCTGAACCAAAGTGCTCTGGTCAAAGTGAGGCTCCATTGATTAGTTGTTCGATAGACCACACTGCAAATGGGACTTTTGCTTGGAGGAGCGAGGCCTACGATCCATGGAGGAAAGCAGAAGGCCTGGGAAAGAGCATCAGACCGAGGTAAGGGCGTCTGAGGAGATAGACTCAGAGCTAACAGCCAACAGCCAACAGCCAACAGCCAACAGTTCACAGCCAACAGTTCACAGCCAACGCCAATATAATAACCCCAAAAAAACTCCAAAAAAATACTTAAAAAAAAAAAAAAAAAAAAAAAAAAACCAAAAAAAAACCAAAAAAAAAAAAAAAAACCAAAAAAAAAAAACCAAAAAAAAAAAATCAAAAAAAAACCTCCCTGAAGCCCAGAAGCCAGAAGCCAGAAGTCAGAAGTCAGAAGTCAGAAGCCAGAAGTCAGAGCCAAAAGCCAGAAGCCAGGAACCAAAAGTCAAAAACCAAAACCAGAACCAAAAGCAGAAGCCAGAAGCCAGAAACCAAAAAGCAGAAGCCAGAAGCCAGAAAGCAAGCAGCAGATAGCAGCCACGTCAGCGCAAAAAAAAAAAAAAAAAAAAAAAAAAAAAGCCAACAAGCTCACT